TTTTTACCTGAACACATCCACACTATTATTTGTTCAGGGTTTCCCACACATAGACTATACTTGGGCGGGCCAAGTATATTTCGCGACCCATTTAGGATTTTTTTTAAAAATAATTTTTTATATAATTTTTTATTTTATTCGTCCGTGACCACGACGCCATCTGCGATCGATTAACTTGTGGACAATGATCCCTCGCTCCCTTGCTCTGATCTCGCCTCCTTCTGGCCTGTTAAGTGGCCTGCCTCACACAGGGTGACTGGCTGTCTACATGATGTGGCCTGCCGACATGGCCACTGTCATACAGATCATACATCAAAGCCCTTGATTGGTCTCTGTGTGTCATTCAAGCTCGGGATAACCTCAGCTCAGGTGAGGTAAAGGACTCTCTGAGTGTTTAGATAGTTAACTTAGTCTAAGTTCTCAGTGGGTCTCAAACGGTGTGGTCACCATTTATGTAAACACGTATTTCCATTTGAGAGGGTAGTGATTGGTCTAATGGATAGTGAGGTGGGCTGAAGATCGGAAGGCTGTGAGTTCAAATCCCGCCAGGAACACCAACACTAGTGTGCCCTTGAGTAAGGCACTTAGCCCTTAGTTACTCCAGGGAGAATGTCCCTGTAATCGGTCATTATAAGTCGCTTTGGATAAAAGCGTCAGCTAAATGAAATGTAATGTGATTAGTAAAATATGCATGCATGAATAAATAAATAAAAAGTTAACTAGGTGAAAAAAGGTAAGATACACTTTTAAAACTTGTTGAGAGAAAACTAGTCTTTGCTTCTGCCGCAAAGAGGAGCAGGAGGGAGACAGGAGAGGCTGATTCAGGAGCACAGACACACTCACAACTATAAATGAACCAAAAATAAATTAATAAACAAGTGTCAGTGTTTTTTTCATATTGGAAATGGTATGTTATTGGTTATGGCCATGATTGTATGATTATTGAAATGTATACAGTTCTGTTTAATATAGGTGTTTCCATAGATCTAGTCTCTTTATTTCCCCCTCAAAATGCACCAGATTGATGCATTTAACGCCAAAATAAAAAATAAAATCTTACCGGGGGGGCATGCCCCTGGACCCCCCTAGAGGATTTGAGGTCGACCCCCACTAAAAATCACATGGATAGGTTCCTAAATACATTTATTTTTTTGAATAGTAACCCATTTTCCATATGTTCATGTGTGGGTAGTAGATTTAAACTATAGGGCTATCACTATGGGCCCTGCCTGTACCTGTTCGCTCTGCCATCGCGTGAAGGGTCTGCTAACAAGCGACCAACAGAAAGGTTAATGTTGTTGCACGTCACCTCAATCCCCCCCCCCCCCCCCCCGCTACCACCACCCCCCCAAGTATATTTCAGATCTGTGGGAAACACTGTTGTAGATAATTGTAGCTACATTTGTATGGAAATCATGATAGGTAAAAACATGTGTAGGATTATGAAGTATTTAAAACAACAATTTTAATCCCTGTCAATTAATTCACCTTGAACCTTGATTTTAAAGGTCCCATGTCATGCTTTTCCGGTTATTACCCGTCCCCTTGTTTGTTATGAAGGTTTTTCTGCATGTAAACGGTCTGCAAAGTCACAAACCCTCAAAGTACACCCTGTAGCGAGTAAAACTCTAACACAGAAAATACCTGTCTATGCTGCCCCAGAACGCCTCGTTGGAGATTTCTCTTTTTCCATTGTTTTCTTCCTGGGTACAGTGACGTGCCCATACCCAGATGGACCCATTGGTCCAAATGGACCAATCCGTGGAACCGTTACGTTACGGTGGATTGGTCCATTTACTCGATCTTTTCTCAGCTGCAGCTCTGCCGATTTCTCCTCCCTGAGACGGTGGGACGCGGCGAGGCTGTGAGTTGGTGTGTGTGTTCGGGCTGGGTTTTGCTGTGTCTCGCAGACTGCCACTGGGCTCATAGGGAGGGAGGGAGGGGGGGGGGGGGCAGGAGCTCCAACAAGCCGTTTAGGACAGAGAGTGAATACACATACAGAGATGCTGTATGAGAAACCAATGTAATTTTGGAAAATTGCACAATATAAATGTATTTTAGTAGACCTCAACAATGGAATTATGATCAGTAGACATGGCCATGACATGGGACCTTTAAGAGTGCAGGGATAAATGAAAACTCACCTGGTAGAGCCTCTCCTGGCCAAAATGAGTATTACAACAACAAACACTTGATCCTGAAAGAAAAACACTTCCCAAAACTCCATCTATTTTCACAGATGGAATAAAAGTAGCTAAGAAAATGCATCCTACCTCTTAAGTCATAAACACAAAGAGAAAACACTGAGGATCAGACAATATCTTTTTTATCTCACTTGCCTCTTAGGACTTCCATATGCCATAAATTGTTCATCAACACAAAATGTATAACTGTTGAATATTTCTGGCAGACTTACCTGTAAGGACTCCAGCAACAACCTGGTGGGGGAAGTGTGCAGCCATGTAGACCCTGGACATGCAGACCACCAGCACTACCAGCAGCATGAGCGTCCACAGGCCTACCTGAAATAATCTGACCAAGAAGGAAAACTGAGCAAGAGTGCACGACAGATTATTAATGTTTCAAATAAATAATTGGTTGTATTTCCAAAGACTCACTTGCACAGTAAAGGGGGGCATCGTTTCTCTTTGGCAATAGCTAGTAGCGCTGTCACCATCACATACCAGACCCCAGCTGCACCCATAGCATGACCTGAGGGGCTTCCTGTAGGGAACAGACTTACTGTCAGACTTCACCAAATCAATATACATCATTTGCATTGCATTTTCAGAGAACGTTTTTCAAATTATTTTAAACTTAGATCTCTTAGATCTAGATTTACAATAATTCCAAAGTCAACGCCAGAACAACTTGTTTTAACCTAAGAATGATGATTAGATACTGTTTGAAAAGGACCTTTGTTGTGTAACCTCTATGCATTAAGTGCGTTGTGTGCTGGATTTTCTTTTTTTTAAATTGCGGAATCCAAAGTAATTTCCTTCACAAGCGTTTTAAGATACAAATCACTACAAAGTGCCAAAGGTAGTAGAGTACCTTTTTATAACCTATAGTTATCACATTAATTCAAAGTGCAATGCAATGAGTGTCTGCCAAACACTCAAGATATTATCTGGCAATCAAGTACTTTAAGTCGAACTATGCCAATTTTCTAAATTCATACATGTTACTCCTATGGTCTGATAAAAGTATCTCGAGTCAAATCAAGCACTAGTGTGCTTAAACTCAAATTTGTTGTCGTGAGGTTATCGGGTATAAAGTATTGAACCCCTCTAAAGACAATTTTTAGCTCATTTGGGTATAAAAAAACTAACAAAACACTGTCTTTGAGAGAAATTAATTTGTGAGGATCTTCACAAATATTGATTAAACTCTCCTAAACCCTGCAGATATCATATTGGAGTTCTTAATTTAGTTGTGCTCCCCTTTAATTATCAACAAGGCTAATGATGACTTTGCGTTGATAAACCATTCCATTGAGTCAATCGGTTTTTCAAGACAATAACAATCATCACGTGATCCACTGCAGGTCATGAAGTGTACCTGGTCCAGTCTCACATGTTATTGGAAATTGCTGCAGAGAAGGGGCCGGTCCCGCTCCATAAAACCGGGTCTCATGGACCCACCAGTACGGCCTCTCCCCAAACAGAACCCTGTCATGAAAACAACAATAAACTCAAAATACAACATGTATTTGTATGCGTTTCAATAGGCATTACTTCCAACAGTTGTTTACCATTTCAGGACCAAGTTGAGCCAGTCTCCGAGGACGGCCACCCAGATGAGCCTGAGCCCCGTGTCCCTCCGCAGGTGGAACCAGATCGGGAAGAAGCAGAAGAACGTGGTGTGCAGGTCGGCCACTGTGGACGCCAGGCTGAACAAGCCCTCGTGTCTGCTGTGTGTGGTCTGCAGATGGACCACCAGCTCTACCCCCCAACTGTGGAGAAGATCCATGATATCACAACCTCCTGCCTGAGGCTAGTGCACTAAATCTGAGTCTAGGTTTCTCAGTTAGGTTGCTGCCAAGCTCTTCCCAGGCAGGCAGTCCCCTCTGTGCTGCCTGTGTGATCCCCATCGGACTTTAATCAAGGCTAGCACATTTTGTTTGCCTTTGGGACAGTGCAGACAGGTTCCTTAACCTTTACCCCCCCCCCCCCCCCCCCCTCCCCCTTGTTCTAAAATCCATCCAACACAAATCAGTCGCCGCCCCTCTGACGTATCACAGATATCTAACAAAACCCTTTTTTTTGTAATCCCTCTGTTTATCAATGACTATGAAGTAGCTGAACTCATACTTGTGAAATCCATTGATCTTGGCTCACATTTGATCCTGGGTGTGCAGAGTGCGTAATTTGTGTCTTCCTACTGTAGCTATTTTAAAGATAAGATCAAATATGAGAGGCAGGTCTCTGCAAAACCTGTTGTCCCGACAGACTTGTACACAACCTAAAACCTGCCAAGCTGCTCCTTCAGTGTTATCAACAACTATCTCCTCCGCTTCAGTCCAAACCCAATCATTGAATTATTGATCTCCTTATGTAACCTACACATGGCTGTCTCCACCAGGGAGATTCTTACACCAAATCATCAGAAATCACAATTACATAACTGAACAGGGATCATTCAGTGGCTGCATACATGAGAAAGAAAGAAAAGGACATAGCTAATGTTTAATAAAAAAAATATCATGCAGTTAATTGAAAAGCAAATGCTGTTGTGCAAGTTCTTTGATTTGTTCACGATCCATTTATTTATTTACACAATTGTGAAATACAGCCATGATTTGACTTCCTCTCTGTGCTGCGTACAGTAGTTCCGTGACTAAAAACTATTGACGATTTGTTTTCCCGCTATCTTTTCAACATGTTTGTGTGACAAACCTCCAAAACTCTCCTGTGTCCGGGTGTTTTATTACGTGTAAGGTCCAAAGATCAGTGTGAGCATGCGTTTAGGCGGTGGGTCCCTCAGGTATAAAACCTACCAGCTGTGTTACTGATAGTAACAGTCCTGTATTTGTCACTCACACAGCACCAGACTGAGATTTCTCTCCCTTCCTTTTGAGGTAAAGATGAACGCTTTAATGGACTCCATGTCAGGTTTTGGGGTGAGCACCACCCACTACCTGCAAACAAACTTTAAGGATGCCCAGGGTTTGTTTCTCTGGGTCTCCTGGGCGGCAGACCTCAGGAACACCTTCTTCATCTTCTTCCCTCTTTGGTTCCACCTGCGGTCTCCAGTGGCCATCAAGCTCATATGGGTGGCTGTGATCGGAGACTGGCTCAATTTGGTGTTCAAATGGTAAGTCAAGTAAATCTTTCAATTAGAAGTTTTTCAACATGTTTTTAGACCATGATGGAGTGTATATTTATGTCGTCTTCTTCAGGATTCTGTTCGGTGAAAGGCCTTACTGGTGGGTCCATGAAGCGGATTATTATGCAAACACAGTTCGTCCTCACATTGAGCAATACCCCATGACCTGTGAGACCGGGCCAGGTGAGAAATGTCCCTAATGGGTTGCTTTTATTACTCCAACTCCTCAGAAGTTCCTGGAATATTATCGTAGATTGGTTTTTACAAAATCAATGTACCTACTGTACTTGGGTGCAATATAGGCTGCAGATTTTGTTCGTTATTATGTAAGGACCCATCTTGCTGTCATTTACAATTGTGCTTCATTGGTGCAGTTAATTAAATGACCCTACACCAGTTACCACACAGTGCGTTCTTAGGACTTTTGGGCAGATAACAGCTTTGTTCTGTTCTAATCTTTTAATCATGCCCAGGTATTGTCTTGAAGGGATATGGAATCAAACCTTTTACTTAAGTGACAATAAAGCATTGAATAACATATTATTTTCAGGTAAAGTCATTCAAAAGTAAAAGTACACGAGTACTATCAGTTCAATTTTTAGGTTCTCCATAATATAAATAGAACTTAACTGATTTGAGAAAAAACCTATAATTTTTCTCAAATCTTTAGAAATATTTGAATAATTGTACCACTTTTGGTCATCTGAACAGTTAAGAGGTGAATTTAACAATATTACATGGCATATCCTTTATAAGCATAAGCTACTTCAGAAGAAAACCTAATTCAATTGTATTTTACAAGCTTAAATTGTGTAAGAAGAACTATAAAATAGCTTGGGTACAGACCTTGAGTTCATGTACAGTACTAGGTTACTTTCACTGCTGTTTTTAAAGATGTTACTTATTTTATTCTAGTTATTAATTCTCTATGAAACAACCAAAAATGCTGAATGAACAATGTAGTCACTATACTTGAGTGAGTCAGCCACTGATACCCCCCTCTCTGTTTGTGTTACAGGAAGCCCCTCTGGCCACTCTATGGGAGCTGCAGGAGTCTACTACACCCTCGTGACCTCCATCCTCGCCATAATGACCACCAAGAAGAAATTTGGAATCAAGAAATCCAGCAACAAAGATTGGTGAGTCAGACACATTAACATTGTACTCATCCATGTCTGTGTTGTTAACCATTTGATTCCACCCTGAGCTTATCATTGTGGACACACTATCTGTCCTGAGCTGTGGTTGATCATTGACTCCTGAGAACCATGGTTGGAGAGTGGAGATTATATGTGGGTTGTTTTGACGTCCAGGCAGCTGAAATTCTCATGACCAGCAAGAAAGCACTGAGTTAATTGTTATATTGCTTTAAAGGCTTGCTGTCTTGAATCTCAATTGCTGATTCAAATGTGTTTTTCACAGGTATCTGAAGGTTGTTTTGTGGACACTGTTTTGGGGAGTGCAGGTGTGTGTCTGTCTCTCAAGGGTCTTCATCGCCGCCCACTTCCCACACCAGGTCGTAGCTGGTGTTATAACAGGTCAGTGTCCTTCTAGGGATAAGTATTGTTTAGAAAAATACAATACCAGTACCAATACAAGTACTGATACCAAAAGAGTTCTTCATCTCATACAATTCTCCGCTAACTCATTTGATAGCCATTATGTACAAGGAGCATTAGGTGTTGTTAAAAGCATCCAACTTATTGAAATATTACATTTTTACCATGCTCAACTTTACTAAACCCCACAGGGGTTTAGCCTCCTGCGGTTGTGGGCCAATCACACTTACAGTAGCATCTAATCAAAGAACGCCTGCGCTGATTGGTGGAGAGCAAAACCAAACAATTGGTAGATTCATTTTTTTCTAAAAACTATTGAATGCAGGTATTGTTTGACTAGTTTTGTTACTTGGTAATATTTTATTTAAATCGATGCATTGCGGTATCAAATACCAATGTTTTATTTATATTAACTGTATTGCGTACCCTATACCTTAGGATTACTGATATCTTAGTGGTATCCGGTACTTTATAACTCCAAATATTAACCTGGATATTCCATTGTTTTCTAGGTATAATCGTGGCAGAAGCCTTCAACAGAACTCAGTTGATCTACAGCGCCAGCATGAAGAAATACTTCTACACGACTCTCTTCCTGACTTGCTTCGCTGTTGGCTTCTACCTGCTACTTAAAGCTATGGGTGTGGACCTGCTCTGGACCCTGGAGAAGGCTCAGAAGTGGTGTGTGAAGCCAGAGTGGGTTCACATGGACTCCACGCCCTTCGCCAGCCTCCTGCGTAACATGGGCACGCTGTTCGGCCTGGGTCTGGGCCTGCACTCACCCCTCTACACCGAGACCAAGAAGAGCAGCAGCTCGGCGGTCAAAGCGCTGAGCGTCATCAGCACTCTGCTCCTGCTGCACCTGTTCGACTCCTTCAAGCCTCCCACGCACACCGCAGCTCTGTTCTACCTGCTGTCCTTCTGCAAGAGTGCCACCGTGCCTCTGGTCACTGTCAGCATCATCCCGTACTGTGTGAAAGGAGCTCTGAGCCTGCAGAACAAAAAGGGAGTTTGAGAAAATAACTCAGATTGGACACACTTACTTGTGAAGGAGTCTCTTCCGGATCAAGAAAGAATACATTCCTCTGGTGCTTTTGTCCAACTGTTCCTCAGGGAAGAGCTAATAAGATCAATGTGAATTGGTCACTTGTGTGATTTGGACACTCTTTGTGACATTATGTGAAGCACTTTCCAGGATGCTGAGTGGCACCAATTATGAGTTTAGCAAAATATGATAATTCAATTAGTTGAGTCCTGGAAAAAACAGAACAATGAACACACACGCTGCACTTGTTGTGTTTAACCTCATCTTAAAGACAATGGCCACCGCTCACATCATGGTATTTCAACTGTATTAGTAATGTATTTGAAATGTTATAGAAAGTATTTTTGAAACTGTTTTAAATATTTTTAATAAAAAATATATAAAAAATGTATTAAATGACTTGGCTCATATTTGACTTTATCATGAGCATTTATCCATTACCACCATTAATTGATCCAGTCCCATGAAGCTTAGACTCCACTCCCCAGTGGTGAAAGTAAACAACATTACTATCACTGAATAATAAAGTTACTCAGGTAAAATAAAAGATAAATCAGTAGCAAAATTAACCAAATTATCAAAGGTGACCCTTTTCACAGTATTACTCTTTATTTGAATTATTACTATATCAACTACAAAATAAAGATGACTGCTGGGAAACTATACCTATCATTTTACATCCTTTTTCTATTTGTTATTTCTATTTTGTTTCATTAAACTGGATCTGCAAAGTAACTAAAGCTGTCAAATATTTAAAAGTAAATAGAAATACTCAAGAAAATAAACAGTACCTTACAATTGTACTCTATTACAGTACTTGTTTAAATTAAGCCACTTTACACTTCTGTTTATACAAATTAAAAAATGTAAAAGCTCCACCCCTAAAAAAAACCAAATTGTCACTCTATCTTTATCTCAGTGACCCCCCCAAATTATTTCCTTTTTTACTGGCTGACTAATTTAATTTGCAACATTTTCTAATTTCTTTAGTAAACAGAAATGAACACACACACATGGCCCCCTTCCAAAAAATCCCTTTTTTAATGGCCTAGAACATTTTAAAAGATAAATATACCATTTTGGCACAGACAGAGTGTGATATAAATCATTAACTCGGCACCAAAGCCCTGGCCTTTAGCCTGACCTGCTGCGATGACATAGACTCACACGTCATAGGACTGTCTAAGGCTGACAGTGCAAGATGAACATTCAATATTTGTCTGTTTGTGTTTTTTCGAATGGACACAAAACATCCAACAACACTGAGTTGTGCAAGACTGTGTCACTACTGCTGTTTTTCAACACCCATGGGCGTATAACGATAATTAGTTTCTTCTTGGGCACAGACATTCAAAAGGCCCCGCACTACCTATTCTGCATATAGGAACAGGGTGTGTTAAACACTTTTTTGTTGTTGTTTTGTGTCTCTTTGTATTTGTTTTGTGTTTGTTTGTTGTCTGTTGACGTATGCAGGTGAAGGCTGGGGCGCTGACCATTTGGGGTCACGAAAACTGGTCAAGATGTAAAGTAAAAGTACTCATTAGAATGGCCATTCTTAGAACAATGTATGTTTTCAGTTTCTAGCCAAAAGCTGTTTGTTTTAAGCTAGGACTGCACATGTGTGAAACTTCTTTTTTTTTTTAAGTTGATGCAATTGGAATTTTTGTAAGTATTTTGTGGTGGTACTGCTACTTTAATTTAATAAAAATATTTGATATTTTCACCGCTGCTTTGACACAATCATCTGTAATACCACTTATGAACAGAGGGTGGCGGTGTTTCACCATCTAGCTTTAGATTTACAATGCAGAGGAAGAAGAAGACCCTACCGGAAGCACTGAGCTTGCTTGAGTTTGTGTTGTTGATAAAAGTGTGTCTGCAGGTGCTGTTGGAGAAAAACAAAAATGTTTCGATGTTAAAAAAGTATTTCTAAGACTCCATGATGTCCAAACTGCAGGCGGTGAGGGCGCTGCTGGCGGAGAGGCTGTCGGCGGCCGCGGAGCAGATCTTCAGCTCTGAGGAGGCAGCAGGCATGTAAACCACACATTCAACACACACGTTATTAACCACCAAGTCAACTAATCATCTTGAAATCAATATGTTCTCTTGTTATCTCCCAAAGGAAAAGTAACGTTAGTACTTTATTTAAAATGTTGAAGTTTTAAGCTACATGCATTAGTTTGTAGATTATAACTATAACAAGTGCTCAGATGTTTTGCTTAAGCATAAAAGAGTGTAGAAATACACTACTGCGAGTCAAAGTGCTGCATTCAAATGTTGCCTACAAAAGTAGTACAAAAAGCAGTCTTTATTATGCATATTAAGTTCCTCAAAATTGTACTTAAGGGCAGTACTTGAGTAAATATGCTTGATTACTTTCAATTGCTGGGTGCTTTGCTTGAGAATGTCAATGTTCTGCTACGTTTAACTTCTACTCCACTTCATATTGGATACCAGTATAGTACTTTTTACACATTTTTGATACCATAAGTTACTTTGTCCTTCCAGATAATTAAAAAGGTGATGTATCAATCAACTGCAAGATAAACAGTAACTCATTCAAAGTTCTTCACCATATGTAAGATATAAACTGGAACTGGAAACTTAAGTTAAGCAGTTTTTTAACTGCACCAAAGCTAAATATGTTTTGGAATGACATGATAAAAAAAAGTATTACAGTGGACATAAATACAGATTTGTTCTGTTTGGAGCAGGATTGGTCAAGATCAAGAGCTTGGGTATATTATGCTCATCTTTATTCAAAAATGTCACACATTTAAAGGATAAATGCATAACTTTTTAACTAAACCAAACTGTACTTTCATCCTAAAATCCACACAAACTTAAAAAAGAAAGACAAGTACTGAAGTACAAAACAAGCCTCTCTGGTAAAGGGCAAATTAATGAATTATATATGGGGAGCAAGGATCAGCTGAATTATTCTGTCGTTTGTTTATACTTAAAGCTATTTCTTTCTTTTCTCCCTTTCTCCAGACATGCCTTCTGAACAGCAGAGGGCGGCTGTACACAAGCGGCTGTCGATGGTTGCAGACGAGATCTTTAGGATCCTGGAGGACATGATGGGAGAATACGAGGCACGAGTGACCGAATCCCACCAGGAGAGCCAAAGCCAACCGCCCGACGTCATGCTTAAAACTGAGACAAATGTACCCAGCTCAGGTACATTACATAATGTTTAAACCAAAAAATGATTTATAATTGTACAGTTATATATACATACAATTTGTTTACTGCTGGTACCATCATCATTTTATTAATCATTATGCACAGCACAACAAACAAAAGTGAAATCATGAAGTTAGTTATAGATGAATTACACACCCATGCTAAGCATTTGTGTTTGTGTTTCATGTAGAGTATGAATCTTTGATAATTACCATCCTTAATGTGTTAAATTTGCTTATTCATTTACTCAGACATTTATCATTGACTAGATTTTCTGGTAAACATTTGTGGACAGCTTTGCAAAGATAAATAGTAATCTGTTACATTTGTGATAGACCTAATACTAGTGCTGGGGGGAAACGATTATTTTGAAAACGATTAATCGGGCGATTATTTGATCGATTAGTCGACTAATCGAACGATTATTTTTCTGTTGTTCAATTCATAAAAAACGTAATGTAAAAAAATTTTTTTTCACGATACTGTGTCTCAGGGGATCTTAATATTTAAGAACCTATTAATGTGTTATACCAGATTGACGGAAATAATCTCAGCTAACTGACGATACAAACCATGTTTACCAAAACAAAACACAAGTCTCATAAGAAGCATCTAAATGACCCCTGAGCGAAAAATGCTAACGGACATTGGCACAGATCTCAAGATAAAAGTACCCTTATTACTTATCGTAGCTGCACATACAATATATCCGATTAAAGCTGAGACTCCACAGATTATGTAGGTATATAGTATCATCACTGAGTGATCCGGACTCGCGACAGGGGAAGCAAATACAGTCATCACAACACGTACCTTCACAGAGCTTCGGGAGATCGTCTCACCGCCGTAGCTGTCAATCTGATCAAAATACGTGTTCAATGGCATTAAAATGAGAAAAAACGCGGCTGAATCGGTTAATCCATAGGTTTTTAACGTCTATGTATAAAACAATTATTGAATTTATAATCCATAATTCCATTTTAATTCGGAGAGCAAATGCTAGCTGCTAATGGTTGCCACCACAGCTAGCTGCTGCTTCCGGTCAAGCAGCAGTCTGTGAGATATAAATATATAAATATCTTTGCGTTTTGGACTAACTTTAAAATATTCCCATGCTTTTGAAGACCTGGGGCGAGATGTTTTCGTTTGAGGGCTTCGTGCGCAATCCTGTGAGGAGGAGTTGGTAGCCGTTTCAGTCTCCATTGTGTTAGAAGTGCGATTGCGAACTGCTTGTTGCTTTGGGTGACCCACGTGTGGGTGGCGTCATACAGTCTATGGTGGCGACGCGTCGACGCGGAAATATGTCGTCGACGATATTTTGAAGTCGACGCGTCGCTACAGCACTACCTAACACGCCTTTTTGAAATGATTCCAAAATATTAGGGCTGTCCAAAATACCATTTTTCGGGCTCCGGATATTCGGTAGTAATCAGCAGCGAATATTCGGCCCGCGCAGTAACCCAATTTGTGTTCTTTGAAATTGAAAAGGATATCGCATTGTGTTTGTAGGAGAGGTAGCGCTGTTGACAGGAAGTTGTTGTTGCTTTGGAAACAACGTGACGGAGATTAACATCTACATATAAAGACGGAGAAAGTAAACAATAACGTTTATGGTTAAGTGTTAGCACCCCCGAAGAGGCACAAGCTCTTACGTTGATATTGGAGATTTCAATAAATTCAATTTGAGAAAGAAACGGGGAAAAAACAAACAAAACAAATATCCGAATAACGAAATTGAAACCCGAATAGTACTCCAACAAACGAATATTCGGATATTCGGGTACAGCCCTACAAAATATATATGTATGTGTTGTGTCAAACGTTCACGCTTTGTCGACTTAAGGAAGTGTTGCAGAATAGAGATTTATTTTGTTGCTCATGCTCCCACAGCTACAAGGGAATATTTTGTACGGTGTCTGTGTTTTTATGCAGTTTACAATACAACCATGCTGAATTTTCTCTCTCATTTCCCATTAGAGAGATTGACACTCCTTGGGTCAAACACTGAAAAGGATGTTTCTTCTGAGCAGAGCAGGGCATCCAGTCTGCTCCAGAAAACATTACAATTAAAGTTTAAAGACGCCTATACAGACACAGACTGTGATTTAATCCACACTGGGCTCTCACATAACCATCAAGCACAGAGAGCAGAAAAGGGAACCTCGACTATGATGGAAACGGAGACACAAAGTAACCCTAAGGTTCTATCATCGAACAATTCAGAAACTCCAAGTGAAGATAATAACAGTGAGATAAATGAAAAACATCTCAAATCACTTCAGAGCCATAGTCAGGGCGAGGATTGTTGCCAACTGTGCGGAAGGTCTTTCCTCAATGGGGTCATTGGGAAGAAAATAAAAAAACATAAAAGGAACAATTTCACATCCAACAAGAGCCCGACTGCAGGACAGAGTTGTTGCAGAGTGTGTGGAAAGTTTTTCCACTACAAACGGTCTTTTCTGAAACACGTAGTTAAGCACAAACAGAACTCCGATCTTTGTGGAGCCTGTGGGAAACATCTGGACTCCGACGAAAGCCTGGAGGTGCATTTACAAACGCACAAGGAAGAAAACATCTGCAGAGATTCAGAGGAGAAACAGTCAGAGGCAGAGGGCTCTGGGAATAAAGAGGACAGTGATGAGGAGTGGAAGGACAGTGAGGAAGGAGACAGTGAGAAGGAACAGATCAAAGACCGACCTTGTTTACGAAAGTCAAAAACAAAAGGAGCTAAGGATTACAAGGACGTATCTAATCCAAAATACCTCTGTAAAGTATGTGGAAAGTCTTTCTCCTACAGAGCCTCGTTTTTGAGGCATGTGCTAGAAGACGAGGAGGATACAGATGTTTGTGGCGTGTGCGGGAAACGTTTCAAATCCGAGGAAAGCTTGAGGCGTCACCTGCAAACCTACATCCAGACGAATGATTGTGAAGTCTGTGGGAAACACTTTGACGGCCACAAACAACTGGAGATGCACATGAGGACCCACACGGGAGAGAAACCGTACATCTGCACCGTGTGCGGGAAGGCGTTCGCTCAAAACGGAAACCTAATGGGACACATGAGAGTCCACACGGGGGAGAAAAGGTACGTGTGCAGCGTGTGCGGGCAGAGCTTCAGCTTTAAAGAGTACATGATGGCTCACATGAGGATCCACACAGGAGAGAAACCCTTCCTCTGTAGCGTCTGTGGGAAAGGATTCAGGCAGAGGGGGACTCTGAAAACACACATGATGATCCACACAGGAGAGTCCACTCACCGATGCAGCGTGTGTGACAAGAAGTTCTATAAAAGTGGAGCGCTAAAGATCCACATGAGGTCGCACACCGGAGAGAAACCGTATCTGTGCAACGTCTGTGGGAAAAGCTTCACGGCCAGCGGCTCGCTGACCAAACACATGGGCGTCCACGAGGGGGAGCGAGCGCACAGCTGCAGCGTCTGCAGGAAAGGGTTCACAAGGAAGGAGGATCTGAAAAAACATGTTCAGACTCACCCAGAGGAATCCACACAAAGTCTTTAATGTTTGTTAAAGGAGAAGTTCAACATTTTGATAATACGCTAATTCACTTTCTTTTCAAGAGTGAGATAAGGATATCAATAACAAGAGCTGAACTCTGTAATTTTCCATCTTTTTAGTTGCAAGGAGTTGCATTTTTTCTGTCTTTTGTGATGGTAAATATATAATATTGGTCTGTTCATCATAAACAACTGACTTAGCAAAACCCAACTCTTCACTATTACCTACAGTTGTGTTCACAATATATTCATTACATGTATTGCTGTTATTCTGTTTATCTTGCTTTACCCTTTTGATTAGTTCTTAGTTATTCTCTTCATGTTTTATCAACATTAAGTGATGTGTCCATTTTCTATAATATCTTTTATGTTCTATGCTGCAATCTTGTTCAGGACTTCTCTGGTTAAACATAGATGTGGTTAGCTTTGTTTTACATAAAGCTGCTCGTGGGAAACAAATCCAACACATCTAAAGCTTGAGATTTTATTTATATGACTGAAACGGAGATGGCAAGTTTTTCCTAAATGTTGAACTATTCCTTTAAATGGTATGATATTCAATTTGAATGTTATTTGTGTTACATTCACATGTGTTTTGATGAAACTGTGAAGGAACACCATCATTTCTAAAATAATATTTTACAATGATAAGTCCTGCTTTATTGGTATGCAGTATGCACACTACTTGAAGAAATAATTCAAAATCTAAATGATTTCGTTTTTTCTGGTGTCATTTGTAATCCAACTTTCCTGGTTTATTGAAACGGTTTTAACATTAACCTTGTGCCTCTTCAGGGGTGCTAATACTTAAATGTAAACTTTATCTTTTGATATCGCCGTATTTAAATGTTGATATCCGTTAATATCTGTACTTTATCTCTGTTCTTTTTCTCCGTCAAGTTTTTGCTTTGGGAACAGTAACTTCCTGCTAATAGCGCAAAGTTGCCTTCAAAATAAAAGCATGTCTATATAAAACAGGAAGTTACGTTAAGACATGTATGCAATGAAAGTAACAAAAACAATGCCATCTCCTTTTCAGGTTTGAAGAACACAAATTGGGTCATTTACATATTCCTGCTTGGGGCGCAGAAATCTTTGGCAATTGACTCGTTATAAGTGGTGCATGCGCAGTCCGCACCTCTTCAATACAAGTGATAGGAGCAGCTCGGGGCGCACCAAGCTAAGCCCAAAGCAGCTGTTGACACTGCCAACAACTAGGGGGCAGCAGGAGCACCAGAGTGAGTGATTGACGTTTGAATGAGAGAGAGTTAGATGGAGACGGAGTGTAAACAAAACTAGATAGCGAAGGAAAATGATGTTTAATCACTTAAAGAAACACCCTTGAGAGGAGGACACTGGAGGGAAAGCTGAGAGTAAAAGAGCTCGGACCTGATCAGCCTGACATAGGCAGGAGTTAAGGACAGAGTTTGTTCATGCTTTTTAGTTTTTTCTGATATGTGCTTTAGTCACTCACATCTGTCTGGATCCATGCTGGTTCTGATCCTGACGTTTGAAAAAAAGGAGGCAGGGGAAGCAAAATATAGCACTGGTGTTGCTACAGGTAGTTAGCCTTCTTGCTAAACCAGCTCCTTGAAAAAGAGCACGTATACTGCCTTCCTCTGTCCTTAACTCCTGCCTATGTCAGGCTGATCAGGTCCGAGCTCTTTTACTCTCAGCTCTCAACTAGTTTTTACAGTACTACGGCTTCCACAGATAACTTTTTTTAATGGATTTTTTGTCAAAGCACTTAAGATATTCATTGCTATCGGGATGTTAAGAGCATTCCATGGAATATAACAAAGTGTATCTCGAGCCGGTTTCTCAAATGTACCTACCCCACCTTTAAGTGGAGATGAAAGAATATTCAATTGGCTCACCAAACCATAATTCATTACCATAAAATAATGTGCCTAAATGGCTCTTACAAATGGTATACTACCCAACCCCAGACCAACAAACCTTGTGAAGCTGTACATTTTGGCTCTGGGAAATTGTGATGGCATTTCTTACTGTTTTTCTCAAATTTCTATAAACCAAGCAATCGTGCTGCTTTTAAATGAACGTATTAGTAATAGTAAACTAATCATATAACAGTAACAGGGGGAATTCTGAGTATTGTACAGTGTAGTACTTTTACTTATTAAAGGATCAAAATACTTCCTCCACCCCTACCAGTGATAAATCCAACGCCCTCACACGAGAAAGGCTTTTATTGTGAAGCTTCTCGACGGCTCCTCCTTTAGATTTTTGACAGCTTCACATTTAAAGTTCAACTGTGTCTTGATAAAAACCATGACATTGTAAAACATAGCAAACACACAAAGATCAGTTAAACACCATTTATTTTTCTGCTTAAATAATGACTTGGATCATCCAGTGTAGGCTATGTTGGTTTGTCATACATGTTGGTACCAGATTCATCATTAACTTAATGCTTAAGGTGGTTTCGTATGAAAAAAGACATACAGAGAGAAGAAATTAAATTTCACAAGAACCGTAGATCAGATTTCTAACAATGGGATTTAGCCATTAATACAAATTGGATAATGGGGCTAAAAAAATTACATTCTGTGTTCTTATGTAAATACAACCTGTTAAATAAAGATAAAAGTCATCAAACCGTCAAAATAAAAGTCCCCTTTTTAAAATCACAGCAGACCTAAAAGCTTAAACGTAGACTCCTAGTGTGCATGATGGGCTTACATATAGACATTTGTATTTGATGTTTCACACACACAGGGCTGCTAGCAGTTAGGAGAAAACACAACGCTCTGCAGGTTACATCGGGGACAACGTCAGCACCTCGCTGTGCGTGTGTTTACATGTTCATAAAAAACGGTTATAGATGACACATGGTTGGGTTATTATGAGTGCTATCAAAGACAGAAGTAACATCTCTCTAATTGTATTACAGTGTATTTGAATTAGGAGGAAAATTAAAGGAAAGCGTTTAAAATAAGGTGACGTCACATGCAGCAAAATATTATTTCTCTGAAGACAAATAATGTTCCACAGGAAGTAGATGTTGGCTTTTGAAGAAACGTCCTTTTAAAATCAAGCAAGTATTATTTGTTTTCCATTCCTTTCTCTTTACATACAGCTTTTTTGTTGTTCTTTTTTAAATTCATTTAGGAGGAGCGTGTCAGGTCGCACTCTCAAGGCTGCTCAAACAGTGTCGACCTCAATACAAACGCACCGACTCGGCAAAGCTTCCACTCAAATCAGTGCATAAACAATCTGTGAAGCTACTGATTACTATTTTTTTGTTTTCATTTTATACAGTGTCATTTATATACAACAAAAATCACCCATTTACTATTATATTTCATTTAAAAAAAAGAAAGAACCACATGGTACACCCCAATACTGCGGGTCCAGGAGGAAAGAATAGACCATATAAGGCGAGTGTCTGGGAGAGAGAGTGAATCCTTATCTGTCAGCGTTTAGTTTTCCTTGTTCATGCCATCTTTGGTCACACACGCCTTCCATTGGTTAAAGATCATGTAAGAAAGCTCCAGCTCACGTCCGTGTGTGTCTCTCCCGTGTTGTTTCCAACAGTGAGTGAGTTGTGGTGACATGCTCATGCGAAATCAAAGAAAAGTTTAGCTTGTTGTCTTGCTGAAAACCATGCGTTGTAAGTGAAAGCTTCAGACACGTTTTTGGCCGATTGACGAGGCTTCCAGTCTTGTCTTTCCTCCCAGGGCGTGTTTAGAGTTGCAGATGGACCTCATGGACCTGGAGGGAGACACATTACATTAACATTTGAGGCTATACTGTAGTTATTCAATGCCCCAGAGTTAATAAGATCTGTTAACGGGCTGATATTCTGCAATCGTTTAGTAGGTCTTAAATTGGATTGAATTTGATCATTAATTTGGTTGATTTTCCAAACAAAAATGACATGAAATAGCTACTTCCTGCTTCTCAAATTTGCGGCTCCTGTTTTTTTATGATTATAAATGTAATATATTTGGCTTTCTGGCTGTTGGTTAAAAAAAGGCTATTTGAAATATAGATGTAATGCAATTTTATATACTTTCTGACATTTTAACACTAAATATTAAGGAAAATTAAATCGATATTGAAATTGAAAGCCAGTATGCTTCTTTTCTGCTTCTTTTTCAGCTAGTTACAAAATGTGTTGAACATTTCCAAAAATACTAATTTGATATAGGTTTAACACAGAGGGACAGTTTTGTTGCATATTTATCTAACAAAAATTCTAAAATACATAGCAGATTAGAGTGTATTAAAGGTGGGGTAGGTCATTTTGGAGAAACCAGCTCGAGTGCGCTAGAATTTGAAAATACACAGCCGGAACAAATCTGCCACTTCCTTACAGAGCCCCTCCTCCAACACACACAAATGCGCACATGACCAATGAGGGCACGAGATAAGTTTGTGCCCAGATGGAAGGCTGACAGGCAGGTAGGCCATCCAGTTACTTTAGCCGGGCCGGCTAAAATGATTGGCCGTGCTTTTTACAGTACTACGGCTTCCACAGAGGACATTTCTTTATGGATTTTTTGTCAAAGCACTTAAGATATTCATTGCTATCGGGATGTTAAGAGCATTCCATGGAATATAACAAAAAGTGTATCTCAAGCCGGTTTCTCAAACTTACCTACCCCACCTTTAAGAGATTGATGTTTATTATTATATTCTTACCTGCTTGAGTTGAGTGCTCTACTGTTATGACTGACTCTTCTTCCCTTGTTTCTTATTGGCACTGTCTCCAGGCTTGGCGGGGGGAGAAGCATCGAGTTTGGTCAGAAGAGAGAAAAACAAAGAAAATAAAGTTAGAGTGGTGCTCCGACTAAACATGAAGTGTGTTAGTGAAGCGCAGTGGAGCTGAACTACTGCGGAGGAATCACAGGAAGCATGCTGCAAGAGAGGCGGGCTTAAGGAGAGAAAAGGATGTTAGTATTACTACTTCAAATCACACGTGCATCAGCACATCTTAAAAAGAAAGAACTGTATTAATTTCTCTATGGTAGTACTTATACACGTAATATTAGTATTTCTCAAACCACAGCAACCTGACATGGCTGTTGTTGGACATCAAACACTACTGACACACTGCAGTACAGAGGAAACACACACACTGCTACTCTATTACACAGCACTCAACACACAGCTCAGTTTAGTACTGAGATCAGACTTCACAACAGGAGCCCGACCCTACAGATATGCACAACTTTTTATGTATTCTATGGTCAAGTTTAATATGATCCATAACCTGTCTTTGATACAATAGTTCCATCCACTATTGTATTGTGAATATTAGGAGTTATTTCAAGGACATGATCAGCAGGTGGCACTATTCCTCTGGTCAGATTCCATTGAAACCAATGCAGAAAGCGAGAGCTCAACCTGATGATATCATACCATAATAAACGCCAGTCGAACCAAGTCAAATGAAAATGATGGTGGAAAACCTAATGGAAACTTAATGTGGCTTTTAAATAGATTGCTGTAGTCTGAAGTTTAGGTGCCATTATCTTCTCATTTGATGTAGTGGCTAAAGGAAAAATATCAAAGGAGAAGGTAGCTTAACTAGCCTGTAGCTAAGTTGTTTTTATTGTATTGTAAAAAGTGCTCTATATGCTTAAAGCAACAGGCCTAAGCTCGTCCTCATTTGCCTCCACTAGTTTACTTCGGCTCTTGACTGTGACGGATCCTTCCCATTCCTCTGAGTGCTCACACAGGTAAAGCTTCATGCAGGTGTAAGGAGGCGCGGATAGTTCAGGTGAAGACGTTTGACGGTTGGTGTTTAACCCCAACCTCAGTTTTTTCTCCAGATTTCTCAGCCTTGTTGGCATGCCGGGAGCGCTTCCCCCTCTTCTTGCTCTTCCCCCCCTTGGATCCTGAAGAAGAGGCAGCATCTGCTCCACCTGTGGCTACACCATCCCCACCACCACCAACACCAGCTCCGTCTTCTGTAATAATATCGCCTTCACTTTCCCTCCTCTCAGCCGTGTTGTACACACGGCGCACCACCTTTCTGATCACCTGTAGGGCAGATGCATGTCATGGGGAGGGAAGCAGGAGAGCATTATGTGAGCAGGCATAATGAAAAGGAGGGAGAGGAGGAGGAGTGTGTGTGTGTGTGTGTGGTGTGTGTGTGTGTGTGTGTGTGTGTGTGTGTGTGTGTGTGGTGTGTGTGTGTGTGTGTGTGTGTGTGTGTGTATAGTAACGTGTGATACAGCCTGTATGTTACTGTGTGAAAGAGGCTGTGTGTTTTCTGTTGAACGACTGTATTTCAACCCTTTTTCCCTTTTCAAGCAGTTCTAGTTAAACGTTTACGTATCAATTCAAAAGAAAAACGGTCATGTTATGTAATTTAGTAACACCAGATAATAATAAGAACACATGATAGTGGTGCACGGCCTCTTGTGGCCGAAATGAGTATTACGAAAACAGATATGATTTGTTTCCTACCCGTTTTTTAGAGACCGTAAATGAAAAACACAAGATACACTTGCCTCTAGTTCAGGGGTGCCCAACCTTTTTTGAACCGAGAGCTACTTCTAAAGTTGCCAGTCTGCCGAGATCTACCAGTCCAAATAGAGAGGCGTAGTTACTGACAGCCTACTACCAGGTAAATACACACTTCTGCTTGTATAAAACTGACCTTCGTACGATTAATACTTCATAAAATCCTGCAGATCCTTTATCTTACCTCTTTCTAATCTACACACATACAAGTATTTAACTGAAGTTACACAACAGTGTTGTTGATACAGAGTTGGAGTTTATTCACACGTCACATACTACAGTAATGTTTTCAAGAAACATTGAACAGTGCTGCCACACATGACACAGGGAAAAAAGAAAAGACTCTGAACCCTTTCTTTGCCATTATATAAAAATAGTGTTGCTACAAAAGTATAAATTACGCTTACTAATAAGACAACTCAGATCTGAAGCTACACAGGGATCTGCTGCCAAAGTGCAATAAAAAAGAAAAAATTAATAGAATCAAACCCTTTTTTTTTGTTGCATTTTAGTAGATTATAAAAATAAATGCCTTTAAAATAGGATGCAAGCAACACTAGTTTCTTAACCTGAATTGATAATAGACTATAATCAATTTAAACAGAACAGATCTTAATGTTTGCATTCTTATACCATTTTGTACAATAATTGTAATGAATAAGTTCAAACAAACTAAAACTTACAGCTGATTAATAACGGTATCTAACTTGAGTTTTTATTATATCAAAAACCTTTTGAAATTCTACTGTTATTTTTACTGTCCCCCAAAAGCGCGTCGCAGCCTCCAGGAATGCTTCTTTCACAACTTCGCCGTCTTTGAAAGACTTCATGTGTTTCTCAAGAACGTGACCGACATGATAAGATGCTCTGGTAGCAGCCTTGCTCTTGTTGTTGAGCCTGGTGAAAATGGACTGCTGTGCATTTAGCTGTCCTTTCAGGCCCCTCCCCTTTTGGGAGCGTAGGGCAGAATTAGGAGGGAATTCCGTCTCGTAGCATTTGTGCACTGTTTTGAAATACCGCTCCTAAATTACCCTTCTTCGATAAAGCCACGCTCGCATTGCAGATGAGACAGATGGACTTTGAATTGGAATAGATACAAAAATAATCATCCTCCCACTCGGAGTGAGAATTATATATTTGGTGCTTTTTTGCTTCTGCCATTGCGGTCTTGTGTGTGTGCGGACTGTCACTCCTGTTGACACGGACAACGTCAGCGAACGTTGCCCACTGCCACGCCACGTCAGCCCACTGCCCACAAGCCACGCCCCAACACATGGGGTCACGCCGGCCAATCACAAAGCTTTGATGCGTTCAAGTGCATTATTCTGGCACAGGAAGATTATGTTATAGGACATTAACGATAAAACAGAATATTGTTGTTCTATTTTTAGACACATCTCGCGATCGACTGGGAATCTCCCCGCGATCGACCGGTCGATCGCGATCGACTGGTTGGGCACCCCTGCTCTAGGGGCTTCTGTAGAAACACTTCTGTTTGTGTGTGTGTGTGTGTGTGTGTGTGTGTGTGTGTGTGTGTGTGTGTGTGTGTGGTGTGTGTGTGTGTGTGTGTGTGTGTGTGTGTGTGTGTGTGTGTGTGTGTGTGTGTGTGTGTGTGTGTGTGTGTGTGTGTGTGTGTGTGTGTGTGTGTGTGTGTAGTGTGTGTGTGTGTGTGTGTGTGTGTGTGTGTGTGTGTGTGTGTGTGTGTGTGTGTGTGTGTGTAAGCTGTCGGGTAAAGAGGTGATGGATGAGGATGAGGATGGTTACTTTTCTGGTGACCAGATTCCCGTCTTCATCTGTGAACTGCTCCTCCGTCACAGACTCCCCAGGAATGTTTCTGGCTTTCTCTCCCTGGGATGAAGGGTTAAAGGATGAGTGAAAGGGGGATGGAAGGGTGGAGTACAGGTCGGGAAAAGTTACGAGAGGTAATCTTGTTGACATTCATCTGGTTATTTAGAATAAAGAGAATATACGTCTGCCTGCCACAGAAGATGGTTTTCAAAGTGCAGTTTCCTTTTAATAAACTCTCAGATAGATAAAAACATATGCTATAAATTAAATCTTTGACCATGTTAATCTGTGATGCAGCACAGCAAACAGAAAAACATGACTTGTTACAATACTTTAAAGGTGTTTAAATTCAATAAAATGTTGATTTGGCAAAGTAATACTTTGGAACCAAGGGATGAAGGTGCATGATACAGGCTCAACATGTTAGCAAGGCTCTGAAAACAAGCTTCAAAATGCACACCTGCAATTTTAAATGAAGGTTCAATCTAGTTATGGATAACTGTAACTGTTAATCATGACAAATCTCAGAGACCAACAGCATTAAGTGGAGAACAAGTGAAAAAAACCTCCTGCCATGACGATGGGTTCTTCCTTCAAACTCATGTCATGCACAATAAAGGAAAGCCATGAATCACTGTCAGCTCAGCTGAGGCTCCATTCACACAGAGACAGATTGCCTGAGCAGCTAACTTTAGTCAATCGACAACAAAATGAATTGGTTTAAGTTATTATTTAGGAAGTTCTCAATTTCAAGCCTCTTTAGTGTCCGTACATGCTGGTTTTATTTATCTTATAAACTGAATATCTTTGGGTTTTTGAAGTTGTTTTTTTTATACACCAATCGATCGTTCCATGAATCTAGAAAATATTCATCAAATCAACTTTGAATGAAAATAATTGTTAGTTAGATAAATGTGTTTTGTACAATAAATGTAAGCATTAAGTTGATACTGTTATTGCTCTTGAATCAAGAGTGGGCAAACATCTGAGAGCTCTTGCTCCAGGGGCACACGGGCGTTGCGACCATCAAAGTTGGGTTTTTACATACTTTAAGAGATTTTCTGCTCCTGTGGAAATCTAGCCTCATTATACGCACACATAGTATAACACTCTCTTGATTTGAGCCAAACGCACAGCACAACCAGGAAGAAACACCAAACAGCTGGTGGATCGCACCAACAAGCAGTGAGTAGCACTTCATGAAAAAAGGCTATAAAGCAAGGCTAAACAACCATATACACTAAGCCCCCCACATACACACTGTCCTTTGCACATAGACAATGTTTCCATCCAAAAAAAAAGCAAATCAATTGGATCTATCATCCATAATTGTGATGTTAATATTAAGTGTTGGTGCAGATCCAGATAATAAGTTGAAGATGGTCATTCTCCTGTCGGGTGCCATAAAACCATTTCCTGAAGACTCCAAACAACATTATGTAATTGGAATTACGGTGAACTTGATGGAAATGTGGTATTTATTCAGGCATTTGTTTGACTTTTTTGTGTATTTTATCTTAATTCAATGCATTTCAAAAAAATCAAGCATAAACAAATTCTGTGTGATATTTAAACTTCTTGAATTTGAACTCTCCAAAACACTGTTGGATGGAAACACTCTGTATGTTACACTCTCTGTCACACAAATACAACACCAAGTAAAAAACGATCTACTTTCACTCTATAAAACACACAAATGCTGAGCACACACCAGCACAGCCTCTACATTTTTGTTCTGTTTCTGCAACTGGCGCCTCTACACACACTTGTTTCGGAAAGCTTTAAGCATGTTCACTCTGCCTGGAGCCGCCACACAGCAGGCTTTACACACCTTGAGTATGACCCGTCTGCGGAACACCCTGGTGGTGACAATGGTCTCCCCATCGGAGCCGGACTCATCGATAGCACTCCGCTGATGAGGGCAGTCCAGGAGCATTGTTACAATAAGGACCAAGTGTGTGTGTGTGTGTTCTTTACTTTATGACTTAAAGGTAAGTTAAAGCAAAAATTGGAGACATTTGTTTCCAAAAAAAACCACTACAACTAAATGTAAGGCTATAAGACCTTGAATTATAACAAAATGCTATTTGGTCCACAATGACATGAGGTTTCTTCGGGAAAAAAACACATAGTTCAATAATGACAAATGAGTCCGCTAACCCCTCTGTTTTAAAGAGTGACTCTCACCTGGACTTTGTGCTGGGACCTTTCTCCTCCCTCCTCCCGTCCTCCGCTTGGTCCCGCTGTGCTGCTGTCCTCCTGAGATCCCTTCCTCTTGGCTTCCTTTTCCTTTCCGTCCCTGACGGTGTCGATGTGACCTCCGTTCTGTCGGTTGGCCTTAGCCGGGGGCTGCTCCAAAGAATCAGCCAGACTGTCGGGGCTGTGGGGGTGACATGTGGGGAGGAGATTAAATCAGATGTTACCACCAAACTACTCACAACTTGGTGTTTACTAAACGTTATTATATTCCATGATACCCACACTATATCATGTCATATTTGATTAGTCTTTTTTGTGTTGGGTGGGGTTCCTTATCTGCTTCCAGGGTCTTAAGACAGAGGATGTAATATACTATATATTATATATAGTATTCCATAATATGTTTCTACACTATACTATGTTATAATATGTTACTACCTTTCAGCTTATCTGATGTCAAATCATAATTATGACATTAGCCCAATTATTTATAATATTAAGATATTATGTTTGCATTTGTATCTTTAATCAATCCAGTCACCTGTGCTTGGAATTGCTGTTTCCAAATGCTCTTGAGAAAGTTATATTTTGGGTTTTTATTTTTTATTTTCATTATAATATCCTTATATTGTTGTGTTAATTTATTCTGCGGTATATCGGCCACGACACTCTTGAGGTATATCTTTTTCCAGTCCAGTGACAGATTTTAAGGTTAGACAAAAATAGGTTACGTTAAATGTTTAAACTAAATAAAACCAGATCCTACCTGCCGTCCTCGGTGCCGGGGCTGAGGCCGGGGGCTGCTGACTCGGCGGTTGCGCCGGACGTCTCATTTCTCCAGCCTGGAACTGAACACACGTCTTTTTCTGCTTGGTGCAATTGATCGAGAATAGCATTCATCCTCTCCTCTGTCATCTCCTCGTCCTCCAAGCCTCCTTCCAGCTTTATATCGTCCAGCAGACTCTGCAGCCTCTCCGGGGTCATCTCCTCCTCCTCCTCCTCCTCTTCCTCTTCTTCATGCCTTCCATTCCCATGAGGTGTTTCTGAGGCGGCATCCTCTCCCTGACGCTCCAAAACACCTTGTTCCTCTGCCTTCAGTTCTTCCTCTAAGGCCTCAGCGTACCCCTGTGGTCCCTTTCCTGATTGCTCTACTGCCCTTCTGTCATTATCTGGCCTGTCATAATAAACCAGCCCTGTCTTTTCTTCCTTAGAAATCTCTACTTCTCCACTGGTCAACGCTGTATCTTCTGCCCCAACAATGGGGGGCTGAGCGACACTGGAGGTGGGGCCTGGGGCGACTGTGGGGGGGTCACTGCTGGAAGTACTGGTGGTCTGAGTGAGAGAGAGGTCGCTAGGTCTAGTAAGCGTGATCTTGCTAGGGGAGTCTGCGCTAGCTTCGCCCTCACTAAAGAAGTCATCTGGGCGAAGAGGGGTGAGGGGCTGGGAGTTCAGTTCTGTGGGGGTTTGCAGTTCCAGGTCTATATTGTCGTATCCTGGGTGGATGGCAGGAGTAAAGGATTAGAGGGTGAAGGGATGCAAGAGGTAGGGAAAGACAAACACAGGGAGGAAAGGAGGGGAGGGAATGAGGGGGTAGAGCAGTGGGGGTGATGATATGAGAAACACTTGTAACATCTAAGGGTATATGTTCAAAAGTCACACAGAGAGACTTTTAAGCTGCATTACCTTGTTTTTTTTGGCAACTTGGATCAGAAGCTATAAACAAAACATTGACCTTTTATCACCTTATAAAGCTGGAATTGGGAACTTGCTAGCAAACAGTTATCTGTTTACACATGAAGTAGAAACAGCGTAACACTAGCCCTCATTCTGAATCGTATTTATGCTCCAACCAATAGTTGGGTATCAGCAAGTGTTTAAGGTCCTTACCCACTTGACAGCTTTTTAGCCATTGGATGCTCCACTTTGTTGACCAGTTGGCCGCTAGGTGCTAGCTGTCAGCTTTGGGCAGGTAGTTTACATTAATGCATTCACTCTTTTCCCCCCCTTCTTTTGATCTGGCCAATCCTTGAGAAAATACCACTAGGTGTTCTTTACCTGCTAGTTGCTACCTTTTCCTGACTGGTGCTAGGTTGGAGGCAAACAGTGGGTTTGTTAGCATTTTGACAATAATAGCAGCTGCCTTATGTTGACTGTCTTGGTTTTTTGGCCTGAAGAAACTTCCAACTATTTTCAAAATAATTAAAAAAAACGTTATGTAAAGGTGAGAGGAACTGTAGTGTAGGGGGATTATTCTCTACTGACGACCACACAGCAAATATCTTGTGAACATAGTGGAGCATTAAGCAGCTAATGAGCCAGATATTACCCTCAGTAGGTGGTAGAGACCAAAAACAGAGTGAATACAAGCTAACTGACCATTAATACCAATCGAAATGAATGGGAATGTCCCCCCATATTTGATTAATATGTAATAAACAACTGTTTTGCTTTGTTAAGAACTTGTTCTGATGCCTCCTAGTGGTCACAAAAGTAGAAGAATAAATGCTGCTTTAAGGTTTTTCTTCATTCAACACATGGAGACTCCTGTGTGACTTTGAACTTTACAGAGTAGACACATGATCAGATCACAAGATGAAAACAGAGAAACCAAAGTACCAAAGACAGAATATAAAAAAATAAGATTGAAACTTGATCTGCATCTCATTTATATATTTGAACATGAACATTCAGTCTGTTTTATGACTGTTTCATACGGTTTTGTTTTCAAACTGGAGCTTAATTCAGCCACACCTTTTGTTAAAGCACTTAACCCTAAAGAAGCCTGACTTCAGCTCATCCTCTCAAACATTGTGTGAATGTTAGAGTATTAGACAAAGCTTAAAGTAGAATTCAGGTAGGTTAGTTGTGTTGTTTCAACAAAAGGCAGAGAGGAGCAAAGCAACACAGGCCTCTAAATGTAAACTTCAGGGACAGAGCGATCCTTCCTGAAGTAAGAAGGGATGCCAGGAGGGAGGGGAGAGGGAGGAGGGGAGGGACGAAGCAAAGGGGGAGAAGGTGAGTGATAATTTAGGGGAGGAGAAGGGGGGCAATGATGTGGGGCAGAAGGAAGGGGAGGAGAGGGTGAAGGTGAAGGAAATAGTAAGGGGGGAGAAGTGGTAGGAAGTGGAGGAGGAGTGGAGGCACATATGAAAGATGGAAAGTAGGGAGGAGAATGAGAAGATGTGGAAGAAGGGGAAGAAGAGGGAAGAGGGGGGGACAATTTAACAGTTGGAGGAGACGGAGAAAGGGGAAGAGACTCAAGAGGGAGAGGAGAAATGGAGGAAGAGGTAAGAGGTGAGGACAGACTGGGGGTTAAGGCAGGGAAGCGACAAGAAATGAACGGAGGAAGAGAGAAAAATGAGGAGCAGCTAAAAGGGCTTTCAGGGGAGGAGGGGGGAGGTTGGGGGTAAGAAGGAGCAAAGAAGTGAGGGAGAACAGGAGTGACAGGCAGGACGTAAATGGGAGGTAAACAAGAGGGAGACGGGAAGTGAAAGACAATGGAGGAAGTAGGGTCAGCAGGAGGAAGGGGGAGAGAGAAAGGAGCGATATGGCTGGGATGAGAGGGATGAAAGGAAGAGAAGATAGAGGTAGAGGAGGGAGGAAGAAGAGCTACAGGCTGAAGGGTTTGACAACACAAGGAAAACGTGGGAGACCTTAGAAGTTTCAGAGCTATTACAAATATTCCAACCACAAGAAACAAAACGAAACAGAAAACAACCGTTAGACAAGACTTGGATGAAAAGACAGATAAATGCACAGACAGTGAGGTGAGCGATGAAGTCTTAGTGTTTGAGAAGCTGCAGAAGCAAACGCATTGCACACTACTGTCATGGGATTGCTTATCTTTCGGTAGATAAGCAGGAATAAGCTCCTAAGTGAATAGCGATAGCATCTTCCGGAACAGTGGAGAGAGAAATAAGGGGGGAAATATATTGTCTGGCTTTGTCTTGCATCAGGACAGGCTTTGGGATGTAGGTAAAGTTTGTTGAGCTGAAGATTCATTTTCTTAGAGGAACTAAGAAGTAGGACAGGCGCTGGGAATGCTGAAAGGCTGGGTTGTATAGGCAGGATTTTTTAAATAATGAGATTCATAGACCAAATTTCCCCGGAGTAAACCCACACTCTCTAAAGACATATTTGGCTAGCCTTCAAACAGCTGTGGTGTCCTAATTCCATAAATAATCCTAACATACAGTAATTACTATGTATTTTGTACTAACAGGAAGTTATGTATACACATTACAATATGTCACTTAATACATATCGAATGCCACTACCAATTAAACCTCACAAAAAAAAAAACTATTTAAAAAACGTTTTGAAGTGTTTTTCTAGCTGTCTCAACTAAATGAAATCAAATCTTTTTGTATGTGCTCCTACATTTCCTTTGCAAATGTTTCATCTTCTGTGCAGCACCAAGTATTTGTGCATGCTTTTGTAAGTACAATATTGTAGATTAAACACAAACTCACAGACTGATTGTTTTGAGTTTACTAATCTAGATAAATAGCCTGAATGTAATGGCAGCTCACACTACAGACTGAAAATCGACTCATACCAAAACACCAACATTCCCAGAACAAATATTCAAATGACCTTGTTGTCCTCAAGATTAAAGTTATTTTGAAAGGGCAATATGGGCGGGGATATGATAATGCAAATTGATGTGGATGTCATCCATTCAGAAGCTACACTGGGATCCAGAAGCTGCTGAAGTTAGCATAGGTAGCCAGCGGTGGGAATTAGCCGGTTAGTGGTGTTTAGCGCTGAGGAGGTTGCTGAAGGAGTTAGTCACTCAGAAGCAGAGGAGGAGGAGAGAGGAGGAGGAGGAGCGGCGGGGAGTCTGCTGGTCTCAAAGCAGGAGAAGCTACAGAGGAGTGTAGAGGCTGGAAGGCTCCGAGGAACCCAGGAGATGAGAGGTGCAGCTAACAGCAGTAACACAGAAGCATCAATATACACTGTACACTTCGAAAAAAGGCGTTTCATTTTCAACTCATCTGTGAGCGTCACCTAGGACAGAGCGCATTCATACATCAACGTGAGCAAGCGCTCGTGCATCATGTGTTGAAAAGGCTGCACCCATTTGAAGAGTGCCAATATCATTAGCGCAGGCAGCCTCACACGGAGCCAAAGCCATGCATTTTGTGGGTTTTATCTGTTAAATGTTGGCTGCATTTTAAATCATCTTTGCAAAAAGATCCACTGCTTTCATAATAAAGCAAAAGTAACGCTGACCTTTGTGTTAAGATGACTTTCAGAAACACAAGTAGACAGAATGGCAATGAGACCCATTTCAGAAGTATGACTCAAAAAGTGCCTGGATAAAACTGTAGTTAAATCTACAGACTGCTGAAAAGTGTTGATCCGATTGGTTTCATTGACAAGCAAAGGAACAACCTTGGAGAAATGTGTGGTTGTTTGCTGTTGGAAAAAAAATCAAGTACATAATTGATGAAATGGTGGATGAAGTACTCAAAAAGAGAATACGTTAGTCCTCATGCAGCAGGGTGGTTCCAGTCATTATCATATACATTACATTATGTAGTTATTATCAGCAATGCATTACCATTTAAAGAGCATTTTACTGTTGCAGTTTGACAAACTATTTTTATGGTATATGCATTTTTTGTAGTTTAAATATTAATCTGTTAAGTAATTGGTAACTTTAGCTAACAGAGTAGTAAAAAGTAAAATATTTCCCTTTGAAATGTAGCCGAGTAAAATCATGAAGTAGCAGAAAAGGTAAATACTCAAGTAAACGGTACCTCAAAGTATACTGTAATACTTGAGTACATTTGTTCCAAAGAAATGCAAATGTGCAAATATCTGAACAAAATATCAATGGTCAGATTGCATTGTGGGTAATGTAAGCACCAGTAATTGACTAGAAATAAGAACGCTGTGGTAAAAATACACAATATCAATCAACTATCTGTAACAAAAGGCACATCGTCATCACATTTCTGAAATGCCCCTCATTGGCTCTGTCAGATGAGCAGATACTGGTAGCTGCCACATTTAGTTTTCATTTAAGAGGATAGAGAGAAAGTTAGAAAGAGGGAAAGCCTTGCCATGCTGCTTAAAGCAAGCATGCTGTTATTAAAAATAGTTTTGTATGTATTTTCTAATAGCATATGACAGAAATTGAAATCATGAACCAAGGCCGTCAACATTCTGACAAATGAGTTTCAACATAATTATCAACACATTCATCAGATGGGAACGAGACAGCGGTTCATTAGCTGCTTACATTTGCTTCATGATCATGCTTTTTAACCGTTTATAACATACATACTAAAAAGTCTCATGTACCCAAAATGGTACAGATTTTTAGCAATAATCACCCACAAATCTATCACTTGCCATTAACGTTCCAATGACTGAGTGCTTAAGTTAAATGCACTGCCCAGTGTTGGAAAACTAACAAGCTGAGTGGGGTGACTAATCAATAAGGACAACTCTAATGCTATTACTACCTGATGGTCCATTTACTGATTTGCTCAATGAACCTGCTGGAGCATTAAGTATTTTCGGTTCAAGTTCCATTGTTTGGTCAGGCCTGATTGGTTGTAGTATTATTTTGAAGTTGGACTATCTATCTGAGAGAGGAGGTGAAGAAGGGTGAAGGGATAGACTGAGAGATAGACTGATAGTTCAGCTAGGGTGGGCTACACTTTACCATCGGACTGATCCGGGAATACTGCGTTATCATCGGCAAAGCAGCGTGTGCCTGAAATGTTACCGTAGTCAAATATGGGCCCTTCCAGCAAAGTCACAATATCCAACCGATTGATCTTAGTCAGCACCGCAGTTAAAGCATCCGCTAGGGAGGAGAGAGACGGAGAAATAGCATTCACAGTCATGTTGTGATACTATAAAAAAGTAATATTGCCAGCTATATTGATTAATTGTTTTCATAAAGTAGCAACCAATATGTATTCTCATTTACGAGAAAAACTAGATATAACCTTGAATGGCAATAGCATTTTTCTGTGTCACATGAACAATCACTGCTTACTTGTGGCGTTTTTACCGTCCCTGTACACCCATTTCTTAAGGAGCATGAAGCTCTGTGCTGTCAGGGAGTTGGGGTTCTCCACTCTGATAAAGTTGATCTCATCCACAGAGAAATCCATCTCCCTGGCCAGCTCTGTAACAACACAAACACCAGAAATATACATTTTTTTACGAGAAAGTCAAACCATGCAAATGCCATAATTTGTTGATCAATGGGTCGACATTACATGAATCTAATTTCCAATTCCTGCTCCTCGGATAGCCTTATTTCCGGAAATGATATCAGGTTTTCATTGACACATGCCACACCCTTTTACCAAGTTTGGCCAGTGGTTTTCAATAATTCTGCTGACTAACAAACTGACCAACCAAGCCAAGGTTATAAAAACGTCTGCACTGTGATTTAGTCACTATCTGACAGAATCACAAATCGACTTTGCAAAAGGGTACAAAAACGCCTCCACACATGCAGATACTTTAGAAAACAGAGAGTTATCTGATGACAAGCTGCGGACTGAAACATCACGTGAGGTAAACAAGTTGCTGCCAAAGGGATTTACACAGGGTTACGTGTGTAGCAATGCAGAAAGGCAGAAATGATATATAGCAAGAAAATATATATGGAGAGCAAGGCTTTCTAAATTATATTTCAGATATGCAGCTGATATAATTATGATGATTATAATTCCCCTTCCAACTGATCTGTTTTCATGTAACAAATAAACGTGATTGCTTATGAAACATAGGGGCTGGACATATTTTTATCGGATGAAAAAATATCAATACTTGTGTGGATACGTAAATATATTTATATTGCCAAACACTGTGCCAAAACCTAATGAAGGCTTCTCGTACAGACAAGCATAAGGGCTATAAATATGAAACTGCGAGAACATTATGTTCAGCAGATCGTTCACTGCTGCTCTGCAACAGGAACACACATTAAATATGGATTAGGTTCCACTCACTCAGTCACTGCATCGGACAGACAGTCACACAACTATGCCCACTCATACGCAGTACAGACGACGCCCATGTACACACGACTGCTGTGCACACACACGGTGACGCCCACTCATCCACACACATGCAGGCAGGCGTGGGGCAGTGCTGCAGTGCAGGTGGTCAAGCTGGGACTAAACTGCAGAGGCCACACCCTATATAGCTGCTCATAAACAAAATCATCCTACTATGGCTCTTACAGATTTCAACACAAAGATACATGACATGGAAGGACATCAATTCATTGCTATAATATATTTTCCCTTGTAAAATGTGAAACGTAATAAAAATGAAAATGTATTAACTCACTTATTTGCTTGTGTGATGGTGCTTAGTTTTCAGTCGACTTCAAACTGAGTTTTGACTATTTGTACTACTTTCATGCTCTAACGTGTTCTGACGATGATGTTTTTGACTCTAAATGCCACTGCAGTACTGCTCAGTTAAAACAGTTGTGACCACCAGATGGCAACACACACTATAAAACTGTTAGTGTGAGAGCTGTGCACAGTCCAGCTCATTTATTTTTGACATACGTGGGTGTTCTTCAAAATTCACATGCTGGATATGCAATGCGGGTATCAATATCTAATCAGTGCATGTGCTGGATGAATATTTCAGTTGTTCAATGTTGTATCAATTAACTTAATCCTATTCTTGCTTTAGAATAGAATAGAATTGGAGGGATGAAACCCTCTTTAATGGTCACACATGCAGAGCACACACAGTGACATTTGTTCTCTGCTTTTAACCCATCCTTGTACCAGGAGTCTACTACTAGGAGCAGTGGGCAGCTATTGTACAGCGCCCGGGGAGCAATGGGAGTGAGGGGGGAAGAGGGATGTCCGGTGCCTTGCTCAAGGGCACCCTACAGCTCCCAGTCCAAGCCCCTACTGACTGAGCCACTGCCGGCCTTAGTTCTGAGGTTGTTGAACATGAGGTGTGAAGAAGTGAGATGTGTGTAGACTCACCAGTCCAGCTGAGTCCGAGGTGGTCGGCTACTATTGCCATGCGAAGGTCTGTTCTCTCACAGGGACTCTGAGGGCCTGTGCAAGGAAGCATTGAAGGGCAGGACACAACAATTAACATGTTATATGATGTCGATAATCCCCCCCAAAACTAAATGTTGTTCTCAGTATGAGACACAAAAAATTACTATCTAAAATGGCTACATAGAGGATCAATGATGAAAGAAAAAAGATTGGGATTGTGAACTGAAAGTTTGTCTGTTTCAAACTGAAGACATTAATGTTGTTTAACTATAAGCACTCCTAAATACCTAGTTAATGAGTTTTTGTTTTTTATGTGATATTCATATTAAACCCTTGTGTTGTTCACTGAACAAAAATAAAGACTAGCTTTAGCTCACCGTCCCAGGTTTCACCTCTAAGAGAGAAAAACAAAGTTTTTCTGGCCAGACTCCTCAATGTTTCAATTTAGATAATGGAGGCTCGGTGAAATAAAAAGCTTTTAGACATTTCTTTGGACACAATTCATTTTCTTACTGAAAATGATATGAGAAGATCGCTACCACTCACTCTGATTTCAATACAAACTGGATCCAGAAAACTGTTAGCTTAGCTTAGCATGAAGACTTAAAAGTGGGGGAAACAGCTAGCTAGCATTGCTCTGTACAAAGGCGGAAAGCACTCTATCTACCAGTACTTCTAAGCTCATTAGTTAACACATGATATTGAATGTGTTTAATCAATACAAAAACAAAATAGTGAAAAAAGAAGCTGTGGTTTTTCATGGGGTTAGGTGTAGGATTAAGAGTATTTACCAAAAGTTTGAACTATTCCTTTACGTTTTACAATGGACTCTTTATAGGGGTATTTGTCTTACTTATTTTTCTTTGAATTACTACCTCACAAAAGATTGAGTATTGTACTGTAACAGTGGAGATTATCATACCAACCAGGATAACCAGGATACATAAGTCAATATATATGAAATATCAAACAAACTTCTTTTTGACTAGCTCTAGTAAAGAACATCACTGAGGCAATTAAGACAATAAGAGATACGTTTAAAAGCATGAAGATCGGTGAGGCCAGAAAAGAAAAAAAAGTATTACATTTCCCACTAAGATGTTTGACAACAAGTAGTATTAGTATGAGTAGTAAAGGTTTAAAGAGTTAAAGAGTTTTGAAACACATCACTGACAACAAACGATCTACCATCAGGCAACATTCCCTCACACTGATAAAAACAGTTCATGGCTTCAACTTGAAATCAAAAATAATCTAGCCGCACCAACTTTTTCTACCGACAGACTACACTGTTGTGCAGCCGACAACTATTTGATAGGCAAGTTCAGCCGATGAATTGGTTTCACAGTGTTTTTAGAGAGCAAAAGTATCACAAAATGATTTCTACAAACCAGGCAAGCAGACCAAAACAAACACAAGGTCATATTTTCCCAGAAAATCTTTTTACATCTACAGTAGGGACCTAATTAATGTTGAGGGTGAAAGTGAGCGGTGTGGTGTCATCATGTGGTGAGGTGCGAGGCTAACTTGATCTGTTGAGTGATATGAAAGTGAGAATGTGTGTGGCAGCCTATAGGACCCCGCAGTGACAGAAAGGAGTAGAAATTACTCTTAACTTAGCCCCTCAAGTGTACTTTCTTGCAAACCAATACTGACAACTAAAACGAGTTGGCTGATTTTGGAATTGTAGTTCTTGTGCATCGAAGACTTCCCTATAGTCTGATGTAAAGCTCCCACACCATGAGGTAATAAATCCACCATCCTATTACGTATTCAGACAGCCCTTACCCTAACCGCTTTAAATCATCATCAGTGAGAGAACCAGGGACAAATATTGAGTGTTGCTGATTCTGTCATCGAATCATAGCCTTTACCTCTTTGTCTAAATCAGACAGCACAGGACACAGATGACAAGAACGACAGGAAGAAGAAGTGACAGCTACACTTACAACGTCACATCACAGGGCACCCACAACAGCTACATGCATATCAGAGATAAAGATAAAGATGTTTAGAAAGAGTTTACAAACTAGTCTGGTTATCTGTGACAGGAGCCGTGATTGGTTGATCAACCTGATTCCCTTCCTCCTTCTGCTCTTGCTCCTTCCCAAGTGTCCGCCTACTCTTCCTCCTGCTCCTCCTCATCCTCCTCTCACTGCTGGCCTGCTCAACCTCAGTTCTCACATCTCTAGCAGATGTTGTTGATGTGGTGGTGCTGGTGGAGGTGGAGGTGCGTGAAGGGCGGGAACTTCTAGAAACTCTAGATGGTTCTGACAAGGAAGTGTTCCTGGTAGTGCTGTGGCTGCAGCTCTCTTCGTCCTCAGTGGGCAGTGTTTTCCCTTCTAACTTTCTTTCAGCCTCCTTGGCAATTCTTTGGTCCAAATGTTTTCCTGCCTGGCTATTAACCAACCTTGTTTTAACGTTTTTTGAGAACACTGCACTGTTTTTTCTCCTCGTCTCATTTGTGCTACCTATACCAGCGGTTTTTACTGAACTGCATCTGTGTTCAGTACTCACTCTGCCTGTACTTGGTTGTTTATTACTCCTGTCTGTTTTAGGACTTCTATTACTAACCACAGATTGAGTTTGAACCTGCTTTTTCTCCTGGGAAACAGAGGAGTTTTTCATGGATTTCATTACTGGAATTCTTGATTTAGGAATTACATTCTTAAAAGGGTCTAGTCTTTCCCTGAAATTATTAATTGAATGTTTTCTTACATGATCTTTTACTACTTGTTGACTTTCACTGCATATTTTGTGGCTAGGCGCCCATAATGGTAATCTGGATTTGCATATCTTGCCTTTGACCTCTTTGGCTCCTGTGTTTGTTATTGCTATATTGGTATAATCCCTGCCCTCCCTGCTGTTTTCTAGCTGGCTGAAAGATGGTTCTATCCTGCTGACCTCCAGCAGAGTTGACCCTGAAGCAGACAACAAGTTAAACGCAATACTGCCGCCCACCTGAATGATGTCTGAATGGACACAATGGGAGTCAGGGATGTTTCTACTGGCTTTGTTGCTCCATGTTTGGGGATTGCTAATCTGTTGTGAGGATGCAGAAGACGAATCTGCGCTTTGGTAATAAGTGTGATTTTTCCAATCCAAATGGTTGGAAGTACCTGAAGGAATTCTTTGATTAGTATAATAATCTGTGATGCCTGATGGTCTATTATTCAAATAGTTATCTGTCACACCTGATGTATCAAAAGTAGGATAATCTGTATAGTTTGAGGTTACAGAATAATAACTATCTACAGTTGTCTCTGAGGTTGTGTCATTCGAGTGATCAAAGATGTTTGGTATTCTACAATTAGAACTGCTATTTGAAGCATTAGACGGTTTATCAGTTGACACCTTGAATCCTGTTCTAAAGGTGGAGAATGTTGGCTCCATATTGGAAGTTGAGTCTCTGCATGTGGTGTAACTGGCAGTCGGATTTGATATTTCTAGCTGGACAGTAGTAGTCTGAATGGATATTTGAGGGATTAGTAAAATATTTGTGGGATCCTGAATATTAAAGTCCCCATGTTGCAAGGAGGAATCAACCTCTGAATCCCTAACCCTGTACCTGCCCGCCGAGTAGTAATGCTCACCAATCTGAAAAAACTGGAGCCTCTCCTCCACCATGTCCCTCTTGCTCATATCAATCGCACCACTGCGTGTCATCTCGAACATTTTCCCTTCATGGAAGGGGAATGGGTTTGGCTCGCTCGTCGGCGTACTATCGTCTGTTGGTGTTCGGGCTGGTGTAGTGTCTGGTGTTGTAGCCTGAGACTGGTCATCCACTGCCAGTCCAAAAGGCTTAGGCTCACCATTGCTTCCCTGTGTCCCTCCCATGTCAACAACTTCTTCTTCTCCACCTTTACTTGACCAGGGATCAAAGTCCAGCCCCTTTGTGGCAACAGTCTTAAAAGGAGAGTTAAACTCCTCTTCTAACTTATAACTGAAGTAAGTGTCTGAAAAGCCCTCCTTATCTGACTTATTTTGTTCTTGACCGTTCACCCCATCCTTACTAACACCATCAGGTGACCCACCATTAGGGGGGGAATCATTTTTGAATGTGTCCTTTTGACATTCCTCTGGGGTTTTCTCCTCTTCAATAACTTCCAGTTTGGTTGGAGGAAAAGAGCGGTCTGTGGACCTAAATGTGTCTGTTGCCCAGACGTCTCTCCGACTGTCTGGAAGGCCAAACAGATGTAAATCTGCCTGCTCACACAGTCCATCATCCTCATCTTGAAGTTCATATCCATCCAGGGAATCTATTTCTGTCGCATCTGTGTCATGAGAAAATTCTGCAGTTGTGGCTATAGAACAGTCTGTGATTGACTGGTCATTTCCATTTTGTTCATAGTCATATTCCTCTCCTTTGCCATTAGAGCCTTTACAACCATTGGAACCATTAGAGCCATTTGTCTCACCATTAGATTCCTTGTTGTTTCCGTTTTTGTCATTTTTTTGGGGTATTGAGGCCTTTTCTTTCTCCTTCCTCTTCTCTTCATCCTCAGCACCTTTGAAACTAAGTTTCTTACAAGGAATTGGTTGAAAGATTGACCCATCATCATCTTCCTCTTTATCATTTGATTGACTGTCATCTTCCCCTGGGGACACAGGCGAAGGAGGTTGGATACGTATTATTGGCTCTGTTAGCAAATGCTTGTCATGTTCTTCCTGTAAGTTCACCTCCATCATTTCTGTCTCAGTATCTGAAGAGGCACATGAACCCTTCCTTTCTCCGTCTGACTTTTCTGAAGAAGAGTCCAGAGGAGGAGGGGGAGGGAACTCAATATAAGCAATACCTTTGTCTTTTGAGACCTCTTGATGCTCATGCTCTGTCATTCGATCATACTTGCCATTAGCTTCTGTTTCTTGCTGGTTGGAATCATCAACTACTTCCTGCTGGTTATCATTATCTTTTGATTCTTGCTCATTAGCATTTGCAAGGTCTGCTTGGGTGCTGTGAGCACTAGTTTTGCTTTCTTGTAGGGCCTCTTTAAAAGAGAAAACAACTTTGCTTTGGTTATCTTCCTCTGATTCTTCAGATACCTCCATGATAGGACTGGGTTGTCCTAGCATGAATCCCATAAAGCCATCAGGGCTCTTGGTCGTGAGATCATAGCTGACCTCCTCAGAGCTGGGGGTCTCTGGTGTAAGGGGGCTTTTCCCTGAGCTATCTATGAAAGATACCTGTTCTAGTGTATCATCGTCAGGGCTTATGGGGCTGAGGGCCAAATTAGATTTCTGCTTGACTGTGTAAAGTGCCCCCTTGGCTTCCCTCTCTGCCTGCCTTCCGACCTGGACACTGACATAAACAGGTAATGTTTTGATTCCTTTAAAATTATCTTTGGTTGTTGTAGTAGTGGGAGGGGTTATGACTTTCTCCAGTGTGTCTCTAGGGCTTGAAAGGTTATTCGAGTTGGAGTCTCTGGGTGCATTATCTAAAATTTCAAAAGTCCGATTTTCATCGGTTTTTATTGGGGTTGTCACAGGGCTTGTCTGTATTTTGCTTTTAGATAATGTAGGTATCTGTGAAGGTTTTGTCTGTTTCTTTGTGAGGTCATTATCCAAAGTAGAAGGCAATCTTACAGGAATTTGGGATTCTGTCTTTTTCCTAAGGTTTTTATTCAGTATTTCTTCTGTGTCTTTTCTCAAAATCTCAGCTATCGCTTCTTTGGAAGCAGACTCAGTTTTTGTGACTTGTTGACACTTTGTAGCATCACCATTTTTCTCTAATAGTTTGGTATTATTATGGACAACAGCGGCCTGGACCTTTTGACTTTTATTGCTTTCTTTGATGTCCCGAGTAACAGCGGAAGATATATCTTTACCTTGAGTAGTTGCTTTATGACTCTCAGTTTCACAAATCTGTCTTTGCAACGGGGGCTCTGCAATATTTTTATTTGGTGACTTGTCTCTTGTTTGTTTTGGGGCTTTAGATGTTGGCGATTTTAAAGCAGCTTTACTGTCTGTGGCAGCACATGTGTCCTTCTCTATATCCATTGCTGGGGTTACTTCTTCTAAAGTTTCACATACTTTTGAAGTTGTTCCTCCAGTAAAAAATTGATAAACAGGAAGTTTGCTATCCTGTAGTTTCTTTACTGATGGTTTTGGCTGCACCGGGGGAGGGACTTTGGTTGGACTAGACTGAGTTTGTTTCTGAGCTTCAGATTCAAACTTCATCCTCACAGCACTGACTTTGGATGTTGATTTTACATTAGAGGGTGAAGAGGGTTCAGACTCACTGGTTTTTGTTTGTGGTTTAATTTTATCCTCACTGCTATGAGGGAGCTTGCTTTTCTGGGGACTGCTTGGTAAGCTAGAACTTTTATTTTCTGTTGTAGTGGTACGGTCAAACATTTTCCCAACAGAAGGCTCTTTAAGTTTGCTTTTATTGAAGCCCTCCTCTGCTTTAGGTTTCTGTAGTATTTTCTCAGGGGTACTGCAAGCTGAGCTAGGCCATGACCTGGGTTCCTTTGGCTCTCGTCTAACAGGCTTTTTCTCAGGAGACTGCAATTCATCATTGAGCTTTTCTGTTTTGTCACGGAAAAACTGTGATACCTCACTAAGTTTTTCTTCAGCTTCCTTTACAGTTTGATCCACCCTATCCTCATAAAGAAGCTTATCCCTGCTCCTGTCATGTTTGTCCTCTGTAAATCGCATCCAAACAGCATGTTTTGGGCTGCCCTGCTCTGTGGAGTAATGAAGCACTGTCACCTTATCAAACTGAGATGGTTCATCCCGCTGCACAAATGTACCAGATATTGGGGACCCATCTTTTGAAGACTTAGAAGCAAACTCTCTTTTTGGGCTTCCATGTTGCTGACTCTCAGTACCACGGCTACAACTCTCCTCAGAAACTTGGTGGCGTTTTTTGTCAGTCACTATTGCTGAATCCTCTGTGTCAGAGTGAGACAGTGATGATGTTTCAAGTTTCTCTGAGAGGAGCATTTTCTCAGCAAACCTATATGACTCGCCTCTGATTTCTGATAGTTCATCATCACAGTATTCTATGGAGTTCTGGCTCAATAGTTTTAGGGCTTTATAAGAATCATCTGCTATCAACTGGGCAGAATTTGGGCGACTGTCCTCCTCCTGTGACACTGGGGTGTTGACGCGAGATGTATCTAGAAAGGAGGGCAGGGATTCCTCAACAGTAAGCTCCTCCTCTTCCTGTTGGGCTTCATAGTCATCCGTTAGTTCCTTAATCCCATGGTCACCTTTGTAGACATAAAGCTCAGGGTGTTTCTTGGTTTCCCTGATAATAACCTCAGTCGGTTCTGCTGTGCTGTGGCCCTTTTCAATATGAACCTCAATTATCCTTTCGACTTTAGGTTTAGATTTAATGTCTCTGTCAAGAAACCTAGGAGTCAGCTCATCACCTTTGACTGAATCCTGACTAGCCGTGTGTTCAAAAAGGCCTGCCAGATCTTTAGATGGGTCCCTACCTGACTGGAATGCTTTCATGATATCTCTAACTGACATACCTTCTTCTATCATCTCTGCACAATCAGTCAGTTGGGGCTTATGATAGACCATTCTAGTAGTAGTAGTAATATGAGTTTCCTCTTTAAGACACACACTTTTGTTTTCTTCCGGTATTTTCATTTGTAAGGCTTTCATGGAGCTCATTGAAGCTGCATCTGGCTCTAAAGAGGGGAAAGCACATGCAGCTTCCTCAATGAGTATAGGCCCAGAAGGATCATCAAGTTGTTCAAAGCCCCTCATATGGACAGCTTCAGTCCTGGTTTCAGTAACAGAGGGAGGAATGGGCAAATCTGTGAATAAAGGCTTTGGTCCTGTACTCTCTGCACTCTGAGGAGCAGAGGGTGTCTTTTCACTCCTTGTCTCAAACCCGCTGTCTGACAGGGGACTCTTATCCTGCTCGTGAGAGAGGTCCTCTGGGGACTCCAAGATAGTGTCACTCCCTTGATATGATGACTCAGAAAGTTTACTTAGGTCCTTCTCTGATGGAGACCTGAGCATGCCTGAGACAGGCGGAGGCATTTTGAGTTTGTGCTCTTGTATTGACATTGATGGTTTAAGAACACGTTTCTGTTTTTCTTCCCCTTCCCTTTTTGCCTCCTCCTCGTGCCTACTTTTCAACTCTGCCATTCTTGAAAGAGAGCTGGCGCCAATATCATTTGTTAAATAATCTACTACTTTACTCAACTGTAAGTCTTTGCTTGAAATGGACTGCGGCTTCAGCAGGAGAGTGTTTTCCTCAAAAGGAGGGTAATTGTCTGAGAGGGCACAACTTTGCGCCTCCTCAATTTCATCTTTGGAAAATTCTTCCCATTCATCCTCAGATGCTCTGTCTTTACCTGCATTAACCCTACTCTCAGTCTTGATATCTTTCTGTAATAGCCTACAGACCTTAACTAAGTCTTCTTTAACTTTCTCCACTAGCGTAAATGGCTCCTCATCCTCTAACTTGGTTTCTTTAGGAGTGCCAGTTTGAGATGTTTGAACTGTTTTAGCTGCAGTCTGTGTGTCAATCTGTAGGATAGCCGTCATTCTGATCAGATCCTCTTTCATGTCTGCTACATCTTTTAGTATCTCTTGGTTGGAAGTTCCCGTTGGGTGGATGATGGGCGGCGTGATAAACGGAGGGGATTTAAGTTGGGACTTTATTTTTGATCCAGTAACACAGGAAGACAAAGAGGAAGAAAATGAAGATGAGGCACGGGAAGAATCAGGCAGTGCCATTTTGAGAGACCCTGGCCCTGGTTTGACAGGGGTCTCTGGAATGACTAACGAAAACACTGGTACAGTTAGTGTGTTAGAAGAAACTGCCAAACTGGAGGAGGCGGCTACAGATCTCAAAGAAACATAAGCAGAGCTTGCTGTTGCAGACCTGCGTGAGGTGGACAACGATCTAATAGTGCCATAGCCTGACACAGAACAAGAGTCTATAGCTTCATTTATGGCTGCGCTAACACCAGAGGTTGCTGCTTGGGTGGTGGCCTGTATTCTCTCCTGAAGGCTGCTACTTCTCTCCGAGAGATTGCGAGACGAAGGGGAGGATGGTGTGGAGGAAGAGGATGGATATTTAATTGGAGAGACTGATCCATTCATCGTGGACAATTCTGAGGAAGCTATGGTTGTCTGTCCAGTTGAGGAGAGTGATGAGAGGGAGGTTCTTCCTCCTCTCGATGCAAGTGTTGAATCTACAGAGGTTTTTAACGAGGACAGGCCTGACATGCTTTTAACAGAGGAATCTGTCACAATTGTGGACCCAAGGGCAGTTTTAAAAGGCAAATTAGAATTGTACAAGTTGTAGGATGACTTTGGCGATGCTGGAGCAGTAAGAGAAGCTGATGACCTCTCTGGTACAGAACCATTTGGTATGGAGTGAAGTGGGGAAGTCCTTGATGTGTATGCTGAAGCAAGGTTTTTGATAGATGCTGGGTCTGTGGCAAGTTTACATGGGCTTCCAGAAGACACAAAGCTGGCAGACCCCTGTACAGGGTACTGACCCAGCTGGACAACAGTTTTAATGGGTGAAGGCATAGTCCTGTAAGACCTGATGGGGGATGAGAACACATTGTCATCAACAGGTTTAACTTGAGTAGGTGGTGGTGGTGGTGGAGCTCCCAGGGTAGTTCTGATTGTTGCAGCGCATGCAGGTGAAGGGGAAGATAGGGGCCAGGAGGTTTTCAATGGAGAAGCAGCTGGTGAGCCTGCCGGGGAATCGGTACATGTGAGGGAACACCCCACTCCGACTGGCCTTGTTTGGCCAGGGACGGTAATAGGAGCAGTCGACCATGGTGGGTAATGTCTGGTTGGAAAGACAGGTTTGTGAGGGTAACCAGCAGGCAGTGTTCTTGCTGTTGTGCTCCGCTGCTCAACGGCCGTTTCTTCAGGTGAATTTAGAAATAAAGATAAAGAAGGAATGGAAAAAAATAATAACAAAAATGTGGAGTTGTAAAGGTAACATAAAATGATGTTGGGGAAGGAAAAGAAAGAAAAAATGTGTAAGAAGAAGAGATAAGAGGAGGAATATTTGGTCAGTGACGCAGTCCTGGTATCAAGGAAGGAAAAATTGCAGTTTTATGATGTGCTGATATTTGAGTATTGATTGAAGATGGAGTTATGAAAAGAAACGGTTGTGTTTCCGTGTGAATTCAGGATTAGTACATGACTCAAACAGCGAAAACAACATAATGAATAAACGCAACAAAACACAAACAGCAGCAAAATAAAATCCCAAAGACAATGGCTTGGACTGACAATTGAGAACATAAAAATGGTAAGACAAATGCACCAGGATCAACATAAAAACAACTTCTCTCTTTGGACTTCTGATGTTCTGAACATCAGCCTATGGGTTCTGGCTCTAATTTCAATCCGCTTCTTAAAGTGCCTTTTATCTGTTTGGTTCAAACGTTGAATGAAAGGTTTTAAAAGACAATTTAGACACTATGATACAACATAGCCAATGGCTCCAGAAGTTTCAATTTTTCTATAATTATACAACAAAACAAATGACAAAATGTGTTTTCCAAGACCTAGGTGTTGGCCCATTTTGTCATGCAAGATTGATAAGAACTGGTGACAAGCACAAAGTGTGAAAAACTGGAAAAGACACCCAAAAGAAAGCTAAACTCAAGACCTCCTATCATGCATGTGTATCCCACAAAAAGCTGCTACATCACCACAAAGCCAAATGAACTCAGAGGGGACAAATGAAGAATAAATACAATTTTACTTTGACTGCCTCTCAAATGCCAACGACATTGTGATGGTAAGTCAAAGAAAACGTTTGATGTTGCTGTATTAGGACTTCTAAAACTCAGCAGTGGAAGGCAACCAAACAAACCCAGAAGAAATACAACTCACAATGTGGGCAAGCACAGCACAAAACCAACTCATTGACTCATGCAAACATATGTACCATGTTGTAAACAGGCATGTGAACAGTGCATGTTATGTGGGATGAGAGATATGCATTTATAACATTAGGTAAGTCACATCGGTCTACAAATCGGTCACGCATTTTACATTTGAATTAAAATTGTTAATAGACGATCTTATCCACGAAAATTGGCATAATTAAATTCATCAAAGGTGTTTGTTAGTAAATATGTCAAAACTCACTCAGTGCAGGCTCGGCCAGATAGCTGTAGCGCTTACGTAAGGCTAGGGATGCAAAGGTATGACGTCGCTCTGGCTTTTCAGTCTGCAACAATAGCAAACAACACAAACACCTATTAGTTTAGGTCACCCTACATTATACGGTGCGGCCAAATGACAAACATTTGGACCTTATCAATGTCAAATTAAAGCTAACCCATTGGTCTGCATTTTTTGGTATTAACATACAAATGTTTAGTACGCATATTCCAACTTAACAAAATGGTCACTATGCCAAGAGATAGCCAATTTAGCTTAAGTTAGTCATGATAACCCTACAAACTCTAAATGATAAGTACTTAAAAGTGCAACATTATTTTGGTAACGTTACTAAAGGTTAAAAAGGACAATATAAGTAAATCTAAACTCCAAACTTACTTGTATTACATACTGTAAAGCGGAAGGAATAAGGATTGGACATAACACACGTCGTTTTACGATATTTCATGCAAACCCTAGCAGCTAAAGGTTGCTTTAAACAAGGAAACTTGTATTGTTTCTTGTAGAAGCGGAAAAAAATATGGCTATGATGAAGCAGGGCCGCTATAGATCTAGCGCAGAGGACAGCAAATGGTGGGGAGGGTGTGGTTTACCTCGTCCTCGGCATCTGACTCCATTTCCTGGTTCCCAAGATGCATTGCAGAAACAGGGGGAGTAACATAATGGAAAAGCAGGGGAAAAGAAACATCAGGGCGTGAAAAAGGAGTGATTGACAGAAGCTCAGAAGAGAAGCCACTTTAGCAAACTCAGCAAACCAAAACCAAAAAACACAGACTTGACAACACCAAACAAATAAAGTGCCAACACTCAGCAGCAAAAACAGCAAATGAAGTCAAGCCACAAAAAGCCAGCCCGATAATAAAAAAAAAGCCCTTTTTGCTCAAAGCGCTCAGCCAAAAGCATGTCATCCAAATCAAAAGATACGTAGGGACGACATGAAACAGCCAATGAAAAGAATCCACTGCATAAATAACTGATTTACATAGAGAGAAGCTTTAAACAGATAAAAGACACAGGCGGTGGTTTGGCATTCATCTATCTGTTTAATGGGGCCAAAGTACCCTAACCACGAGTATGGTCATGGAGGTGAAAACAGAAAATGGTGAATTCAGGTTACCTTACCTTTTTCACTGCTGGCAGTGTGATGTTCAGGTTGCAAACAGCAGTTTGTGGAAGGCCTTTTATGGTCTTACACTCTTTGAGGAACGTAAGACGACCGCAGGGTTCCTGGCTGGGGTCTCTCACCTGAGGAGAGAACATTGCTTCTTTATGTACCTTGTTCCTATTTTAAAGGTGGCACTGCGGGTGTGCGTCAGTGTGTAAACCCTACACCCTAGAACATTCATTCTACCACACAAAAGTGCATACTTTATTTTTAATGTTGTCTTTTTTGTGTTTTTTACCAAATGCAATTGTGTATGTCAGCAGTTGACAGCAGTATATACAGTGTATTTTGTGGTGTATGTACTGTATATTTCTCTTTTATTTGTGCAGCCAAGTAGGTAACGGAATAAGAAATGTACCCTTGAAGCATGTACTACCTGGAGGCTATCCTGTTCATATTGTGAATATCTTACAAACTGTAAGATGTATTCATAAGTTAATACTGTATATACTTATTACAAACTGTGTTATGTATTTTGGTAACTGCAGCACATGTCATACTGTCCATACTGTACACATTCTGCTGAATTCATATATACCTCTTACTGTTAACCAAAAAATAGGTGTACAATCATTTTGAACTACTGCTCATTGCACTACTGACTGGATAATAAACTGCACTTCATTGTGTGAGGTGTGCAATGACAATACGGTGAATCTATATACAAAATCTCAATTTGATAAAGTTCCAAAATGCCACATAAAGCACATACAATTTCTGTATTTTCTCTTGTTTTCACATTTTATCCACTGACATGTTTTGCTAAATGAACATTTGTGGAAATATGACTAAAGGAATATATTTGTAAGTAATGTTATACACATTGAAAACTGCTTCTGTAATTTCAATTAGTGGTGTTCTAGTTCACACACAGCAAGAATAGTTTTTACGCAAATGTTGCAAGGGGATTGATTATGGAGAACATGAGGTTAACGCGTCAATCAATGAAGCATTTATCAGGGGCAAAGGGAACTAAGTTACTATACCCCGTGGACCTTTGTTTATTGTATTAAAAGCTAGTGTGAGAAGGAGTAATGCATCATTAGAGAATGGAGCTAAAACAATCATGGTATTTTATCACCATCAAAGTTGTTTCTGCTCCTGCTTTCAAATTCATTAAGTCTTGTTTCTTGTGACATCTTATACTTCTTAGTAACTTCAAAAGTTTTTGTCATGTTGATTTATAGATCTCCCAACTCCAGCCTGAGAAGGTTGCTGGTAAAGAGTGTAAATGCAGTACCTTGACACAGAAGGGCAGACGGTTCTCCTTGAAGGCGTAAAAGTTAAGAACTAACTGCTGACCACCTTTAGTCAGAGGAGCCACGTTTCCATAGCAGTCCACATAAATGGGCCTGCCTTCCAGAACCTGAGAGAGAACATTATAGGTAAGAACGTCTTATCATGTGCAAAAGAAAAGTGGATCACTCTTTGAGTATTCATTATAAGGTTTCAAAGTAGCCCTAAGTTATAGGACTGTTCTCAGGCCACTTTGACTCTAAGCCTTACACTCCTTTCTGTTGCCTTTATAGTTATGCTAGTTATTTATAATCTTGGAAAAAACAGCTTTACATTTTGTTTTACATGTTTTAAATGGAAACATATTCACAAATGAAACTGTAGCTGTATAAATAACATGAATTTGTAGAATTAAATAATTAATTATGAAGGTATTTGATTAATTGGCAATTGCTTTATATCTGGTGTTTAACCTGACAGAACAAATATCCTAATTTAAGGCATTCAAATACAACAAGTGATAATAGCTTGTTCACACAGGGAAAAGCATTTGCATACATTTGAAACAAAATAATTTAGTAATCACTAAAATAATTTTATTAAAGGGTTAAAATCATTTATAATACCATAATTTCTGTATTTACCTCTATGTCCTTGCTCCTGGCCACCTCCTCAAAGTTCTCCTGCTGTTCCAGGGTCTTATCCACCTTGTCGTCTGTCATACAGAAGCACCTCAGTCTGGACTCCATTGGGTCGTTGGTCTTAGCAAACACCACAAACTTGGCCATGTAGGGCACGCAGATGAGCTCCCTGTACAGCTGCATGGCCAAGCCCACCGTCTCTGGGATCTGATGGCAGTCAGCTAACCAGAACCTGCACAGATGGAAAATAAAATGATTTTAGACACAGATGTTACTACAACAGATGGAAAAGAGTATAAGCGTGTGCATGTAGTCAGTGTCTCACCTTGCAGAAACATTAGTGGTGAAGGAGACGCAGTCATTGACGAATGTGAGAGGAGTGGTGCCAGTGATGTCTTCCCACTGTGCAGGGGACGTACCACCTGGAAGATGAATAGAAAGAGTTTGATTCATTTTTCATCATCATATATTCTTTTGACAAGCTATTTTCCAGTTAAGTTAAGATGAAACCGTTTTTATTTTATGTGCCGTTGCAGTTCAAAGTAGGAAAGACTGCAAATAAAACAACATGTAAAGAACAAAAGTAATTGATCAGTTGCAAAAAGAAATGTAGACCATGCAAGAACTAGGTTTACAGTCAGTGTAAACAAATACAATTAAAATAAAGGTCCCCTCCAGACATTTATATTAAACGTATTAAGCTATGCATTATTGTTTTTTTTTTTTAGTCAATTTATTGAACATGTCAGAAACAAAAACATACAACAATAATATATATATATATTTTCCTTTTTTTTCTCACTCAAATTAATAATTATAACAAAGTACAACAAAAACAAAAAAACAACAATAATTCTCAAATAGTCTGTCATGTTCAACAGGGGCAAGAAGAAGCTTAAAAAAAACCCCTCTAGCATATATTTTTCTTATAAATAAAATATTAGGTCATCGTCATCAGCGACATGTTTGTCTTAATTTGTTTGCTTTTTGTTTTTTTACAAAACAATCAGAAAGAAATTACTTTTACAATTACAAGAAATAACAACAAATGGGATTTTACAGGTCCTGTTCATAACCATTAATGATTTGGCTCCTAAATAATACTTTCAGTTTAGATACTGTAGACTTGTACAATATTTCAGTGCATCATTACAGTTATTCCACAGACTAACACCTTTTGATGAGATGCAATGAAGTTTGGCATTTGTTCGTACGGGTGGTTTTTTGAAAATGCAGTTTCCTCTCAACATGTGCATGCTTTCTCTCCGTGTGAAAAGTCCCTGGATATTATGAGGTAATTGTTGATTTGCGGCTTTGAACATAATTTGAATAGTTTTATAGTCAACCAGGTCTTGTAGTTTTAGTGTTTTTAGTTTGATGAATAATTTATTTGTAGGTTCTCTGTACGTAGTTTTATGTATAACTCGTATGGCTCTTTTTTGCAGGATGAAGATAGGATGTGTATTTGTTTTATATGTGTTCTCCCAAACTTCCACACAATACATCATGTATGGAAGTATTATTATATAGTATTATTATTGTAAATGTATGTCAAATTTAGTTTTGACATACATTTAACAAATTAAATGAGTAAAGACAGTCCACAATATCCCAAAAAAATTAAAAATCACTCTTCACAAATCAATGGTCCTCACAAAGATAGCCATATGGGTTTTTCTGCGGAAGTTTTTCCTTGTACGATGTGAGGGTCTAAGGATAGAGGGTGTCGTTTTTTCTCATACTGATATTCTGAACAATCTGTGCTATTGTATTAGCTGTAACTAAAGTGTCTCTACTGTAGGCTATTTTTATTATATGTACAGCACTTTGGCTCGACCAAAAATCGTTTATAAATGTTATAAATAAAACTTGATTTGATTTGATACATGTACTGTCACACACACCTGTGATGCTGCAGAGAAGGCGGAGACATGGCGTACAGTCTCCTTTGTAGCCGTTGGTAAGCCCCTCCCCTGAAAGAGGCGGGACTGGGATTGTCATGGTGATGGGTTTGTGGAACTTCCTTCTTCTGGGCTCCACGGTAACGATGGGGCTGAAGGTTGCCCGGTTACCGAGGATTTTCTTCACAGTGTCGTCGGGTGCCGGCTGGGCCTGGGAGAGAGGGGATTAAGTAATGTGTGTTTAATGTTTGTGTATGTTTGTTTAAAGCTTCTGAGTGAAGATATAGGGATTTTTTACTTATTTAAGACTAAAATGCCCAGAATTTAAGCTAATTTAAACTATATATAAAACTAAAAAGACTGATTAAAACTAATAAGGACAATTGACACTGGACTTAGAATTTTTTTTTAAACTAATCTAAAGACTGTTATTTTGTATATATTTATTGTTGTGTTTTATCTTAATGTGTGCATATGTGTAAATGTGTCTGTTGATTGTATATGATATACATATTTATACATATGTGACCTGCTCCATCGAAATCAGTCGCATTGACCCGAAGACACATTTTGAGTTGTATACACTGTTGGAAAGAGGAGATTCCTAGCTTTCTAATGATATCAGGATTGTTGTTGTACTCCAAATATTAAGCAAAATATGTCACATTATATAATGACTGTCACCGAGTCCTCATTTTGAGAAAAAGGCCTTCAAAGTTTCCTCTTCTCTGGAATCCATCGATCTGATTGATTATTAGCGGAGCAAATGATCAAAATAGTACGGAGGGAAGATATTTTCTTTTGGATTACTGGGGGAAGTGTGTGTGTGTGTGTGTATACGTGTGTGTGTGTGTGTGTGTTTGTGTAATTTTGCATTTGTGTGTATTGTGTTTGTTTCCCGGGGAAAACACTCACGAGAAACACCGGCTGTTGTTGTGCCTGCTGTGACGTCAAGTTACTCCGTTCTCCGCTTGTAATTATGCCGGTACAAGCTTCAAAGTTGTATTTATCATCTGAATATCGTGCGGTTTTGGCGCAGTGGTTAGAGCGTTGATCATCAGATCAGGGGGCGTTGGTGAACTCCCGCCTCGGCCGCCACTGCGTCAGGCCGTTGTGTCCTTGGGCAAGACACTCTACCCGCATTTGCTCCTGTGGGTAATGTTACATGTCTAATATGTGTAATGTGTAATTGTAAAGCGCTTTGAGCACCTGTAAAAGCGCTCTAAATAAAAAAATGTAATCCATTATTATTATTATTAATTTGCCGAAACAAGTTTAATATTATGAAAGCCAAGACTTTGTTTAATTGAAATCAGATGAAAACGGACCCTGCCGTGTTATCTATGATTACTATACGCCTTACATTCATAATGTCAGCCGGAGGGAGGGGGGGCGGCGCTGAGGAACAGCACAGTGGCGAGTGAGAGCTGTCATCTTCCCTTTACAAGCTTCAAAAATGTATTTATCGTGTGATTTTGGAAATAAAAGTTTCATATTCTGAAAGCCAAGACTTTGTTTATTTAAAATCAAACAAAACACCTGAACCTCGAAAAACTATTTTCTTACGCAAATCCACGTTTATTTTTTAAATGAGCCGCTGCGACTTCCGACTGATTTCCATAGAGCGGGTCACATATGTATACATATTTGTATATTTGTATTATTGTATTTTATATTCGGGATTGTTGGAAACGTTATTTCGATCTCTCTGTCTGTACAAACCCACAGAAAGATTGACATTAAAGTTGACTTTGAACTCACCTGCAGTCCAACTTTTATCTTCTTGGTTAGCGCCCCCTCAGGGAAGGAAGCTTGAACCAATGGGACGCTGCGGCTGCACAGAGTTCCGCCCTCTGGTCCCATCTGATTGGTCTCCTGCCGGATTCGAGACACAACAGCAAAGTACTGTGGGAAGTCCTTGGTGATGATGCGGCAGATTCTCTTCCTCTCCAGCTCCTCAGGACTGTCCAGCTCTACAGGGAAGCAACATACACAGTTTACAATATATAACATGTGAAATATAAATCATTTATTTTCCCAACCTACAAAACAGCTCAGTTTGTAGTACTTCTAGAATCAGACATGAGTCTGAATCTTTCTAACCTCCTTAAATAAGGTTGGTCTTGCTTAACATTTGATTGTCAGTCAGCAGGATTAGAGGGAAACTACTTGCCAAAATGTCATGCATCTTGGTGGATGGCATGCATTCTTGGTCTACTCTCTCCAAGTAACTTACTTTAATTACATTGTCTTGTCAATCAATCAATGTTTATTTATATAGCCCAATATCACACATGTTACATTTGTCTCAGTGCTTGTGATTACATAACTTGCATCCTTTTAAAAACAGTACATACCAGGTAGGTACAGAGACTCTGGCTAATACATTTTCTACATACAAAAACTAATGCTCAGAATAATTGACATCGTTCTGTGATGCCAAATCAGTCTACATAGAGGGACTTAAAAAGCACTATATCATTTAATTTGAAAGAATAAAAACAAAACAAAAACTACTTCCCATGTTTTATAATTTTTGAAGACATTACATATAATTTATAAAGACTTTTGAAAGAATGGTTTAGGAAATGTTATTACCAAATCACCTTGACATAAAAAAGACTTGGCTGATTGGCATTATAAGACAAAGTTTTGACAAAAAAAGAAAGAAATCTGAACTTGTGCTTCACCTTCATCCATCCCACTGAGGAGCTGCCTGAGGTCGTCAGTCTTGTAGTCGTACACGTGCTCCTTCCAGCTCTCCCCGTTCTCGCTGCGCAGCAGGATCAGCTCTCTCTCCTGGCCTCGCATCGAGCCAAAATGAGGGATCTCCACAATCACAGGCCTGGTGAGGAGCATGTCATGAAAGCAAGATGTAATTAATCGTATTCGAATGCAATGGCAGGTGACGGGTAAACCAAGAAAGTAGAGGTTAAGTTGCTAAATCAAATCTGAAATACAAATAATGGAGGATACATCATACATAGGGGGGTGATAATCACTAATGAAAGATGAAATCCATTCAGATTGTTAATTCTACAAGGGAAATATGAACAAGGAACATTAAAGAACATTGATGTCAGAAACACACTTTACAGGTATGAATGAACTGTGGTTCAGCTGATGACAGAGGATCTTTAAAATGATAGCGGTGGCCGTGCTGCAGTTGAAGGGACACTTGCAGTGTGTGTCATACAGTGTAAGGCATGAATTGATATGAAATAGACGGAGGAATGAGGTGAGAAAGCTGCACAGCCCTTATTCAAACAAGGCACGATGGCAACACAAGAGAGAAGGATGAACGTACTCTAGTCTGAGGACCATTTTTACCTCAGAGTAGAGAGTACAAAAGGACACACAGAGGAACCATAGTTATTGATCATTCCCTTGGCAAAGTCACAAAATGATGTTTGTAAGTACTTTTTTCTCAATCAGCGTCTTTCTATGAGTGATAAAGTCCTACATTAACTATATTCACAATTTTCTAACAAAGTTAAATGAATCTAGGTTGTACACAGACGGTGAAAAGGTACCTCACTTGTAAACCTGTAGTCTAGGGAAAAGGTACTCAAATATGTAACTCATATGTATCACAACAGTGTAGTAATACTCAGTTACAAGTACAAGTCATGTGTCAAGTAAAGGTACAAAAGTATTAGCAGAAAATATGCTTGCATTATCAAAGTTAATCAATCACTTGTTCGGAAATCGAACTGCTAGCACTTTTTGACTTTCTAGTTCTGTGCTGTTATCAATTGCTCTAAAACTAGAGTTCACTTTAAAATAAATAAAAAAGGAAATAAAAAAAGCTACAGCCTTCTGCTTTAATAACATTTGCTTTAATAAACGATCATTAAAACCTCATGTTTGGATCGCATCTTGCAGGTTCAATGCCAAGTAGTTATTCATTTAAATGTATCATTTTGTGTTATTACTATATTATATGAGTCTCTGTAAATAAATTACACAAACATTTTGTGGGATGACATACAACTGAACCTAAAAGGTGAAGTAAAGTAACAGCGGTCATGAGAAGCAGGATGATGCTCGGCTTGAGGAGGAAAAGGCTCATGCCCAACAAGTGCAGTCAAGTCCAAACAGCCAATCAAAACGTCTTATTTCAGGGACGTCATAAGCCCACTGAAAGGTTCTGAAATAAAATATATACAATGGTCTCTGAATGAAAGTGGCTTGAAAATAACCGTCATGGATTTAAAGGGTAGTTTTAGGAAGAATTATAAAATATCAAATGTAAAATCTATATTTTATGTCTCACCCTAAGATGTTATTAAGGCTAATACAAATCATACAAATGACTTGTAATGTAATACTAGTAACTAATTGTCCTCACTTCAAAAGGTTAATTACGTCATTGATTTCTTCCCAAAAATACGTGAAACCATGTAGCAGTAATGCTGTATCCTGACAAATCAATAGAGATGGGTAAAATAATCATATCCTTCAGCATGAGTCAGCCCGGGTCATGTTGCTTCCTCGGGGGAGGTGGGAGGTACGTAAAGGAGAGGAGAAGGTGTGGGGGGGGGGGGGGGGGGGGGGGTGCTATGTTTGGTTCCTACCCAACAAATCTAGTTCCTCTGGGTCCCAGCTGAAGCACTGGACTAACCAGGCTCTCGCCTTCACTAAGGGCTGGCAGCTTTCTGGGAAGATGTAGTTTACTGCGTCCACAAGATAATGAAAAACACGCGCACTCCAACATATACACACACTTGTAAAGTCAGTAACAGCACACACTGCAGTTGTATCGTTAAATTAATTCCTGTTTCTATTGTCCAGCACTCATCAGGGACAACAGCAACAGCAAATACACACTCACAATAACAGTTTCTGGTTGGTATACACACATGGTGTATCAACATCTAATATTAACAAATGTAATTACTTCTGAAGATAATACGCTCCGGTGGAAAAACTATTTAAATTCTGTTCAGCCATTTTCTATTACCAAACAAGGTTACCAAATGGTGATTGAGCAGATTCATATTGAAAGCATTTAATTGTTGAAACACAAGCGACTTTTATCATGAAGTTGTCACAGGACATGCAATGTGTTTTTCAGTGAGCTTGACGTTGGCCGCTGTTGTTCATTGAAAATGAGCTTAAAAAACAAGACAGCAAAGACGTAATGTGCGGCATTTTTGACAGCTGTTAGAAATTACATTACAAATATTGCAGAAAGTAATGGAAGAATCAAGAGCAGCCAAAGTGAGCAGTAAGAGGAAGAGCTATGGATGCGAGGCAGCAAACTTACATTTTCACATACTCCTTTGTTGAAGCATCTAAAACCACATTTGCTGTTTTCACCAAATAGGGTGATGCCTGATTCACTAGGACTGTAAGTTTAGGGATTTCAACTTAAAGTAGGAAAAAAAGTAATATTGCAGTGTAGAAAACCTCTGTTGCATTTGTCTATTTAAAAGCATAATCTTTTTACTTTTGTCTTTTTACTATTTTTCATAAAATTAGATGAACTACTCCAGTTTTAAAACGAGCTGAAATAGTAACAGAAATGTGTGTCTCAAAGCTGCAATCTAATTCAGAACTATCTTTGGACATGCAGACATACACAGCATGTTGCATTGTATTAACACTGTAATTATGCAAATGAAACAGGAGTGAAAGCATGTTCATTCAGTTGAGACAAATCTATCTCTGTTGGCTTTGACAAACTTCCTGACATAGGGTTGTAATGTATATAAAACTAAAACATGTGCACTATTCATTTTCTTCCCATGGTCCTTAATTTTCCACAGTTTACATCCGTTAGCAATGTTGCCTTTACTTTGCCAATGTCCGGACTTAATGCTCGAGGGTTATCACACTGCAACAATTACACTTTAACTGCAAATTACACAGCATGTATTCCACCTAAACATTCACATAGACTCATTCACACTTTAGAAATATAACGCAGATGGCATGAGATGGCTATGGCAAGAAGCGGAAGGAATAAGAAGTCAAGTCCAGAAAAAAAAGCAATTAAACAAACAGCAACACTATTGGTGAGTTAAAAAAATAAATGTGAGTCTCACCCGAGGAACTGAGCTCCTGCAGGACCGACTTCAACCAATCGGCTGGCCAGGCCTTCTCCTTCCACCATCGGAGGGGGCGTGGCCAGTTTGTGTCTCTTGACCAGGCGACAGGTGATCCTGGTGGGCGCCGTGCACTTCCTGGGCGGGATGATGATGCGCATGCCGTTGTGACGACTCCCTCTCATGGAGCCACCTCTGGCGTCCACCATGAAGCTGACCAGGAACCTGACAGAGGGAGAGAAAAGGAAGAAAAAGGAGCAGAGGAAGAAGAGTGAGAGGAGATGGTGGAGCAGAGAGTGCAAAGTGAAAGAAAGATGGATACCAGATAGACGGAAGGGTATAGAAAAGGAATGGAATAGAAAGTAACACACATCAATTAAACGTCGGCATTGATGGAGAGGGAAGAGCTTTAGTTGAGGTGAAATCCCTTCTCATGCCGTGATCTCCAAAACACACACAAAGTGTAAATGTGAGCAAAAGAGATAAAGATAGAACAGAAGTGTTTCAGAAGAGTTTTCTGTGTTGGCTATGGCTGCCCTTGAAAAAGTTGGTGGTTACAGTTAGAAAACACCAACTTTGCCAAGTAGATGTAACAATATCGCTACATAAAAGTGCTTATTCTTCAGTGAATATTATTACAAGTGGATGAATTACCCATAATGCCAACACAGGAGCCTCCGGTGTAACCTGTGTGTCTTATTCATACAAGGTAGTCCTGTAGTCCTGTGTGTAACTTATTGTAGAAGGAAATACCATAAAACACACACTGCACACAGATCCACACCATGCAATTTGGTGAACAATATTTAATGTTAGTTATATGTAGGTTTTGAATAAATGATGTGAATATAAATGTAATTTTGCATCCTTTGAAAAGTATGATTCTGACGTCTCAAGTGAATGTATAGATTCTTCAAAATACATGAGGTATCACACATGGTATCTGTAGTTGCAGTGTATTAATCTTGATTTGGACTGTATTACTAATATTTGCTTTCCATGTTTCTCTCATTAAGATCCAGACGCTCAGGAGGTCTATATCAAAAAGCCGAGGGTCTCCTCCTTTCCAAAAAAAAAAGACATGGTGAGTAAAACCATTAAAGCAATTTCACATGAATAAATAGTCAGTGTTTGGCCAATGCTGTTTGGCTACCGCTTACTTTTGCTCAGCTTGTTTCTCCGATAACTTATTATCCAGATGTTTGATGACTAAAATCTGCCGTCCAGTTCAAATATATAAAACATATTATAAAGAGGAAAATAAGTTTTAAAAGTATTGTAAAAATGTACCTTAAAATGTGATAAAAAATAATTTAACCAGACATTTGAACATAAAAATGTCACATATTATAGGTTGAAGAGACTCACAAAGATTTCCTCCAAACAAAAGGAATACACGCAAGGTCCAAAAATTCGATCTGTTACAACACAGTTCATGTGTGAGGAGAGCAAACACAGATGTTATGAGTGAACGGAGAGGGGGGGGGCGTGATGTCACCAGGAAGTAACAACAAACAAGGTGGAGGTGACAAAAGAGGGCAACCAATCACAGTCAATCACCTGCTGTCGTACTGCGGGAGCGGAGAGGAAAAACTGCAGGATGGACGACAAAGCAACGCAGGAGTGACAGGTCAACAACAGAGCTTTGTCAGAGGAAACACCACTGAGAAGACCACCACCAAGGAGTCCTTTAAAGAATAGCTCGACATTTTGGGAGATATGCTTATTCGCTTTCTGGACGAGGGTTCGATGAGAAGTTGAGCCTGTCTTTTATATATTGGTTCACAGTTATCAGCCGGTTAGCTTAGCTTAGCACCAAGTCTGAATTGTAATTTGCTAACTATTGATAATTAGTGTGGTGTAAAATTGTGTATGCAATGTGTTCCAATTTCAAAGTACTGTATGTTGATTTGTGTACGCCAGAAATGCCTGGATGTAAAGAAGATTAGCAGGAATTTCTGAGTATGACACATGAATTCACGGGACATATTTAACTTAGACTGTCCAATGGCGGACTGCAGGAAAGCTGGTTTAAATCATTAACCAATAAAATAATAACGAAAGATTAAGGTGCGGTCACGAGGGTAAATGCTCACATATACAAAATAATATAATTTAAAACCTTTAACAATTTAAATTTGCATTGATATAATACTGAAATATATAAATTCTACGGCAGCTCGGAGAAGTATTGATTTAAACGTTATTGTCAATAAATACGACAAATTGCTTGAGTTAAGGTAAGTGTGAAATGACATTTTCAAATGTTATTTAGTGCACAGTATTTAGTAGATACTAATTAAGTTTGTATTGATGGGATTTCAAACACAACCCAAGTATGCTTTAGAGGTGCTGGGGGGATCTTAGAAAGGATCAATGTTTTCCAGGTTTCAAGTCTTTTGTGCTAAGCTAAGCTAATTCGCTACTTTCAGTTGCCATTATTCCTTTTCAATTTACTGGACATACCTGAAGTAAATGTTCTCATCGAACTCTACGCCAGAAAGCTAAGGGCATATTTCCGACAATGTCAAACTTTTTCTTTAATTTCCTTAATTTCCGCATTTCTCTGAGTCACAGTGGGATCTGTTGCGGCGAGGCCAAGGATTTACCTGACCTTTAGCATCAGATGAGCACAGTTCAGATTTTAGGGTTTGGTTAAACACAGAGAAAAACTGAAGCCATCAGTTTCTAAGGTTAAATGTATTTGCAGACTGATTGAATACAGTGACTACGGAAATAAGTGAAGTGTAACTTTTGCTAACAGACAGAGGGGGAGAAGAGAAACTGCTGCAGGTAGGGGCCATTTTCTCAAGGGAAAAGTAAATGAAAAAGGGAGACAGACAGAGAATATACAGGTGGGAGGAAACACAGACAAGCACATGTCTTGTATCCTTCTTTATCCACTTTAAAACGTGCTTACCCCGAGTGTATTGGCAAGGACACTATGTTGACATTATCATGGGCGTCTGGGGTCCAACTGTATCTCCTCAGAGAGTCGTTATCGCAGTCCTTAGCCACCGCCAGATGCTGTGGAGGAGACAAGGTCATTGCAATGCATTAGTGTGTGTGCATGTGACCGACATTGCATGTGCAGAAGAAGAAATACATAATGTATGATGAGGATGAATTCGTGCATTTAAATTGCCATGAAGTATACAAAACAAATATGAAAATGTGTTGATAAAGTCTGACTTTTAAAAGAAAAGTTGGCTTTTTTCTCGTTTCCTTAACCTTTAGTTTTATTCTCAAGAGCTAGCCGTGAGCTCTGATATAACATGATGACAAGGCATTTCCTCTCAAGCTTATTTCTAGTTTCACCTCCTCTGGGGAAGGTGGCATCAACACTAGTACCGCTTGCAGGATTTATGGCTGAGTCATAACATTATTTCTATACTCAGGAGACGGCAGCAGCTGTCGTTATGAAATAGAACATCTGAAGGTACTGTATGAGTACCCAAGCAATCAAAAATACCATCTATACATTTAGTATATTAGTGGGAAAAAAGGAAAACATTACCAGAACAATAGTCTTTTAAATAAAAGAAAATCGACTCCTTTACAGACGGTAAGAACAGAAAACCAGCACCATATGTTTAAAGTAAATGGATGCAATTGGTAAAGAAAACGGGTCTTTAAAAATAATTTTACGGCTAATAAATGCTAAAATGCATTAATAAAGACACAGTTTGCTGACTTAAAAATGTAGTGTTTTATTCCCAAAAAATAGCCATATGTCATAAAACGTCAATGGAACTGTTATGAGTGTTAACGTTTGTAATAATTATAAACACCTATATAACAAATGTTAATGAGTTGATGACAAAACATTGGAATTCCTACCATATAAGATGAACAAAATATGACTCTTATTCAATCCCATCATTAATAAGGAAGGAATCCAGTAAGTATGTCTCAAATTATTCATCATCAACACATGGATTAAGAACATAGTAACAATGAAGAGAAAATTATGAATATACATATACATGCTTTGATGAAAAAAATAAATACACCACATATAAAACATGATCAAATGAAAAAGTGTGAATGACATATTCTCACATGCACTTAAACGTCTACCTTGTTGCGTTTCTCTACAATGAAAGACCTCTCCTTACAGAGCATCTGGAGCAGCGTGAGAGGAGACGAGCTGTTATTTAGCAGCTGTTACATTCACACATCATTAAACCATGTTTCTCTGAATTACATTACTCAGTGTAGCAACACTGTCTGTCACACATTTGCAGGAAAATAAATTGCATGCATACTAGAACATGGCGAGACTTCTTCTGAGAAAAGCTTTAAAGTTCTCCGCCTAATTCTTTTCATAGGGAATGTAGGATTCAATATATTTGTAAATAGATTAGGTGTTTCTGGACCTGTCTTCCAACTGTTTGAAAGTGCAATACTTAAAATATGGCAACTATTGTAAAGCATTGTGGAGTTTGACATATTTGATGAAATAAATAAAAACATCTGTCAACAAAAAGGAATTAAAAGACGATTGTTTCTGTATCATGTATTATGTTGGCAATGACATTTTCTAACAATAAGCAGCGATTTCTAATGCTGGGAACATTTCTAGTTTTTTTGTAATTTATCAGGGATCCCACTCGATTCCCTCATATCTAATAACCCAACACGACATAGTCTGAGAGACGGATCAATGTTAATAACCATTGGACTCTCTTGAGGCAGGTGAGGCATTAACAATATCTAACTGTGGGAAACGCATGCAGACAGCAGTATGTCTATTTACTAACTATTACCAACAAAACAATGAAAGACATTTTGAGTCTTGAAAACTATTAAGGCTTAGCTTTTGTTGTCCTTAAATTCACAAAAGTTCAAGGTTTTCAAGGCCTCATGGAACTACCGCTGCCAAAACAAGAGGCTTTATCCAAACCATCTTTTTTGATTCTAGAACTAATAATGCTTATAGATGGAGAACAATATCATTTATATCATGACACTAACGAAGATATTTGACAAGTCTTCAAAACAAACTCATAAGGAGTTAGAAGTTTACTGATGCCAGGCCTGGTTGGGTTGTTCTTGGCTCATGCGATATACAGTAACCCTCTAAAAAAGAAATTTCACATGAATTCCAACTTTACTTTGAAAAAGCCAATTTGTTGCACCCTGAAAGTAAGTGGTCCATGCAATCCCTCGGAGATAGCACCACTCACCACTGATCCCATTTCCTCTTTCAGTCCTATGTAACAGGATTGGCCGTTTTCATGTCAACACAACCTCAGGTGTAAGAGGATTGGTTTAACCTGGCCTTTCACAAAGCGCTTAGTCAGCATGGCACATTTAGAGACAGAACACTCTGTCTCTTGTTGAGGTTAATGACCTGTGGATTACTGAGCAGGAAAGAAATTGAAATTAATGCTAACATGGAGAGGGAAAAAAAAGAGACACCTAGAACGTACCATGTCCTTGCCAGGTGCCAGCATCTCCTCTATCATCATGCTGTCCCGTGTGAAGGAGCTCCGATTCAATGTGTTGGACCTATCAGAACTGAAGGAACGCAGGCTTGGTGGGGTTGCCGGTTACCAAGACAACATTCACAATGATGGAGAGGGGAGGTGCAGAGGAGGGGTTGGGAGGAAGGTGGGGTGTAAGGGGGGGGGGGGGGGGGGAGAAAGTGAACAGAAAAAACAAACATAAACACATTAAATGCATGCAGCTTCCAGGAACCTGACTGTATGCCACCAGTGACAACAACAACAACCACATGAAGGAAGAACGATCTTTAGGAGAGAACTTAAAAGTGTTTCCATTGCTAGAAAGAAGGGAGTGGTGTACAAAGGATACTGTATGAGGCCACAACACCAATTACAAAAACTGTAGAAATCCAGATGCAAATGCAGTTGACAATGTAGATTTTCCAAATAACATTGTTACAACAATTCCTAGGGTTTGCACCAACTTTTTTTGAGCCTCTTCAGTCTCAGAGGTACTCACATCATGCCGGCACACAATTCGAATGCCCTGAAAGCCTGAGGGTAGCAGAGTAGCTAATGAAAGCTAAGCAAACTACTATATGATAGACAATGGACACAGCATGAGGACAGTAGGCTGGCTTACAAGATAAAAAATAGGCAGATGATTAGCTGCTAATTTTGTCTTACACTTCTGTCCAAATACAGTTGTCATGGACGATGAGCTGTGTTGTTTATGAGACATTAGTGAGATGAATTAAGAGCATTCCCAGGCAATGACAAAAAAATGAATGTTTGCTTAATGTCTCTACCGCGGTTACAGCAGCTCTATTTGCTCCACATACTGTAAGTAAACCGGTGTGAACCAATTAGCCGGTGTTCAGAGGAGCTGCTCTGTAGCGCAGCAACTCATTCTGACAGGACAAATCTGTGGAAGCACAGAAAGGCCGTCTGGCAATATAAATGATATATATTTAAATGATATTATCTCAAGATTGCAAGAGTCTTTTGCTATCTCAAAATAATAAAGCAACTTCCTCATAATAGAAAAGGCTATACCTTTGGACTACAAAAGGTTGTATTGTTCAGATAACGATCCCATTACCAAGCGATCACAAATTATTTTCACATTTAATTTGATGATCTCTAGGATATTAATTTCTCTATAAAAATGTTTTTATATTTTGAAAGACTGAAAATGTCAAATGTAATAATAGATGAAAGCTCCACCCATGGCCCAATAACACTTTGTGTAAGGAAAACATGCAATACTATGATATTTGTATACAACAAAATAATTATATTATATATAATTAATAGATGTAATCTATCTAATAGATACAACATTCAGGTTTGTATTGTTAATAAAATATTGAAATAGTGGCACCAAGATAATTGATGATGCTGTACTTTGTAAAAACTGATATTGTTGGCAAAAAATAAATAAATCATCCTATATTTTCAATGACTTTTTGTAGTTTATTTTCAAGCTAGATATATCATTATTATTAAAAAATATATTGTGTAAATTAAATTCATAATAAATTAAAACAGTTTAAATGTACATTTCCATATAAAAGAAACAAACAAAACATATATTGCTCAAGAAAAAATGTGCTCGACCACAGACAGTAAGATTATTCTTTACTGTTCCTTACATGACATTAAACTGATGTAGGCAATAGCTATTGCCGACAGATATATCAGTTCAGGCCCCTGGAAGCGTGATGAGGGAAAACTCTGCACATAAACCAAAATAATGCAAAGCTCCACCTTTGTGGCTAACGCACAAAGACCCAGGCGGTTATGAAACAGTCACCACAGTCCAACACAAAAGCACACTCATGGAGCTGCTCCCTCACAGGCAGGGAACACAGCACAACTGTTTTCAAATGAAGGCATACATAAAATATCACACAAGTGGACCACAGTACGCAACACAGGGCCTGATGTCAACATACAAAAGTGTTAAAACAAAAAAGATCTGGCGAAAATCATTGAGTTAGTAGTCAAACATTCACAGTAAAGATTTATTTCAGTTGACCACTGGAGTCTGGGGAGGGGAAGGGGTGAAATGTGGGAAGGGGTTAGGTATTGGGGGGGGGGGGCTCTTCATGCCTTCAGCCTTACCTGACTTTGGGGCTAACATTAAGAACGGACATGAGGAGAGAATAAAAGATCATGAACAAACAGAGAAGTGGAGAGATGTAGAGAGGAGAAGGCCAGGTTGGTAGAATCATGCCAAATGCTGACTGACTGACTGTCTCACTAACTGACTGACTGTCTCACTACCTGACTGACTGACTGTCTCACTAACTGACTGACTGTCTCACTAACTGACTGACTGTCTCACTACCTGACTGACTGACTGTCTCACTAACTGACTGACTGTCTCACTAACTGACTGACTGACTGTCTCACTAACTGACTGACTGTCTCACTAACTGACTGACTGACTGTCTCACTAACTGACTGACTGTCTCACTAACTGACTGACTGTCTCACTACCTGACTGACTGACTGTCTCACTAACTGACTGACTGTCTCACTAACTGACTGACTGTCTCACTAACTGACTGACTGACTGTCTCACTAACTGACTGACTGTCTCACTAACTGACTGACTGTCTCACTACCTGACTGACTGACTGTCTCACTAACTGACTGACTGTCTCACTAACTGACTGACTGACTGTCTCACTACCTGACTGACTGACTGTCTCACTAACTGACTGACTGTCTCACTAACTGACTGACTGTCTCACTACCTGACTGACTGACTGTCTCACTAACTGACTGACTGTCTCACTAACTGACTGACTGACTGTCTCACTACCTGACTGACTGACTGTCTCACTAACTGACTGACTGTCTCACTAACTGACTGACTGACTGACTGTCTCACTACCTGACTGACTGACTGTCTCACTAACTGACTGACTGTCTCACTACCTGACTGACTGTCTCACTACCTGACTGACTGATTGTCTGTCTCACTACCTGACTGACGGACTGACTGTCTCACTACCTGACTGACTGACTGTCTGTCTCACTACCTGACTGTCTGTCTCACTACCTGACTGACTGTCTGTCTGTCTGACTGACTGAGTGCCCATTAACCTGCCTGGTATCCACACCGATCACTGTCGGACTACAACTTTGAGCACACATACCATTTATGACAAATTACCTTATGAACTCCCAATATTCTGGAAAACATCAGTGCTTCTTCATCTTAACCCCCGACATGTCATCCTGCTTCAAATCCAAACTTGTAAAATACATTGAATACAGCCTTTTCAGTGGCCTGTAATCATGATGTCATGGGATATTTTTGGCAAGAAACTTAAATATCTATAGTTGATGTTTGCAATATAAATTGGTATTAGAGAGGGAATGTTTGACCCGTTTACCTTTGTAACATGAACCTGCAAACGGTTATAAAGGAGTGTAGGTTGAAGTACATGGGATGTACTGTTTTATTTTAGCTTTTTAATAAGCTATCAAATTGGGTATGGAAAGACCTGGAATTACTGGCATTGGTTTTGACTACTAATTTCTGTTATTGTGAAATCCTGAACTTGCCAATATTAGTTAACAAACTTTAACCAACCTAGGTCACATACACAACGTACTTAACTGACTTATGTTACTTAAGTTAAGTAAACAACCTATTTATTTAAAGACAAACTATGACTTAAAGCTAATCAAGTAAGTATTTTAATTCACATTGTTCACCAAGTGTTGGACATTGGCTTAAAAAAAAGCCTTCAGTCGGGGGATAAGACTCAAAATAAAACTTTAAAATGGTGGGACAAAAGACATCTGGACCATGCAGTTATTTCCACACTTTATTGGGTGTGCCTGTTTTGCTTTAAGTGATGTCCAAAAGGATAATGCATCAACAATGTTTCATGGCTTTCACTGACAAAACTGTGGCCAACTAAAAACATACATGATGTTTTTCTTTCAGCTAAGAGGGATTTATAGATAATTCACTTCCTAAATCGACTGAACACGAAGACATTTGAACTCATTTCTACAGCGGACCAGCAATATAGTTAAACGTATTCACACACTCACACACACGCATCCCAACCCACAGTGTGTGTTATTGTAACCTGGGGCTAAGTGCCATGAAATCGAACATGTTTCTCATTTCCTGTGGCTCAGTGTCCGTGTGTGTGTCACTGTTCAGATATTCAATAACCCCTCCCTCTTCAGCGGGGTTGCACAAACGTCAATAGTTTTGTGTGAGCGAGAAAGTTCAACAGCCACAGAAAGCGAACTATAACCTCCCACTGGTGAGAGGAAAGTCTGTGTGCCGGGGGTCAGAATAATGTAAAGCCTTACTTCTTCTGTACAATACGAGAAGAAAAAAGGAGCTCCTACAATACCACTTAGAAACAAGTCCAATAAACTTTGAAAAAAAAGTCTTGAGCACGTCTAAGCTGAGTGTATCTATCAAATTCATTGCTATACCTTGGTACAGTGTAGTAACTATAAACTAAATGGTGAAAATATCTAGCATATCACTACAATACATAAAAAGACAATTTCTATTAACCCAGACACTTCCTGTTAGAGTAGCAGCTAACAATAGTTCCCCTTCATTTTGGATTATCTGGCTCTTTGATTCCTACCATTGTCAAAATACTTTGCTAAAGGGTACTGCAGGAGTAAGTCCTAAAACATGGAGATGAGTCAACATGTTTGCACTTTGGGTTCCCTCGTATTGAAGTTTTTGATGACTGAAACAAGTTTTGTTGTTAACCCAATCTCAATACGTAATTTTTCAAGTCAGTAAATACCCTACTCATGAGCATTGACATTTTAAAGCTTGCAAACTAGTGGCTGAATGAGAATACGGTTGTTGTCTAGGACAGTGTTTTTCAAAGTGGGGGCCCCGACCCCCCGGGGGGCCGCCAGGGGGGTCACACAAAGTTTGAGGGAAAGGGGAATTTTTTTTCTTTTTTTAAAGTTACATTTATTTCTATTTTAGATGTTATTAATAACTGCATATCTATCAATCTATGTGTCCTTTGATGCCAATCTTTTAATATTTTTTATTTATTAATATTTTAAATCACACGACCGCCCTTCAAGCCAATCAGAATCGAGCTGCCGCTACTGAGAGTGAAACTGAGTATCTGCTCAGCTTTTTAAGTTTGGGAACCCCTGGTCTAGGACCTTAAATGTCATCCCGCCAAAAACAAATCCACCTTTAGCTAAGTGATGGTGACGTTGAGGACATGTAACTAGGTGAAGTTAGTTTATAGCCTAGCCTTAGCCATTTGCTTCTTCAGATAGCAGAATCTGAAAAGTGTTGTTTATTACATTACATTACATTTCATTTAGCTGACGCTTTTATCCAAAGCGACTTACAATTACAGGGACATTCTCCCTGGAGTAAATAATGGCTAAGTGCCTTACTCAAGGGCACACTAGTGGTGGTGTTCCTGGCGGGATTTGAACTCACAACCTTCCGATCTTCACCCCACCTCACTCTACATTAGACCACCACTATCTATAGGTCTGGTGATTATCTTGCTGGACACAACTTGTACATATCATTAAGCTTTGTTTGCCACAGAGCTTATTCTCTTCAATAATCCAAACCAACTGGGAATGAAGGGAAACCGATTGGTTTTTTTGTGAAGGGAACCAGGGCGATGCTAACTTCCCGGTTGGTTAACAGAAATAGGTCATCACTAATGCACTCTAAAAGGTCAAATGTTCAAAGTGCCAGAGTTCAATGAATGTCAACCCTGCAAGCTATATTAAATAAGCGTTGTTGTGAAAATGCTGTGACCGGGCCTATACACATCAGAAACATCAATAAACGTGTCATTTGTTATTATACGTCATAGCAACTGATATACGTGTACATTAGCAAACATAGACATAGTCACAATATAGTTTATTAACTGTGGGAAAGGTCATAGTGGGTCTTACCTCTGTGAACGCGCTCCAACGCTGAAGCCCATGTAGCCCTCCTGTGGGAGCGAGTCGTCCCCCAGCTCCCGCAGGTCCTGGGGGGCTAGATATTTGTCTGTGTCCCCCGTCATTGCATCATCACCTGCAGGTTGAGAACACACAGGGCCGAAGAAAGGTTACGAAAGTAAGCGTAATTGATTCTCTGGCTTTTTAGTAGCTATAATCTTCTTGTGAGGGACCATTTCAAAACAAAAATCAATAACTGTTTAATTAAACCGATCAACATTTAGCTGTGGCAGCCTAGCACTGGCTAGAGTGGGAAATTATGTGAGTGCAAATGGAACTTATTGGCTACTCTCTATGTTTTTTGTTTTTACTGTCCACACACAGACCATTACAGAGTAGCTCTTTTAAAACAGACAGATCAATGCAGCCTCTGCCCCGGAGGCCGTTTTCCAGTTCAGCTGCGGTCCAACAAACACACAAAACAAAAGTCTGTGCTGTCACTAAAGGCTTTTTGTCTCAGTCCCCAGATGACAAACAAATGTTAACAGTAAAGCTTGCAAACAATAAATCGTGCTGCTGTCAGTAACTTTTCCTCTCAGGTTATTCTAGTGAGTTAACTAGGGCTGCAACTAATGACAATTTTCAATGTCAATTAATCTGCCGGTTATTATATAAATTAATCATATGGTTTATAAAATGCCAGAAAATGGTCCATCCTAGTTTCAAAAGATCTGTGGTGATGTCTTTAAAAGTCTTGTGTTGTCAGTCCAAAACCAAAATATAGTCACTTTATTATCATTTAAAAAAGAGAAAAGCATGAAATCTGCCTATTTGAGTGAAAAACCCAGTATATCTGACATCAACCCAAGAAAAATCAATATCAAAATAGTTGGTGATTATTTTGCTTTCCATCGATTACTTTGCAAGTCAATGAACCATTCAGCTCTAGCATTAACAATAAAAGCAATAAAAGCAGGTTGACATCTCTATGTCTGAGTAAAGTGACTAACCACACATTTATGTAATGAATGTTCCTCTTAATACAAATACCCACAACAGAAGTCCATGTCATCACAGCAAACAAATCACTCAAGCCATAAAAGAAAGCTGTTAAAACATACGTTAGAGCAGGGAAACAGAGAGCAGCATGGTATTCCTCTCAGAGTTACTGTAGTACTGATGAACCGCACAGTAGAAACAGAGAAGGCAGCAGAGGAGGAGTTAAAAAGTGGGAGAGGGGTACAAGTGCATACAGGCGGAGGGACGAAAAGAGAAAGAAAAGGAAGGCATTCCAACAAACCACAAAGCTCTGGAGACCCCCGCCTCACCCTCCTGTCCCTTCATCCCCTGCTGCTCCAGCACCCCTCCCCCCTCCCTGCACTTTCTCCATAACAGACCCCAACTGGCTACATTCCAGCCCATTCTCATGTCAGCCGAAAACTCACCTCCTGCTTTGAAGCAATTCATTCAGCCAGGAGTCCAGTTTGCAGGATTTTCACCCTGAACTAACTTTTTTCACGGACTACCTTTAACTTTCAGTCGCTCTATCTCCTGCACACACTCACTCACACACACACTATCTGTCTCTCTCTCTCACAGCCCAGCGCTCACACAAACAGATCGGCTTTCTCCCGCCTACCCACCCTGCTCTAGGATTATCCAGTGTGTGTAAATGTGTGTGTGTGTGTGTGTGTGTGTGTGTGTGTGTGTGTGTGTGTGTGTGTGTGTGTGTGTGTGTGTGTGTGGAGGGGGACAGACACCTAGAGCTCACTGCAGGACAGAAATAGTAAGTGGATGTGTGACTCTCTACCTATGCAGTACAGTATACATGCTCTCCTGTTTTTTATTTTTTGCTTTGTTTTGTTTATCTTGTTTGTCACTTCCTTGCTCTACCGGTCTGTCTGCTTGGTTATCTTTCTATCGGCTAACTAGTACACATACTTTGCCTTCTATGCTCCCATGTACAGTATATCTTCATCCTGACTGATCTCTGCATCTTTCTACCTGCTGCTGCTGCTTCTGTGTGCAACTACCACGTCTAACAGCTTGTGTTTTTCTGTCACCTCAGGAGGAAGCAGTGATTGCAGGAACTCAGACGGTAACTCTGCTTGGATTTTGCATCAGGGGTTGACCTAACTGCTTGACTGTTTTTTCTAAATGGTCAAATAATAAAATTCAGAGAATCAACTGAAAACAGACTGCTGTTACGACCAACATTTTTAAACCAACCAATCTGAAGGTAGCATTAAAACGATGCAGAATACACTGAACTTTGCACCATAGACATATACAGTGCATATGTGACCTGCTCTATCGAAATCAGTCGTATTGACCCGAAGACACATTTTGAGTTGTATACACTGTTGGAAAGAGGAGATTCCTAGCTTTCTAATGATATCAGGATTGTTTTTGTACTCCAAATATTAAGCAAAATATGTTACATTATATAATGACTGTTACAGAGTCATCATTTTGAGAAAAAGGCCTTAAAAGTTTCCTCTTCTCTGGATCGATCTGATTGATTATTTAGCGGAGCAAATGATCAAAATACTACGGAGGGAAGATATTTTCGTTTGGATTACTGGTCTGGGGGAAGCTCGCGAGTGAGTGTTTGTGTATTTTTGCGTTTGTTTCCCGGGGAAAACACGAGAAACACCGGCTGTTGTTATGCCTGCTGTGACGTTAAGTTACTCCGTTCTCCGCTTGTAATTATGCCGTTACAAGCTTTAAAGTTGTATTTATCATCTGAATTTGCCGAAACAAGTTTAATATTCTGAAAGCCAAGACTTTGTTTAATTGAAATCAGATGAAAACAAACTGTAACGGACCCTGCCGTGTTATTTATGATTACTATACAGTATACACGTACATTCATAATGTCAGCCGTAGGGAGGGGGGGCGGCGCTGCGGAAGAGCAGATTGCGAGTGAGAGGTGCCTGTCTTCGTCCCTTTAAAAGCTTCAAAAATGTATTTATCGTGTGATTTTGGAAATAAAAGTTTCATATTCTGAAAGCCAAGACTTTGTTTATTTAAAATCAAACAAAACACCCGAACCCCGAAAAAATTGTTTTTTACGCAAATCCACGTTTATTTTTAAATGAGCCGTTGCGACTTCCGACTGATTTCGATAGAGCGGGTCACATATAGGTCTATTAGTATGTATACATTGGTTTATGAAGATGGATTAAGCCAGTTGTTGATGTGTCTATACTTGCATATATAAGCTTTGTAGGGCTACGCTTCACTGGACATACAGTATGTACATAATATAAACATATCCCTTAAAAAAAATTATTCTTTCATTCTTGATTTTCATGTATATATTCTTTCTAATTTTGAGTTTAAAAACTCACTACACTAATTTGTTACCTGGCCTCAAAAATCATATCAAGTCTCAAGTTGTTTTATGGAAATTGAGAGTCTGTTTATGTCCAAAAATGAGTTAAAAGTTGTTGTTTTTTTACAAGGATTATAACACAACTAAGATTTAATTACTCGAAGTTTCCAGAGTTATATCAAATTGAAACTTTAATATTTTTGCCTTTCAAGCACTATTTTTTTTATTAAGTCTGACTCGAGTCCAATTCTATTGATATCAAATGTTCTTAGTTACAGTCTATTAATCAGTTGCCATTTGACAAATGAGTAGGTTTCTTTCTTACTAACAATCTTTCTTCTATTTTTCTTCTAATTGCAAGTGTTATATTTAGTATATGAAATGTCAAAGATGAAAACATCTGACCAATTTTGGATCTTAGCCTGAAAGCAACCCTGGAAACATATCATTATACCAACGATCAATTATTGGAATAAGTAAAAACCTTGGCATCAAATATAAACCAACATGTGGCAAATCTGTTATTGCCTTAAAAATAGTTAAGTATCATATGATTCAGATTTCCACTACATATAAATGAACTTTAAAGCTTTGGGGAAAAAACTCATTTGAAAGCAGTTCTTAAAGACTGTAGAGTGTGTGTGTGGGCTGTCCTGATTTAGAACTGTGTGTGTGTTATTGGAGATGTTAATCATTGCTGTTACTCAGCTGGTATGTGAGCTTGGGAAAGTACGTGTGGTGTGTGTGTTCTGTATGTGTGTGTGTTTGTGTGCCTAGAGTTACACTTCATAGATATATTTAGATCAGAAATGAAAGATGGCTGCTCTGCTTAAGCAACTCAACAGACAATAACTCACACAAAGAATTTGGTTTCAGGGCAAAACGTGCATATTACATACATATGAAAATAAGTTCAGCTGCACCACTTCAAACTGGTTATTTGAGTTAGTTATACAGTAGCAACACCACCACTTTTTGACTTACAGGAATAGCTGATGCAGATATTTCCAACATCCATCTCTGTTCAAATAAAGCAAAAATAAACCTTGAACCATATTTGTTTGAATTATTTTCGAAATATCTTTACACTTTTTTAATTCATGCACGCAGGAAAATTACTGACGGAGACATTACGCTGCATTAAAATGCTTATCCAATGAAGTTACCGAGTGCCTGTTTATATTTCCCTTTTCCTTCTATTCCTCGTCTTTCTTTACTCGTCCGATTCATTTCACTTTTATCTCTTTTCTTTTGGTTTTCTGCTTTCTACTCATCTACTCCAAGTGTGGTTTACTAGAAAAACACACTAAATATTCAGGGAAATAGCGATAAATCATGGGACAGGCCTACACTTTATGAGATCCTGCAAAGAACAGTCTATATAAAGATCTATGTTAGATATATAACTGCAAAATATATTGTAAATGGGATCTGAAGAAGTTGTCTCGAAGCCCTGAAATGTGATTTCTGCAGGCTGTTGACATTTAGACGCCATAAAAACTGACATGTGCAGACGGCATGAAACATGTGACCACATAAGGTGACTGAAAGTCTACCATTCTTTACCATCAATGCTTTAGCAAATACACCCGAGGGCAACATTGAAAACAGCTATTGATTGAAAATCTCACTATAACAAATTATAGGTTTTTTTCTTCTCATTAGGGAAAGTCAGTGAAAAGTTCAAGTTCAGCCGCTTTTCAGCCACACTAGACACCAAGAGAAAAGACACACACACACACACACACACACACACACACACACACACACACACACACCACACACACACACACACACACACACACACACACACACACACACACACACACACACACACACACACACACACACACACACACACACACACACACACACACACACACACACACACACACACACACACACACACACAAGCAGCTGACACCGTGTTTGCTTTGGTCTACATGTGTGAAACTACAATGGACGCGTCGCTGACAAGCCCTCCGAAGACAAAGGATCGAGTGTGTGTGTGTGTGCAGTCTACTCCACGGCATGAAAATAAATCTGTCACACACTCCAAATCGCCATATGCAGACAGTTGATATGGCAACGGGGAGAAAATAGCATATTTCCTGCATTTCGACGCATTAAAATACTGAAGGGTTTAACAACAAAACAGCATCAGAGAGTGGAAGAGGGAAGCAGCAGCTCAACACAGTCGGGTGTAGCGCACATGCACATTTCCCTTGATGTAAATAAATAAGATGAAAAAGCTCAATTATATCATGGTATTTGACTAGCTTCAATTGAATAAAGCACATGTAAATCTTGACACAAAAAAGAGCAACCAAAGATTGGAAAGAACCAAGGACTGACAAGCAAAATGAGGTATGAAGGAAGTAAAGATTAAAAGAACAAAAAAATGAAGAAAGATGAATAATACCTTCTTCCACATCAGATATATAGTCCTCTGTGATCATTTCGGGGACATTGGCTTTACAGACTGTGTGATTGGGATGGAGGAAAGGGGTTAGAGGAATAAGGGAACCAAAATATATGGAAAAATTATAACAAAATAAAGGCAAAGAAAGAATAGAAAACAAAACAAAGTTCATGTCCAGTGGCTGGTTAAATAAAGGCTTGAATCATAATTGTTGCTAGAATGTCAAATAAAATAAAATATGTTAACGATGGAAAAAATAAAACATATTTTCTATTGAATAACTCCACAACAACAACAAAATGTTCCCATAACAACAGTAGGGAAACCAGTACCGGGACTAAAAGCCCAAAAGCCAAATATGACTCGATGTGAGATTTTAAAGACGTAGGCAGTCTCTCCCTGATTTTGAGACTAAAATCAGGTTGTACAGAGAAAAACTGTTTAGATGCATTTCAAGTAAAACAGATTCAGACATCAAAAAGGTATACAAATGAATCCTTACCATCGTCATCGGACATGTCCAGCACCTCGTTCATGGTCTCTGGAACGTTCATCTTGTGCTTCTCTGTAACAGTCTGTCGAACAGAGGCCCAACCGCCAAAACAGTCAATTATTACAGAAAAGCCTTAAATGAATGTCATTACTCATATGGACATGTATGTAGAGGTTCAATTAACACAATATGGTGTACATTCATACAATAATTTAAAGCAGTAGCTTTAATGCACCATTATGTCTCTTGCACTATTTAATTACTTTTTTTGTATATTAAACACAAAGGAGCATCACAAATTCTAAAAAGTTTACAAGTTTTTCTTTATAACAGTGCTTTCATTCATTAGTTTCAATTGCATCACCTTTGCCCTTATTTTAATGGGTGTGAAGTTACCATAACAATGTAATTACACTTCCTGCAGATGTTTCACACTAAAAACCGACCAGGGAAGAAAGTTACCATTTGAGCCAATGGTATGCTTTAAATATCAAACACTATTGCAGGAAATCATGAGTGTCAATGACGCGAGTTTGAAAAACCCGACAAAATTGACCAGGAGGAAATTAGTTAGTGTGTATTTTCCACAGAAAAAAGATTATGTAACAGCGAAGCAATAGCAAATTAAAGAGCAAAACATAATAACTAAGAATACATCTCAAATATAATATCGTTTTGATAACGGCCTTATATGAGAGTTCACTCTGTTAAAGGAGCCCTATTATAAGTTTGACATATGTATTTAGTGTCTCTACTGTGACCTGTTTATACTGTATGCTTTAATGTTCAAAACGCTCTTTATTTTTCTCATACTGCCTGTGCTGCAGCACCTCTTTTCACCCTCTGTCTGAAACCAGAGCCCAGTCTGCTCTGATTGGTTAGCTGGCTGGCTCTGTTGTGATTGGTCAACCTCTTAGAGATGTCTTGCCCCTTAGCCAATCTAGTACAATATGTTGGAGTGCTAGCCAATAGAAGTGTGAGTGATGTCACTATGTAGAAGTAAACAAAGGAGTCCCATGGAGGCGTTTCAGGGAAGGAGGGAGTGTGTGGAGAGAAACTCCCTCTTTGCAGACCGTTTATATGCACAAAAACCTATATAACACACTTATATAACCAAACTATACATTGCAGTTACTGTTAAAACACATACACACCTGCGTGGTGAGAGTTTCTTCTGTGACTACTTTGAGCGTGTCAACGACAGAGATGTAGCCGAGCCTCCTTGCAATGGACAGAGCGCTGTTCCCATTCTGGACATCAAAAAAGAAAAATTTGTGACTTATTGATTTTGAACGGTAATAGAAAATCCAAACTATTCAGTACTTGTGTACAATAAACCCTTAAACATCATAAGGTACTCAATGTGTGGAGATGAGTATTTTGTTCTTCAGTTAGTATTTGGATACAGTGCAGATCTACAAAGTCAAGATATTTGTAATGTTTTGTATAATATTTGTCTGAGTCAGTGTGTACTAACAGCTGTGAGTTCGTTGGGCGATGCTCCTTGATGAAGCAGCAGGTTGATGATGTGTGTGTGTCCCTGCTGTGAAGCCTGATGGAGAGGTGTGTAACCGTTCTGCAAAGGAGAGAAAACAGACACAGTTAGAGTAAAAGAACACTGACACTGCCAACAAAATACCCTTTTAAATGTACTCTACACCCACTGACATACACTATCAGTGACACACATCGAATATGTGTTAAGATCTCTAATGCACAAAGAAATAAAGGAAATATGTGCACTGAATGTTTACCTTGGTCTTAGCGTTGACCTTCGCCTGATTTTTCAGCAGGAAGTTGACCATCTTCACGTTGCCATAGTGACAGGCCACATGGAGCGGAGTGTATCCCAGCTGATGACGGAGAAAATCATTTGGGGATTAGCATTATCATTGGTGTTGTAATTGTCCCTTGTTGCTCTGCTTGAAATGTGTTTCATTACACTTTATGAAATGGATAACTTTGATCCCTGCAGGGCCTTGGAGAAATGTCATATCAAAACTGAAGTGTTTTCCAATTGACAAGGGTCTGTCAAAATATCCAGTCCAAAACCAAAATAAATTCAATTTACAGTGACTAGCATCTAATCCTCACATTAGAGAAGCAGTGAATATTTAGTTTTTTCTTGACTAAAGTGTTAAACCATGAAGACAACAAGACACTCATACCTTAGTCTCAGGGTCTAGAGTAGCTCCCTGGTTGACTAACACCTCAGCAACGTTGACTTTATCCTCCTGGGCAGCCAGGTGGAGTGGGGTCAGACCGGACTGAGGATAGAGGGATAAATATGAATCAAATATAGGGATAGCGCAAATAAACAGAGCTCAATATGCAGACAGAGGGAGACGGAGAGATTGAAAAACAGATAGGACCTACAGACTTTTAGAGTCAGGCTCTGGCCATTTAAACACAAGGAAACAGTCCACGTAATCAGATGAATGTTTTTGTACTCAGTTCTCGTACCTTATTGCCCATATTGATCGGAGCGTCTCGGGCCAGCAGCAGCGTCACTATGTCCACGTTGCCTTCCTGTGAAGCGAGGTGCAGAGGAGTGATGCCCTGGCGGGTCACTGTGTTGGTGGAGGCACCGTACTCCAGCAAGGTGGTGGTAATCTCCATCTGATTCTTCTTAGCGGCAATGTGGAGTGGTGTGTAACCATTCTGGGTACAGAGAAGAGAGTTATTTTTCTTTGTTTCTTACACTGCCATCATTCACTTACATATAACTCAAATCTAATACAAACTAATTTAGAGAAAATACAAAATATTTTAGACCCTATATTTTAGAAAAACGCGATTCTGCGATCGCATAGTTTACCGCATAATCAGCAAAATGGCGCATATTTATCAAAAGGCCGCATAATCCCCGCATTTTTCCACACAAAGTTCAGGGAAAAAAGGTGAACTGGTCTTGACAATAGGTCTTGACGTGAAGTAGTGATGATGATGATGATGATGATGATGTGACGTCATCAGTTTGCGCATCACAGAAGGTAAACAACACCGTAGAGTGAACGTGTGAAAATCTAATCCATCTCATTTACCGACGAACATTTCTGCTAAAGACCGGGCAAAGCAGTACCCCGATATCTTGCACGAAAGTGGGGGGAAACTATTCTGCACCCCGTGCAACTGTGTGTTGGAGCATCAGAGAAAATCGACGGTGACGACCCACTTTGATACATTCAAACATTCGAAAATGCTTTCTGCTGCTGCGGACAAGAAAGACAAACAACTCACGTTCACCGAGGCATCAACCTCCAAAACCCTTTCGAGGGCTACAAGAAACGAGGTGAATAGCCTACACGATTGAAGCTGGTCAGATAACGAACAAGTAAATGAAAACAGAATGAGGCGGAGAAGTGTGTGTGTGGGTGTGTGTGTGAGAGAGAGTGTGATTAAAATAGCCCAATTGCTTTAACAATAAATAAACATTGAATGTGTTTAATTGAATAGTAAAGGGGTTTAACGTTAGTGGCAGTGAGAGAGAATAAATAAGACAGCCCAATATTTTAAAAAAACAACTTCCCGCAATTTCACCACATAAAATCACATAAAACCCCCGCATGTTTAATCGCATAATCAAGAATTTTAGCCTGCATAATCAAGGATTTTTGCCCGCGTTTTTCTGGAGGGTCTAATATTTGATGCTGATTATACATCCATCCATCCATCCATCTTCTCCCGCTTATCCGTGGTCGGGTCGCGGGGGTAGCAGTTCCAGCAGAGAGCCCCAAACTTTATTTTCCCTGGCGACATCAACCAGCTCTGACTGGGGGATCCCAAGGCGCTCCCAGGCCAGCGAAGAGATATAATCCCTCCACCTGGTCCTAGGTCTACCCCTTGGTCTCTTCCCAGCTGGACGTGCCTGGAACACCTCCCTAGGGAGGCGCCCAGGTGGCATCCTAACTAGGTGCCCGAACCACCTCAACTGGCTCCTTTCGACGCGAAGGAGGAGCGGCTCAACTCCGAGTCCCTCCCTGATGACCGAACTTCTCACCTTATCCCTAAGGGAGACACCAGCCACCCTGCGGAGAAAACCCATCTCGGCCGCTTGTATCTGCGATCTCGTTCTTTCCGTCATGACCCATCCTTCATGACCATAGGTGAGGGTAGGAATGAAAATGGCTGATTATACAATGTAATATATATATAATATGACTCATATTTGTTCATTAAATATCAACCAAAGGACCTATTTAGCTTAGGTTAGCACAAGAAACACCCAGCATGGCTCTGTTCAAAGTTTACATCTACCAGCGCCACTGAAGCTAACTAAAATAAACAATATTTGTTTCTTTCTTATCTATGCAAAAACATTAAGATTCAGTTTTAAAGAGAATTATGTGACAGGCTATATTTTTGTGGGGGAGCGGTAACCTTCTGAATCAAAATTAAATTGATAGAAAGTCAAAGAAGTTACTGAGCTAGTTTTCGGTCTTAATGCTAAGCTAAGCTACGCTAACATGCTGCTTACCGTAGCTTCATATCTAGCATACTGACATGACAGTGTGGTTGATTCTGTCAAAGTTTTTTGTTTTACAACTGTAAATATGTTTTTTTCTCAACTCAGCTAATTAAACATCAAATTCATGATATAGCCATATATTGCAAATTAATTATATTTATGTCTACATTTTGCAGCTGTTATACTTTAACTGATAGAGACGGCTTTATCCTCTTAGACTATTTATTACTAAGTGGTGTATAACGATATTTTAAGCACATATAATTACAGCCTATGTCCAGGACCTAAAGTAAAGTATAAATAGTGTATACAATAATCACTAACGTCATTGTATGTCCAGGGCAGAGTTGGGTGTAACGCGTTACTGTAATAATATTACTTTTGTCGGTAACGGAGTAGTGTAACGCGCTACTTTTATAATTCAGTAATCACACTACAGTTACTAACATTGCCCGACACGAGTTACTTCGTTACTTACTAAAATCAGTCATAATCAAACCTCAACAAACACCTGCAAAGAACACATGCTAAGGTGAAGCTAACGCACAGCTATTTGTTGTTTGTTTATATCACGTAGTCTGTTCTTCTGCTCTGTTTTCTGGTTGTTGCCTGTTTTGAATGACGAATACACACTACCGCCGCCTGCTGGTAAGGAGAGTTATTGCCACTCACGCATGCGCAGTTCGTACGTGCTCGGCTGAAGTCTTGGCGGTGTGTTCCAGTCATAGGCCCTTTCTCATTTCATCAAATCCCCCTCCTCGACTCCTCGGTCCTCCGGTAGTGACCCGGAAATCAATTTCAGCGCGCCATGTTGAAGGACATCTCATTTCTCTAAATGCACTTTGAGGACCAAGGATCGAGCGTCGAGGAGGCTCTCTGGAGGAGCTATAACCGAGGATACACTGATGGGTCCTCCACGGCTCCTTCGTGGATGCATTTCCGGCAACAGAGATGTTTCAAAGAGTCGTGACGCACGGCCGGACTTATCTCAGCCAATGACAGCTCTGCATGCATCCCTGGATATTATTTTATTAACTGCTTTCATCGCAACGCGATGTTTACAGTGAGAACAGCTGTGAGGTCCGTGCAGAAAGCAGAGCAGTGTGTATAATATATATCACTCAGTATAACAGGCCTACTCTCTTTATTTGCTTTAGTTTAGTAGATATCTACAAACAAAGAGTCGATATTTTTCTAAAACCATTTAGTGCTTCACATAATAAAATACACAACGGCTGTAGCCTGTTTTAGGAGCTGTATGTGCGTGTGGTACAGTGTGTAGGTGTGTGTGGTACAGTGTGTGCGTAGATGCAGCGGACAGACAGGTCTCAGTTGGTTTGGTGTCCTCTGCTTACTTTTAATACTTGTAAATAAAACCTTTGGCCCGTAATTTATTTTCCTCATTGTAGCGACCAGAGGGGAGAGGGGGGGGGGGGCATATATCCAGTCTCTGATAGTGTTACGTTATTATGAGAGTGCTCTGTTTGATTCTGAAATTGTATATATTTATATAAATATATACATATATATATGTGTGTGTGTGTCCCCGCATCTGTAGCCTGTTATTGTCTCATTATACCGCACTGTTAATGAATTAAAAGTAAATATATAAGTCGTCATGAACACATCTGTCCATCAGACCTCTGTCTGATGGACAGATGTGTTCATGACGACTTATATATTTACTGCTACGGCTGCTGTGCCTCCTGTCATCATTAATGGACGTCTCTTTAATATGACCGCTCAGAGGAGAGGAGTTCTCATTTCTCTAACCGCCTGCTGCTTCCCCTCCTCTCTCCTCGGTTCCCCTCCTCTCTCCTCGGTTCCTCCGCTCGCATCTTCTGTGGGCGGGACTAAGTCTCGAGGATAGGAGTCGAAGAGGGGAGTTAGAGAAATGAGAAAGGGCCATGGTTCCAGTGCAACACATGGCCAACACGCAGGAGAACACGCCGACGCAACAGCGTGAGCAGAAATATACTGCGCAAAATACAGATAGCAGGAGACAGAGGACAGCCACGATCAGATAGGAAAACATTCAGGAGCTATCTGGATCAGTCTTATGGAATGGAAACTGAACTAAAGAGAACATTTAAAACTAGCAGTCCGCGTGATCTGCCTTGTAGGGAGGGGCGGGCCGGCCCTGCGAGTAAAGTAACGAGTAAAGTAACGAGTTACTTTATGTAGAGAGTAACGAAGTAGTGTAATATATTACTTTTTTTTAAAGTAATATGTAATATGTAATATATTACTTTTTTTTAGTAACGACCCCATCTCTGGTCCAGGGATTGCCTAAGAACCCTGACTATGTGCGTAAAAGTGATTGGGGCCTAGCTAATTTCAGTGGCAGCCCTCTCTGGATGGATCCTGTTGGAGTGAAGAGGGGATTCCAGCCAGCCAATCACAATGCAACGCTCAGCTATAGTGCATGGTGTAATTGCATGTGGGCGACTGAAACTAGGTCAGCCTGCTTTCATCCAGAGCCAAAGAGAGTGAGAGAGAGGTTTTGGTGCATCAATGCATTAATGAACATTCGATGTGGTGCACTTTGACTGGCTCTTACCTTTGCAGCGGCGTGCGGTGAAGCTCCCTGGTTGAGCAAGAGCAGCGCCACCTTCTGGTTATCATAGTGTGCTGCCACATGCAGTGGAGTTAGTCCACTCTGAGCGTACACACACAAAGATTGTTAGAACGTGATAAACATACAGTATTGTGCAGTGATGAGGAGAAAAATGTGAAAGCTTTAAGTGGAGCTACAAAACAAACATGAAGGCAGCTAATTTATACACATGTGAGTTGCATAATATTATAAAACATATTTACTGTAGGTTTTTTTGTATGTGGGAGCTCTTTTTGTGCTCTTAAAGCATCATTCTCTCTCATACCAGTGCTTCAAAATGCGTTACCTTCCCAGCAGCATCAGCCGGAGCATTTTTCTGCAGCAGCAGGTTGGCGACTTCGATCTTGCCGTACTTTGCAGCCACATGCAACGGAGTGAAGCCCTTCTGCAGAGACACAACGACATGACAAGAATGTTAAACCAAATGTATCACAAACTCTGATCTAATTTTTACAATTGTTGTTAAAACACTTCAGTTAATAGCCACTGAGCCATATGGGTTTGATTACTTATAATTGAGTCATTTGCAAGGTTATGTCATGACATTACATGAGGAACTGATTATTTGGTGCTTGAAAATGATGAAACTGAATAAGGGCCCAGGGTGTGGAAACGAATGTTACATCAGATTCCTGGGCCATGAGGCAATGCGGATCCATGAACACATTCTGTTCAGATAGAACAGGCTCTGTGTGAGTGTGCACATGGGCATGTTGAACGAGGTGACACATCTTTAATGGGACTTGACAGAATCCAGGCTTCCTATTTTAAAGACCCTGAATATCATAATATTACATTTCTGCCACTAGGGGTGTTTGTATCATAACAATAACAAAAGAAGCAGTGATAAAGTAGCTTGGGCAGTTGTTCTCCCGTTTAATGCCCTTCATTGTGTTTAGTTGTTAGTCTACAGATTTTATCTTTCACTGTCAACGTGTATTTATGTTACTTTTCAGTGATTTATTTTTTCTATTTTGAGTGTTTTTTTTATTAGTTTTTCTGATAGCTTAACATCCAGATTATTGATGATGTAAAAGTGTCTTAAAACTGGACAACGTACAGACAACCAATCAGAGTCATGCACAATACATACATCACCATTAAAGGTGACCAAAATAATCAAAGATTTATCTAGATTTATAAATTGTTGGAAACGTTTCAAATTTCAGTGTCAGTTTACAACCGTAACAAAATTGAAAAAATATGTCTAGTCATAGAAGAAACTTTAATGCAGAAAACGTAGATATTGTACCCTTAAGAAACGTTGACCATCACAAACCTCCAATTGTGATCAAAAAAGTCAAAACTGTGGCCATCATGTGCTCTGTTGCGGTTTAAATGGATGTAAGGAAATGAATGATGCACAAAGGCTTTTTAAGCTCTGGAAAAGTTACTTTGACACTCACTTAGTGGCAGAAAGTCAACTAAAACCTATGGTCTTCAATCCAAGTTCTTTTTTGGACCAGCATGTGTCTTGTCAGTGTGTCCTTGTACAGTATGTGCGTAGAGGTAACAGTAATCCTCTTGGTCTACTTCTTTGAGCAAATCAATGTAACTTGGTCATGTAACTTCTTATCAACCTATCAAAATAACCAATATCCAAGACGTATGCATCCCCACAAATCAGACTTACCTTGGTAATGATTCCCAGACTGGCTCCTTGGTCCAGCAGCGCTGTAGCGATGTCTCTGTGTCCCTCCCTGGCAGCCAGGTGTAAAGGAGTGTATCCGGAGCTGGTGATGGCATCTGGGAAAGCTCCGTTTGTCAGCAGCTGGTGGACGATGTCTGGCTTACCAAGACGGCTTGAGATGTGCAGCGGTGTCTGGTCGTCCTGGTGACAACAAACACAATCTGTTAGTTGGCTTTACAGATCAAGAAACTAATTAAAAAGATAAAATGTATACAGGAATATAATAACATTACAGGATAGAATGTAAAATACAAATAAATTGAGTCAAATAAAATGAAATACAATAACAAAGTACCATAAAATGTAGGACCCAGGAGGGCGTTTAAACGCAGCCTGAACCCAGCCCTTTATTAAAAAAGAAGGTCTAGCCTATAATATTTAGTAACATAAAAGGTCAAATAAAGGAAAAACTACAATGTGCCTCTAAAACGCAGAGGAGCGGAAGACTAAAGTATGGAAACAGTTAGTAAAGCTCATCAAAACTACATTTTGTTTAAAAGGAACATTTGTTTTCTGAAGTCACATGAGTACTACCTTGGCCTTGGCATCGACCCGTGCTCCATTCTGGATCAGATATTTGACCACATTAGACTGTCCGGCCCTCGCTGCCATGTGGAGCGCTGTCTCCCCCCTCTGCAACACACACAAGAAAAAAAGGAAATGATAGTTATTCCCAAGTTTGAATATTCTAATCCATAAAAACTCTCCTTATGTTAAGATGGGAGGCAGAAAGAGGGAGAGAGAGAGCCCCCTTCCTCTCCACACCCAACCCTCCATAATGACGTCCCATAATGCTCCGTTTCTACGGTAACCTGGCCACAGACACGGCGTGGGCGACCACATTCTTGGGGTTGAAGAGTTGAGCGTGCAGAACTCTTTCCCCTCTCTGTTTGCTCATTACCCACTTTGTCTCTTTCAACTCTTCCTCTACCTATCTCCTTCTCTTCTGTCTCTCTTTTGTTCTTTCAATTAGTCAACAGGGTCGGTAGTTAGAGTTTCCAGCTCACATCAAAAAGTGTTTATTGAGTAGATGAGAATGAGAGGTCCTCTGGTTACATACACATGGCATTAATAGACTTCCTCTCCTCCCTCCTGAAGTACACAGCTTTTCTCCGTTGTCTGTTCCAATGACTGTGCTTTCTATGTTTCATTATCAGGGATCCCCCAAGCCAAGGACTTTCCAGGTACAATTCCCTTAAGTTCAAGGATGCAATATGGCATAGTTTGGGACACGATAAACAGTTAGACTTCATACAGATTTGTTTTTTATCCTAATTAGCATGCTCTGCTACTGTAAAACACAGCAGCAGTGAAATATTGCTTTTCTGTTGTTAATGCTTGTTGAAGTATTGTATACATTTATAAAGGTTAAATTGCACTTCCAGGAATGAGCAATCTCTATTGTCGCACAAAATATATAAATTAAATCACTTTCCAGGCCTCAAATTACCAAACATTGTAGAATTTCAAGGATCCAGGAGAACAATGCAATATATTGTTTTAACTTTTCATTTCAGTTCTTATACGCATATCATCCCTTTTTGAGTGTCAAAAGTTATCATCAGTCATTTGAAGCAGTGATTGTGGCCACTTGACAAATGAAGGACATTTTCACACTCTATTTTAGCTCTATTTTTGGTCTCCACCCACTCATTTGCAGCTAAATGCTCTACTATGTTCACCAGTTAGCCTGTAACTGCTGTTGAGCTTTTAGGTCAATCGTGATGAAAACAACTGTGAACCTAACATTTGAACCCGAACAGAAAAGTCTGATAGATACACAATGAGCTGAAATCATTTATGAGGCTCCGTAGTAAATATAACTCCTTTAAACCACTGCCTATCATAGAAGAGAAACTGTACATATGGCAACTGGGAGGACAAAGAAGGATAAAAGAAGAAGGAAGAACTTACCACATTGCTTGTGTTTGGTGAAGCCCCGTGGTTGATCAGCTGGTGCACGATGTTGTCGTGTCCCATAAACGCTGCAACATGGATTGGAGTCAGACCGGACTGTAGAGCGAAGAAACACACAGAGCAAGGGAGAAATTAATGGAAATAACAACAGAATTTGCTGTTCTAAAATCAAGCAGAAATGTTAAATAGGAGATACAGTTTCAGAGTATAGAGTAGTAATGTGTTTGAGTACAATCTACATAGTATTTAGTATGATGTACTTAAATGCAGTAAGTATACTTGGTTACGTTACACCACTGTGGAGACAAATGTACTTAATATGATTCTATAACTAAAAACAGATTACAAACAAAACACTGATGTCATTGTGTTTTAATGACACACACACACACACACACACACACACACACACACACACACACACACACACACACACACACACACACACACACACACACACACACACACACACACACGTACCTCAGTGACTGCCTGTATCGACGCTCCATGCTTCAGAAGTAGCTCCATCACCTTGACTCTGTTTTTCTTACAGGCAATGTGCAGGGGGGTGAAACCATTCTAAAAAACACAGGAATTTAATAACAAATATAAACATTTTAAGTTTAAAAACACTCCAAAAACAGTTTGTGTGGGTTCCCATGCAGGTTTTGCTGAGCTGGTGGAAGATAAGTGTGGAGCACCGAGTGGAACATACAGTACAAAGTGGGACTTTCTTTGCTTGTTCCCCCTCTTTCCTTCCCTTTTTTCTTCTTCTTCACTTGTCTGCATATAAACTACACCAGCATGTGTGGAAATAATTAACTGGATTTTAAGCTGTAAAAAAAGAAAAAGAGTATGCTGCACTGAAATAGATACTTTTATGTACAACTTACTCCTCTCTTGCCAACGTTGTACACTGCTCCCCCCCCTCCCCCCCCCCCCCTCGCTTCACTTTGAGGTTTCTGGCTCAATCCTATGACTTCATTTTCCTCTGTGTCCTTTTTTTCCATCTCATTCTCTCTAACTATAAAGTCCCAGTGCTCTAACCACACCCAGACTTCTCCCATTACAGCACAGAGATGGTTGTCTTACACCAACACAGTATAAGTGTCTTTTTAGTCTTGTTTAACTTGCTTACTTCCTTCATTCATTTCCTTCACGTGTCTTTTCTTCTTCATTAAAGTCTCGTATTACTCTCTTTTTGTTATAAACAGACACATAGTTGAGATAGTGGGGGAGGTGAGGAAGAAAGGAAAGAAAGGAGGGAGAGGAAATGAAAGACTTAAAAATTAGGTAGGATATTTTTGGTCGGTTGGGAGATAAAATCCTCGAGCCACTAAAAGGCTGCCACTACCACAACCTGGAGCAACACTGCTGCTTTAATCCATCTATTTTATACTTAGATTTTTCTTCATTCTTTCCTCTCTAAAAACCTGTTTGTGCATATCACTTTTTCACAACATGTCTATAATATTCATATAGGATCCCTGAGGTTGCTGTAATAAATGTGTTATTTAAGCTAATGCCAAAGTGCCTTAACTTGCATTCTTTCTAATAACCAGCAGGGGGTAAAAAGAAAACAAGAAGTCAGATTTGTAGAAGTCCTAGGAAAAATGACCCTATTTTTAACTTGATGAATTCACTTAAAGGTGGGGTAGGTCATTTTGGAGAAACCAGCTCGAGTGCGCTAGAATTTGAAAATATACAGCCGGAAAAAATCTGCTACTTCCTTACAGAGCCCCTCCTCCAACACACACGAATGCGCACATGACCAATGAGGGCACGAGATAAGTTTGTGCACAGATGGAAGGCTGACAGGCAGGTAGGCCATCCAGTTATTTTAGCCGGGCCGGGCCGGCTAAAATGATTGGTCGTGCTTTTTACAGATGACATTTTTTTATGGATTTTTTGTCAAAGCACTTAAGATATTCATTGCTATCGGGATGTTAAGAGCATTCCATGGAATATAACAAAAAGTGTATCTCAAGCCAGTTTCTCAAACTTACCTACCCCACCTTTAATATACTTTTCATTGACCAGTTTATAGTCTTAAACCCGAGTTTCAATCTTTTTCAATAAAGCATAAAGATTCTTCTGTGAACTATATTCCCCTTTAGAGCAAATAGAAAATGAAGCAGGTATGGTTTGATATACCTTGTTGTTGAAGTGTCACCAATATAGCATTTTACGGTTTGGGTCTTTTTTAGTCTTAGAACTTCAACCCATTGGAAGTTTATTTGGTGTATTCGACTGTAGCTCCAGTCTGCCATGATACTTCTGTTTGATAGATGGCAATGGCCAATAACCAAGATGGTGACAGTCGGAATGAAAAACTCAAGACTTTGAAAGGTAGTCCACAAACCAATGGCTACCTCACAGTGACATCATCTACATCAGTGGTTCTCAACTGGTCAGGCCTCTGGACCCACTTTTTTCCTTTGTCAATAAATCGCGACCCGAAATGTTGAACCACACAAATCTATTCAACAACAAATTGTGCTGTAATATATACGCTTTTCAGCATACAATATTAATTAAAGTGAAGTACAGTGCATATATCCCTTCACAGAACTAAAGTATGCTTTTAAAAAAGGTTTAATGAGATCATGGAATCAAAGCTGAACTGTATAACATAAAAAGGCACACATGCTGAAAACCAACTGAAAAACTCCTGGGGGGATTCTCTCCCAGGAGATTTTTTGAAATTAACATAGAAAATAAATACATCTATTACTACCGACATTTTATGCCATTGTTTGTTTTTAACTTTGTTCTGACAGCTTGCTGCTCCTCACAGAGAGAAGAGCAAAGAGGAGAGAGTCTGTGTGAATTACCTTAAATTGTGGGTAGGGTAGATAGCCCCCATTGTTTTGTGACCTGTCAATCATCAAACCGGGGGTCATATTTCATTAGGTGTTCATTTGTATCTGAAGTTGTACCCATGGATGTATAAAGAAGAGTTCTACCGCAAAGTTATTCTCCGTGGGGACTTCCGGCAACAATCTTGATTCTGATTGGCCAGAAGACTTGAAAAAACATCAGCAAAGATGTTTTATTGAGAAGATGATCACTACGTGACAGAAGTTTTCAAAACTGTTTATGGTCTCCGGTTCTTCCAGTCCAACGCCTACTGCATGCACAGCGTTAGAAAATCGGGCCTTCAAAATAAAAGTTTGACTTTTTTTTCTCAAAAAAAAAGAATGATTTAAAAGAAAGAATTCTATTTATTTTTTCTTCACTCACACATCTGCGGCCCACTCGAAACGGGTCCGCGACCCACCAGTTGAGAACCACTGATCTACATGATACATACAGTTGAATAGGTTGGTAACCCTTTTGAGAAATGGGGGCAAGATCTGTCTATCATCCCACCATCTTAACCCCTTCTCTGTTTCTGTCTATTTTCCTGAAACGTTCTGTTCCCCCAAACAAATCCAGACTTGATAATTAACTATTGTTGAGATGATTTCCAAAGCTCGAGAGCGTCAACTGTTTCCGGTCTTAAATCATTTTATCCTCACCAGAGCCTTGGCGTTGGGGTTGGCCTTCTTGTCCACGATCACCTTTGCCACCTTGTAGTGTCCGCAGTGTGCCGCCACGTGCAGCGCTGTCAGATAGTCGTTGGTCACGTCATCCACAGGCACCTCGTGGTGCAGCAGCAGCTGGACGCAGTTCAGGTGGTCGCCCTGGGTCGCCATGTGGAGCGGAGACAAACCGTTCTGTTGGGAATAGGGTCACCAGTTAATAAAGCTGTAGTTGACATCAGTTGTGGAATGACATTTAGTACAGTTAATCAAGTACAAATTATATGTACCATTAATAGACCACCAATCAACAACTATTTATTATTATTGATATTAATAACTTTTCATGCAAAAACACATCAGGGTTCTGGCTTCACAATGTGTAACCAAAGCATTTTTCCTTGTATTACTAAGTATTGGGAATATTGTACTACGGGTTGGATAAAGCATTTTGATGGTGTCAATATGATCTCTGAGAAATTATGATTGTAGTTTTTTACTAATTTCAGAATTTCTCCAAACCAAACCTTGGATTGAATAATAATGGAAATAAGATGCAGGTGAATCCATGGAAATAATCATTAGTTAATTCTTAGAAAATGGCTCCACCTCAACGAACTACAATAGAGTGGTGTTAGCATTTTTACTAGTCCTTTTGTAATTTCTTCACCACTTAGTAATTCGTCACTGTGTAAGAGGGTTTGTCAGAGTAGATGAGCCAGAGTCAAATTGAAACAGTAAGTAGAGTCATAAAAACAGGTGAGAAATAAAGAGACACACAAAGGTTGGAGGTGTACCTTTGTCTTGGATAGTATTGGAGCTCCTCTGTCCAGCAGCATCTCCACCACCTGCTCATGGCCACTCCTGGCTCCACAGTGGAGAGGAGTCAGACCGTCCTGGGAGAAACAAACAGCACAGGCACAGTTCACTTCATACTATTATTAACAGTGTCCCTAAGAAATGCAATAAAGCCTTCAATGCACTTCCAAACCACTGTAGGAGGTTTTTGGGTGATATTGATATTGAATTTGAAGAATGATATGGTGGTCTATAGGTTGGTAGAATCCCTTATCAAAACAAAAGAGGGACCCACCGTTTGACTTGGTGTAGATGATGATATAATACTGTATGAGTACTATTGTATTGGAGGATAAATGGACAAAGCTCGGGCTCTTGAAATACTTTTTTTGTTCAAAGATGTGAATTGATTAAGACGTAAGGGGCTTTTAAGTTTAAATGTTTTTTATTGTATCTGTCTTTTGCTGGTCGCTAAGGTTATAGAAGTATATTGCTGAATTGATGGAGACCTAACAAATATTTACGTCAGTAAAAAAATGTAGATTTCTGATGCGTTTTTACCTTGGTTCGTGCATCTATCTTGGACCCTCTCTCCAGCAGCAGCCGCACCATGTTGCCGTTCCCACGTTTGGATGCTACGTGCAGTGGTGTTATGTCATTCTGAGAAAGAAAAAAGCATAATTTCCTTATTCAGCCACAAAGACAAGAAGACACAGAAATGTATCACCCATTTCAAGTCATCATTTTTTTAAGAGAAAGGATAAATAACAATAGTAACACTACACTAAATGTCCTAACTTTGTTTTTGCTCACATAATGTCAAGTAACTTAAAAATGAATAATGACATTGTGCATTCAATGGGCTTCCAAACTAATTTTAACTGAAAATGAAACCTTCCAACACATTCCAGACAGCCTGTCCGTGTCTCCAGCATTTTAATACATCTCCCTTGTCTAAAATGTGCCTACTCGACAAAAAAGGGCTCTATGTGACAGTGGCCGTTTCTCAATGTCGAGGAGACTTACTTGGTAGCATATGTATGCTGGGCATTTAAACAGTGATTCGGCGCCACTCGATGACGTAGTATGCTTGAAATAGTGGCTCTGGAGCAGCTTTACTCAACATTGAGAAACGGCCAGTGTAGGAGGAAACTAGATAAATATCCCCCTCTAGGGGAACATTACCAGTCAAGCAGCTTTAGCCTCAAAGTGGTTTTAACGTTCTAGTTTTTTCTATAGGGGTAAAGAGGAGAGGGAGGTTTCAATAAGACACTCTTCTGCACTGTATTATTGTACGTGGTACAATTGTATCTTCATATTTGTTTGAAAACAGACTGATACACAGTGATGTTTGCAAGAATCTCTTTTAAATAAGGTCACAAAAATATAAAATAACCTAAATGATTTGACATTTTCTACAATAAATGCATGGATGGATTTCTGAAAAAGGCTACAGGCCAACAGGTAACAGGAACTGGCGTCCAAAGTGTCAGGAGTTAACCTTGGCCTATAATGTTAACATAAAACAAATACAAAAAGGCTACAAAAAGAAATCTGCAAGTAGACACAAACAAGACTGAAAAAGGGCAAAAAAACCTAAATAGAAATAAAAAACAACTACAAAGAGACACAGAATAAAAACAGAAATGAAAGATACTGGACATTACAACTACAGTAAGAGACACAAAAAGACCACAAAGAGACTCAAAACAACCACAAAAAGACACACAAATAACAACAAAGAGACACAAACCTCAAAGAGAGGCATCACAACTTCAAAGAGACACACAACAACCCCAAAGGATTTACAAACACATTGAAATCTGTGGTGCATCTTGCTTCTATGTTGAACAGTCTGTTCCAAAATCAGTCAGGAGTCAATCTAAAAGGACATGGCTGGCTTTTATTCTAAACTTTATATTCAGTACATTCAGTTAAATAACATCAAAAATTAGGACTAAGTATTAAGTAGTTAATTCTAAATAAGTTAAACATCTTCTTCTACCCCTGCTTACTTGGGACCATAGACTGTATATATAAAGCTTGGGACATACTCAGTCTCAAACAGCCATACGCCCAGCACCCTGCTCCTGTCTGTAGGATCCTATAGCACACTGACATCTCGCATATGTTCTCCAGCAGAGTGACAGGCACAGCTGCAGGATTACGTGTGTCCATGTTAGATTCCTGCACACACATCGTCCCGCCCTCTCATATGAGAGTCGTACAGTGAGTGTTTGCAGAAGCCCTGACTTCAAAAGGTGTGTGAATATGTGTGTGTGTTTGCCTTCTTTGAAGCAAAGTACCTACCCTTGCCTTGAAGTCCACAGCTGCCCCTCTGTTCATCAGGAGTGTTGCTACGTTGATATTGCCGTAGTGAGCCGCAATATGGAGAGGAGTGAAACCGCTCTGAGGGGGACGAGAGACAGAAAGATAGACACATTAAATTAAAAGAGAGAATAAAGGAATACAAACATAACTCTCTCAATGAGCTGCGAGCAAAGCATATATTAAATAGCAGCTTGGCCAAAAGCAGGCTAATAGAGCAGACGAAGGTTGAGCAGAAGTCAAACATGCTCTGAGTCGTGGGTTCACATCTTATTAGAAATACTCTTCTACTTTTCTTGAGTGATAGTAGCAGCGACATAGGTCAGCTGTGTAGTGGATAGGATCACAATTATATTCAAACATAGCACATTGAGCTCCTGTCAAATAAGAAACATGCAAAGGCAATTATTAAAGTGTCTATTTAGGATTTGTCTCGATTCCTTCAACAACAAAAAAGAATCTTGCAAATCTTGACATGCAGTTAATCGTGCTTCTACATTAATCAAGGAAGTATGTTGTTCTAAAAAGGATGCTTTGAAGGAAGTATTTGTTGGAAGGCTTGACCTAAAGAAACCTTTAAATGAGTCATAAACCAGCTTAATTCATGTACATGGGTTCAAAATACTCATCCAGAATCATTCATTTGTTCAGATCTTTTTCAGACTTAATAAATCACTTCCATTTCCAAAGCAACACATAGGAAAGGTCAACATGCTATTACAAAATGAAACCAATAAGCTACTTTATAGAAAGCTGACTAAACTGCTTTCTGGGCACAGTGACAGTTAAGCATTTTTTCAAAGGACAGTCAGCATAATGTCACATTTGTAAAAAAAAAAAATGCAATTTAATTAAATCTACTGGCATGCTCCAGTTTGTCCTCTCATTGGCAGCTAAATGAGAGCCTTCGATGGTATAAAGCACTGACATTTAATTTAACTTAATTCAGACAAAAGCAATACAGTCTACACAATGTCTTAAGCAGTGTGAGAGCAAAAGCACTTAATAGATGTGTAATTGTAACTGGAGTAGGATCACATTACAGAAAGGTTCTTCTGTGGGCGGAAAAAGGTAACGGGGGAAAGAACAAAAACATCAACTCTGTAACAAATGTAATTATAACTGCTAAACACATGTAATTAGCCATTTACGGTAAAGAGGATAAAAACCTAGAGAGTGATGGTTTAATGATCTGGAGCAACACATGCAAATCATTTTCTGGGCAGACCACAGATGAAAAATTACTTTTTCATCGTTGAAAATTCAATATTGCAATATGCTAGTTATTCTCTTAAAAGACATACAAAGAACAGTGTCATATCAGGCAAATACTCTTATTCTTGTTAATGCATGAGTTGGACAGAAATATCAATATCATTCCCATGTCTGTATGGAAGATATGAAGCTAAAGCCAGCAGCCAGTTAGCTTAGGATTCAGTCTGGTTACAGCTACTGTAGGGGGAGACTCCCAGGACATCTATTTTCCAATTACATTTGTTATGGATCAAACAAATGATATATAATATTCAAGTTGTAATGCTAGGCTAAGCTGCTGCCTTTAGCTTCTCATTTACCACACAGATATAAGAGTGATGTCAATCTTCTCATCTTACTCTGCAAAATAGCAAATAAAGAGCATTTCCCAAAATATCAAACCATTCCCTAAAGTCTGAGCAGAAGGCCTAAACCTTCATATTTAGGCCTTCATACCCTTAGCATGTCTATGAACAACAATTGCAGCAAAGTGTTCACTGCTGCCTTTTTCATGTTAAAAAAGACATTCACAAAAAAAAAAATCTGCTTCAATCGATTTAAATGGAAATTAGGCTTTTTTTTTGCATTAGACAAGAATAACTACCGTAAGCATACCATACATTAAGAACCAGTTCTTTGTTTTCATTAGAGATGTAATTCCTTATCTCTTTTGTGTCAATGAAAACTGATTTTCGTGAAATAAAGGAGGAGAAAACAGTATCTCATGTTAAAAATGTAAACAAGTACATCAAAGTGCAGAACCCCAACAGGACTGCTGTTGTATTGATCAAATTCGGCTTGATCGGCTCATAAGTGAAATGTTTCCAAAAGCTCTATGTATATATATATACAGTATATATAAAGGTATCTCTAATGGCATTTATTAAAACTCTGCTAAAAAGCCGCAAGCCACTGGATGCACATAGAGCAAAGTCAAAAATGCGATGCAGATTTAAAAAAAAAAAAAAGCAGGTGCACAGGTGAGACATTGTCAGCAGCGAAAGCTTCATGCCAGCATTTACGGTGCATGCCAGCAGACAGAAGGCTTTGGCTTTGCAATGGTGACCATGAGTGAACACTGAAAGGAGAGGAAGGAGAGAAGAAGACAAGGGAAGATGTACCTCTGTTGCTCTATTCACCATCATCTAGAAGGGAAGCGGTAGGGTAACAATAGGAAACGAATAGGAGGAGGAGGAGAGAATGGGGTGGTTAGTGCACCACAACAACTACAACACCAACACCACGGCTTCATCAAGCATAGGATGGACACATGAGAAAATGTTGGGAGTGATGAAAAGGACTAAAAGACAACCAAACCGAGGTACACACAACTGGATGATGGACTGAGACTCTCCCTTAAAGGTCCCATGTCATGCTTTTTTGTGTGTGCGGGTGCTAGTGGAGCCTCGCAGATGGGGGTGCTGCAGCCCCCTCAGCAACCCCCCCTTCCCGCGTCCATTCGTGATGTCTCGCCAACTGGGTGCCGCCAACACGGCACCCAGACCCCACACAGCATTCTCATCTGTTTGCCCTTATTGGCGTCATTTTCTGGTTGCTGACGCCATTGTAACACATAATCACTGATGTTCTGCTGTAACGGTGGTGGACTCATCAGAACAGAGTGGGCGAGCTGACCAATCAGAGCACAGTGGGCTCACTGGGAGGGGGGGGCAGGAGCTCCAACAAGCCGTTTAGGACAGAGAGTGAATACACCTACTATACAGAGATGCTGTTTGAGAAACCAATGTGAGTTTGGAAATTTGCACAATATAAATCTATTCTAGTAGACCTCACAATGGAATTATGATCAGTAGAAAATTAATGGTCACGACATGGGACCTTTAAAGTCTGTAGGTGGCAGAAATGTATTCCTCTAATATAAATGAATGCTGTACTTTTCTTTATAGTTTAGTTACTGTATATTGTTACAGATTTAAATACTTTTTTCCGGAGAAAACATGTTCAGGACTTGAATGCTTTCATTATTGGAACCAAAAAAAAAATCACATTCGATTCAATTTTAATAACAGAAGAACAAAAAAACAAAAAAGTATTCCTCCTTCTTTATTCCCCATGATGCCATGAGTAAATTCACTGCCATATCTACAGGGGCGGCGCCAGGCGGTAGCTTGCAGTTGCTACAGCAACACCAACAATTAGCCTAGCAACTGCTAAGCAACCCCAAGAAATGTATGTTTTTTTTTTATATATGTGAAATTCATAATTTGAACAGTTATTGATTCGAAAATGATATGCTACAGTACAGTACAAGTAGCCTACATCTGGGTGTTTCATTCAAGCTCGGCTCCGTGTGTGTGGCAAGAGCGCACGAGAGAGAGAGAGAGAGAGAGAGAGAGAGAGAGAGAGAGGAGAGAGAGAGAGAGAGAGAGAGAGAGAGAGAGAGAGAGAGAGAGAGAGAGAGAGAGAGAGAGAGAGAGAGATGATAGTATCTAGATAGAGAGAGAGAGAGAAGAGAGTATGCGATAGAAGTCAATATCGATCTCTATTCTTATCTTCTCGCTCTCTTCTCTTCTCTTCGTCTATCGCTGCAAAGATGTTGTTTGCTGCGCTAACGGATATTAGAAGCTGTTCTACACTAAGTGAAAGGAAAGTCCTCCTCCTGTCAGATAACGTTCAGCTCAGTGAGGGTAAAGGACTCTCTCAGTGTTTAGATATATTAACTTTAGTCTAAGTTATGTCAGTGGGTCTCAAAACAGTTTCACCATTTATGTAAACAAGAAGCCTATTTCCGAGGCACACCTTCATATGATCATTATAGTTAGGCTATAAAACAATAAGAGCATAAATGAAAGACAGGTAGGCCTAGGAAATACTATATGATAGTAAAATAAGAATACAGTTTAAAAGGGGAGTGATTAGTAAAATATCCATAAAGAAATCTGTTTACAGTTCTGTTTATATGTGTTGAGAGATGTGTCCATGGATCTCTTAATTTTGCTCTCAAAGTGCACCAGATTGATGCTTTTAACTTAAATAATTTAACTTTAACTTCAGCCCTAGGAGGCTGGTCCGCCCCCCACTTATAAAAAATAGCACTTTATCCTTCCTATATGCCGTGAGCTGATTATTGAGCCTTCATTGTAACAGTCGTGGGTGTAGCCTACTATATGTGCGTGTGGGGAGTGTTGCAGTTGAACATTTCACTGTAGCAGCGGCGCCGGATTCATTTCAGAAGTGGGGGGGCCAAAAAGTGCGTGTGTATGTGACATAGCCTTCTTGCCAACCCTCCCGATTTTCGCGGGAGACTCCCGTTTTCCTCCCGGGGTCATATTTCTCCCGCATTTCTCCCGATTTCTGACTAAATCTGATTTGTTTCATTCTAACATAACGCACCAAATGTTACTGTTTCCACTCGGACTTCAATACAGCTACACCATTGTTTGGTTTCCATGGTAACGTGTCTCTTTAGTAGCGCGAGCAAATGAAAGTCTGAGAGGGTCTTCAGGAGGAAGATAGTCAGAGAAAACAGAACAAGAATGGACAAGTCAACCCTCTGCTCACTCCTTTCCTGTAAATTAAACTATACAGACCAGCCCACATATGACAGCGCAGTTGCTCATTCCATCTCTTCTTTTTTCCTGCTACGCTCTTGTTTGACAAGCTGAATGTTGACTGGTGTTTGACTGAAGTAAGCTCTGTGAAAAGTTCCAGTTATTAACTCGGTATTTACAAAGCTGTCATCTCCACATTTGGAGAAAGTTACAAGCCGTTTGACAGCAGCACATCTGCATATTTCACAGAAGGCTCGTTTAGTGGTTTTGCAAATAATTAACCACTCTCTGTTTTTGTACCATTCTGCATTGAAGTACCTTCTCTTTGCCCAAATAAGCTTTTATTTGCCCGTCTCAATGTCCCGACAACAAACCTCCATGCACCAGCCTGTTTCGGTTCAACGATGCCGGCGGTGGCGGTTTTGACAGCCTCTGCGGCCGCAGAGCTGCTGCTGGGGTTCATCTGGCTGCGCTGGTTCTATGGTTGAAGGACCAGGCTCCGGAGTTGTGGATGTCAGGGATGTGACATTCAAGTTGTTGAATTTCAGCTTAGTTTGACTGTATTTTGTTTTCTTATGCGCCGGTTCTTCTGACATGTTTGCAAGTTTATCTATCTAGGTTAACGGCTGACACACACTGAACAACGTAACACATAACGTAAACAACGTAACAAATAAACACATCTAAGCTTTGTTATTGGTTGTAATGTACATGGATACATTTGAATGGTGTGACAATGTCCTATTTGATTGGATTAAAATGTACATATTCTTCCTGTTATGTCTGCCTGCTGTATTTTACCTAATGCAAAGTGACCTGCTCCATCGAAATCAGTCGCATTGATCCGAAGACACATTTTGAATTGTATACACTGTTGGAAAGAGGAGATTCCTAGCTTTCTAATGATATCAGGATTGTTTTTGTACTATATTAAGCAAAATATGTCACATTATATAATGACTGTCACCGAGTCATCATTTTCAGAAAAAGGCCTTAAAGTTTCCTCTTCTCTGGATCGATCTGATTGATTATTAGCGGAGCAAATGATCAAAATACTACGGTGGAAAGATATTTTCGTTTGGATTACTGGTCTGGGGGAAGCTCGCGAGTGTGTGTGTGTGTACGTGTGTGTGTTTGTGTATTTTTGCGTTTGTTTCCCGGGGAAAACTCTCAGGAGAAACACCGGCTGTTGTTATGCTTGCTGTGACGTCAAGTTACTCCGTTCTCCGCTTGTAATTATGCCGTTAAAAGCTTCAGAGCTGTATTTATCATCTGAATTTGCCGAAACAAGTTTAATATTCTGAAAGCCAAGACTTTGTTTATTTGAAATCAGATGAAAACAAACTGTAATGGACCCTGCGGTGTTATCTATGTTTACTATGCCTAACATTCATAATGTCAGCGGAGGGAGGGGAAGCAGCGCTGTGGAAGAGCAGAGTGGCGAGTGAGAGGCGAGCTGTGTTCTTCCCTTTACAAGCTTAAACAATGCCTGTAGCTAATGAGATTGAATATAACAATCAAAAATAACAAAATATACACAGCTAGATCAGATGGCGTTCTTTTTAGATGCGACTTTAGAGTAGAGGGGAATTATTGAAACGGGATGTGTACAGTGTTCCGCGGCATCCGCTGCTGCAAAAATGTGGGGCAGGGCCGTAAAGTGGGGGGGCCAATGGCCCCCCCGCTTCCGGCGCCCTTGCACTGTAGCCCATATAGCTACCTTATATTAATGGGAAACCCTACATGTTTGAGCAACCTCTATGAAGCGGCAAGCTACTCTACAGCACCCCTAACAGAAAATCTCTGGCGCCGCCCATGCATATCTAATATTATAAAATTATAATACATGTTATGTCGTATTTCAAAAATCACTTATTGCCCAAAATTATTTAAGAAATGTAGTAAAACTGCAGTACGTGGCTAACTTGCAGGTCCAATCAAAATATAACAATCAAATAAATATAAAATAATAAACAATCACTTCCTCTGTGAGAGTAGATGATTTGTGGTCCTGTATATCGTGCGGAGAGCGTACCTTGGACTCGACGTCAGCGTTGTGGTCGTTCTGGAGGAGGAGCGCGGCGGCCTTGGTGTCGTCCTTCCGTGCAGCGATGTGTAGCGCGGGGAGGCGAACTTTCCCTTTAGTGTCGTTCTCCAGCAGCAGGGAAACCACCTGCTCGTGGCCTTGCTGCAACGCCACTGCCAGAGGAGTGAACCCATCCTGTGAACCAAATACAAGAGGAACATGTAAATACTTCATGTTAGCTGCTAACGGTTAGCAGCAGCCAAACTGAAGAAAGCAAGTTAGGTTGTGTTTCAAACATTCCAAAAACAAATTGTGACAAGTTGGTATAACAAAATAAACCAACAATAATATTACATTTGTCCTGCAAACAAACAACTCTCCATTCATGAATGTACGAGCAACTTTTTTAATCTTCACTTAATATCTAAAAAGTAAAGAATACACTGTCACATTACATTTTGTTCAAGGATTTAACAAATACATTAAAGAGATGAAGATCACCATTTTGTGATCTCTCCAAGGCTTTTAGAATGTATAACCTGCCTTTATTTATGACCCTCGTGACCATCACGGTCATCAGTTTCCTCATTTAAAGATATTAGAGAGCACATTTTAATGTCCGTAAGTGCTCAAGCAGTAAATTAGTGGAAGTTAAAATTGACTTTTTTCGAACTGTTTTCGTCGACAAAGATTTAAAGGTCTCATGACATGCTTTTCCGGTTATGACCCGTCCCCTTGTGTGGTATGTAGCTTTGTCTACATGTAAACGGTCTGCAGAGTCACAAACCCTCAAAGTACACCCTCTCTAACACAAAAAATCTGTCTGTGCTGCCCCAGAACGCCATTTTTCATTTTCCATTTTTTTCTTCCTGGGTACGGTGACGTAACCATACCCTAAATGACTTCTTTAGGTTAATCAGTTCAGATAACTTATTCCAAAATAGTATAATTATATATAACATTTTAAGATCTATCGCAGTGACTGAATAAGTGGCCATTGAAACTTGTTAAACTATTATTAGATTAGCATGAAGGTGGACCTGTGTGAAAGGGCGTTAACAAGCCAAATGGCCTTCTAATAACCATTTCTCAATATAGGCATGTCAGCTCATGCTCTAAAGAGAGTTTAAGTGCTTCAGTAGGAGTTCAGTGTCTCGCTCAAGGACAAATCGAAAGGAAATGCAGCTGCTAATGGGCACAAACTGAGAAGAAAACAAGACGACGCCAACTGCATCCTACTGCAAACATATCCATTCACACAGGCAGTATAACAAATGAGACACAGCAGCAGAGAGCATGAATCATCAAAGAAAAGGAAATATTTCTCATACATAAAAACAACACTTGTGTTTGTATGTGTGTGTACAGTATGAGGACGGGCATGTGTGTGTGTTTACACAGGACGCCGACTGTCTGGATAAAACCAACTCAGCATCACTACACCCACACATCAAAGCTGAAGCTCTCCTTATAGAGATCACACACATGCACAGGAAAACAAACACACCCGTGCTAGCACACAGTCGTAATCAGAGCATCTCCGCAGCACACCCACGGGCAGGCGGACATGTTAAAATGCATAAATGTAGCCTTTTTGAGAAAGTCATAAGCATTCCCTGCACTGCCCTCCTGTTTCATCTGCTTTATGTTGGATTCAGGAGACAGTTTAATGTCCTAAAAATACTTTAAAAGCAACCACAGTGAACAGACAACGCTGAAAGTGGGGTTTGATCTTTATCTTCAAGCATGAACACTTGCAATGACACAGCACATTTTACCTGATGTGTTTTTTAAATTAGCTAAAGATCACTGAGTTGAAAAACATAAATAAACTGTAGACAGGACAGTAGGACACTCAGTACATCTTTCTTGACAAGTCATTAATCATAAGAGAAATAAATAATAACAAATAGATCTGCAAGGGTGACCTTCATACTACAGAAACATGAAATCATAAATAAGATATGTCGATATCACTGCAGAATATCTTTACATATTTTGTACTGTTGGACGAAAGTACCTGCAATAAAAAAGATAAATTGCAGACGGATGATTTTTAATAAACAAAGGATTTCTACCTCGTGCTATGCTGAAACGGTTAAATATGAATTATTGAACACCGTAAGTTGCTTCAAACATGGATTTATGTTTGCCCTCATGAATAATTCATCCATGTCTCCCGCCGGAGGAGACTGTGGGGCAGAGGAGGAAAGAAGGAAAATGGTGAGATGTGGCGGTGTGGAGAAGGAGGCAGACAAAAGGAGGAATGATGGAGGAGGAGAAGGATGGAGAAGAAACAGGAAGATAAAAGGAAAGCAGAGTGACAGGGACCCTCGTGGTGGTTTATTTTGAGACCTAAATACACTGTCCGCTGACCCAAAATCTTATTAGAGCACCAAATGTGTATAACTACGCTGCTGAAAAAAACACCACTTTACTCCTGTTTGAGTCATGTTTTCTCAAAACTGCAGTGACTAGCTTTTAAAGGTTTTATGGACTTTCAAAAAAAGAACACAGTATTTATGGTTAAACAAAAGATGAAGGTCTGAAATTGCACCATTTCAGAATACTGTATAATCATTAACAGGTTAGGGTATGATAGCTTCTTCAAGTCAGGATCAACAAAAATGTGTAATGCTGGGGTCAAACCTCAACACTTTTTGACACAAATCTGTCCATTGCACCATGTTTTTCATAAATACAAAATGTTGTTTATCTTATTTATATTATTATCTTGCTATTTACCATATTCATTGTTTGAAATGTGGCTTATTTTAGAGTTACTCTTACTTATGATTAGGTATTATGACTTTAGTTCATCTTACTGATAACCCTTCTGTAGAAAGTTACATTTCAAATGCAGGAATTTTACTTGTAAAATCATATTTTAGATGTTTGTTTAAATAAGTAAAGTATGTGAGTACTTCTTACACCCCTGCAAAACGGAAATAGTTTTGCTATATGGTATCTGCGGAACTCTGCTATTTTGTTGGCACTATAATCAAACTTTTTTTTTAAACATACAGAAAAACTTGTGAAAATATGCATTGGCTTCACAAATGTGTTTTAGACAGAGAGAGTTTTAGTGGCAGTTGGCTGTCTGCCGCTACTACAGCAGAGCAGATGATGGATTGTACTGACACACTCACAGCGTAGCACTTGCTCACCCACTGTCACACACACACACACACATATCAGACTTCAGTTACGTCAATGGTTCCGTCCTCCAGAGACAGTCAAGGTCACTCTGAATGAATACTTCGTCATGCTGTCTCTCTCTTTTATTCTACCCTAATCATCTCCTCTTAAATTAAGCAACAACTTCATGTTTTTCCGCTTTTGTCTCCTAAATGAGACACTAGTTGAAGCCACGTGTTCACCATTTACAGAAGTATGTCATACATAACACTGCAGAGTAATGACAGGAAGTCTAAATAAAGGGTTGTGATAACGGTTAGATATTTAAAGCTGTTTTGGCAAATAGGAGTTTGTTGTGTATCATCTGTTTGTGCTTGTTTAGGTACCTCAGTGGCGATGCTCTGACTCGAGCCGTGGTCCAATAAGTAGTGCACCACGTCCATGTGGTTCTCCTGCGCTGCCATATACAGCGGAGTGAAGCCATTCTGGAAAACAGAGAAGAAAAAAAACACTGAATCAAACCAAAAGTCATGTTTTTTTAAGGTGCACCACTCCTGTCTGTTTATCTCAGGGAGTTTGAACGTTAGTAACTATTGAGTTCTGCTGTATGACCAAGAAGTCAAAATGTACTCGAGTGCATTGCATTCATCGAAGTCAGGTATTTAATTTACTTTGTCAGCCAAAAACCGACATTCCCACTAGGGTTTATTTAAATCTATACATGGTTTCTCTATTGAATTTCAAAAATGTGCTTTATCATCATATTGTGCTATTATACATACAGTACTTTTAGCATCAGATCCCAAATGACCTCTACAACTACAACAAGAGAACTACTGTCCCAGAAGGGCTATCATGAGTACATACTGTCACCTCCCTGCATACCTCACACCTGATAACAGCAAAGATAAAAACAGATGCAGTGCTGCAGTTGAAGTGTGTGTGTGTGTGTGTGTGTGTGTGTGTGTGTGTGTGTGTGTGTGTGTGTGTGTGTGTGTGTGTGTGTGTGTGTGTGTGTGTGTGGTGCGACACTTAAACAAGGCCAAGAATACAGATCTCCATAGCAACACGAGGATCCAAAAATCACTTCAGTATTCAAAAGAGCTCCTCCTCCTATTTTTGTATTTACTCTGATGTCAATGCACCAACACAATCTCTTGTAATATATGTCATTGCACCTTCACAGTCAAAATGCAGCGATGACCAAAGACGCAGTGGAAAATAAACTACTCTGCCAAGTAAATAAAGAATAAAACCGCAGATCCTGCCAAGATAAGAAGATCAAAACTTGAAAGATCATCTTGGGATGGGATCAAACTCTTTGGACGCCAAATTGGGTCCACCCGTTAACCCCCCCATATGAACTCAACCTCCATTCAGATCACATTTAGATATCCGTCTTACACAGGGCCGTCCCACGCAAAGTTATATGATGAGGCCCTCTGTTTTGCGAGCGTTGTCCTCGTCGGGGGGTGGCGGGGGTGCTAGTGGAGCCTCACAGCGGCGAAACCGTGCCGCGCCACACTGATTGCACCGCAGAAGCGCATAGGTGTGTGCCGCATTTTCGGCTCAGTTGAGGCCCCCTACGCAAGGTGAGGCCCCCTACACAAGGTGAGGCCCCCTACGCAAGGTGAGGCCCCCTACGCAAGGTGAGGCCCCCTACGCAAGGTGAGGCCCCACGCAGTCTGCATGATCGGCCTGTAGGGAGGGACGACCCTGTGTTTACATCTTGTACGGTTGTGAAGGTATTGTGGTGAATTTTAATCCTTTTGAACATGGGGTAGTATTTCATCTAAGCCTCTTGTGGACAAACTGAGTATTACAACAACAAAGAATACACATTTTCCCTACCTATTGCATTAATGTGGATTATATGATTTGTTCAAGTATTACATTTTCCTTTTAATGTATTGTGAAGTAGCTGTGCAGACTTCTGAAAACATCAACGTGTACATTATAATAAAAACATTGTTTATTAATTTACCAGCCATCTCTACACACTACTTTCCTTATTGCGCTGTATTCTTTAACAAAAATACAACTAAATATGGTGTTTTAATAACTTTCAGTTTAGAACAAATCATTATCGCTGATCAATTCCAACGTCATCTTCATTCTCTCAGCAGCTCTGAGGCCTGTACTAAGAATCCAGTTCAACATACCCTGGATATGTTTGAGTTGACCTAATCCAAAACAAACGCGCTCTCGCTAAACGGTCCTACGACGCTGGTTATCAACTCGGTAACTCAAGCCCGGTGTGCCCTATCTAGTTATGTGCGCGTTCACATGAAAGGGGCGGGGCTAGCAACATTTGACCAATCACAAACATGAAGAAGCGCACTGACAGCACAGCGTCACACTTCCCTGAATTAACTATAATATTAGACATATGAAGAAGTTAAACTTTAAACATCCATGACTTAAACACTTTATCCAGGATAAAAGCAACCTAGTTGCACCTACGAGGTGAATACGGCTGGTAAAAAAAAAAGTGTTTGAATCCGTACATTAACAGGTTTATGATATCACTGCCAGATACGGCTCAAGAAGCTGACTCAGATAAGGAAATATATGATACATTATGATGTGATATGAATGATAATGGGATACATCGACGTCTGCACTCACAGTGCCGCGGACTGTAGGTAATGTTACTTTGATTTGGTTACTTCTGTTAACTTGTGGCAGATATTTAAGTAAGCTTTCTTAACGCTAATGTTATAATAGTCAGATTAATTTTCACGTTCACACAGTCGGTGATTTTTCCTGGCCGTCTTTCCTGCAACGGCAGCTTTTCTGTATTTCCTTTCTCCTGTAATATGACTTGATAGCTTTAAACTCCGCACACTGAGCTCTGATTGGTCAGCAGGAGGTGCTTTTACTGAGTTGATCTCTTATCCTGGAATCTAACCTGCTCCGGACCAGGCTAGCCGTTCAGCATAAGTTACCATGGAGATCTACCCCGCCAAGAAGTGAACCAGCGTCGTAGGACCGGAAACCCAGAGTTTTCCCTGAAGTTAGCTCGCTAAGCGAAATTCCGGCTTCGTCATACAGGCCTCTGAATTGTGTGTGTGTGCTGACGATTGAATGTGAGCCAGGAAGCACTGCAGAGCTGCTGACACACACACACACACAACACACACACACACACACACACACACACACACACACACACACACACACACACACACAACCACACACACACACACACACACACACACACTACACACACACACACACCACACACACACACACACACACACACCCACACACACACACCACCACACACAACACACCACACACACACACACACACACACATTCTCACTCCCATCCCGTCACATATTGACGGACGGTCAGGGCCCCTCCCCGTCGCTATAGTACGTACAGGGTACCCCTTGCCCGTCAGGCTTCTACGGGCAGGGCGTCCCATAGACCTTCATTGCGGACAGCGGACCCCTTGACCGTCAGGCTTCTACGGGCAGGGCGTCCCATAGACCTTCATAGACCACGTGATCAACAACAATGGCCGACCTTCGTGTTATTCTCGGTGGAACATGCCTATTTTAAGGTTCATTTGGCCAATAAAATGCGTTTTGATATCATTTTATGCGATTAATATGAGTTGTTATTTCTGATTATTTGTGCAGTACATGTACATGATGTTTAGTTTGCTAGTTATGACGAAGATTACTTCATGAATGTGAACTTGGAAACTGCCAAAAAGAATTTCATCAATGTCAAAACTGAGGAAAACAAAAATAAACCCCGTGAACTTTGGAAATTACTCAATAACCAGCTTGGCTGCAGTAAAAAACTCAAAACGAGATTTTCTAACTTAAACATAAAGACAGATAACAGGCTCCTCACAGACAAACTGGATGTGGCCAAGTACTTGAACATTTTTTTCACAAACATAGCCACAACTCTTGTAAATAAATTACCCTCCCACTCAGGGCTTTTTGGAGTAGATCACATCATGACCTACTACAAAAACCTAGGGGTACGCAAAGATGATTTCAGTCTAGCAAGGGTAACAACAGCAGAGGTACTCATTAAACTGAGCGCCCCTCCAACCTAACAAGGCCACTGGCCACGACAATATCCCCTCCAAATTCCTCAGAGACTCAGCAACCGCCATCTCACCAGTCATAGCTCACATAATTAACCTCTCCATAAAACAGGGAAAAGTACCCAAAGACTTCAAAATTGCAAGAGTAACCCCCCTGCACAAAAAGGGCAGCAAATTGGACCCAGGCAACTACCGCCCTGTTTCTATACTTACCTCCATCTCGAAAGTCATGGAAAAAATAGTATATGAACAGGTCGAAAAGTACCTCGCGAAAAAGAAACTAATCTATGAATTTCAATCTGGCTTTAGAACATCCCACTCCACTGACACATGCCTTCTTTATTTGAGCGACCACATCAAACAAGAGGTGGACGAGGGCAAGTACTGCGGCATGGTGATGCTGGACCTACAAAAGGCTTTCGACACTGTCACTCACCCCATTCTGATTGACAAGCTAAAAGCAATTGGTTTTGATAAACTATCGGTGAGCTGGATGCAATCCTACCTGGAGGGGAGAGAACAGATGGTGGAGGTAAACGGTACTCTGTCCCCCCCCCTCCCAGTGAGCTGTGGTGTTCCACAAGGAAGCATATTAGGTCCGTTACTGTTCCTAATTTATGTAAATGACATGTCATCAGCATGTGACTGCAACTTGTTCCTGTTCGCGGACGACTCAGCCCTGCTGGTCTCTGGCAGGAGCAGGTTGCAGGTTGAAAAAACCCTCAGCTCCGAGCTCGGCAGAATCTGCACCTGGCTCGCCGATAATAAATTATCATTACACCTGGGTAAAACAGAGTCCATTCTCTTCGGTTCGAAACATAATCTCAGCAAATCCGACGACTTCTCAGTTGCAGTGGGTGACATTATTGTCACAAGTAAGAAGGAAATTACATACCTAGGATCTATTCTTGAGGCAAACCTCTCCTGTGACAAAATGGCATCCAATGTAATAAAAAAAGTCAATCAAAGAACTAGATTCCTATACCGGATCTCCTCTCTGGTAAACAAAAACACCCTGACAACTCTGGCAGGAGCACTCATTCAAGGGTACTATGACTATGCTTGCACGTCATGGTACCATAGCACCTCCAAGGCGCTAAAAATAAAACTTCAAACATCGCAAAATAAACTAGTCAGACTACTGCTTGACCTTTCATCTAGAACCCACCTCACCTCTGCCCACTTTGACAACCTAGGATGGCTTAGAGTAGACGACAGAGTACAGCTACTTGCAATGGGCCTGGTCTACAAGATCCACTACACCTCTATGGTACCCATGTACATGTCAAAATTCTTCCCAAAGGTCAAGGAATACCATGATCATAACACCAGAGGGAGCTCCACAAATCATGTGAAACCCAGATTTGGCACAAAAAAGGGGGAATACACGTTTCGCAATTATGCCACATCAAGGTGGAACGCTCTTCCCACAACTGTAAAGGAAAGTAAAACTATACTTACCTTCAAAACCTCTCTTAAAGAGCACCTTCGGGGGAGAGCATTGCAAAACTGGCCCCGGTAATGGTACAAATCTCAACCTGTCGTTCAATGGACAGCTTCCCCCCCCCCCCCATCTATGTATATACTCGCATTTTAGACTCTGTTACTAACTGTATATCTGTAGACTTGGTATGTCTTAAATGTCCGGTTAGGATGTATTAGAACGAAATCTAAAATGAAAATTGTAAACAAGCAATCTGTATGTAAAAAAAACACCTGTATGTAAATTGTAAATAAGCCATCTGTATGTCAAATATGTCTTATATGTCTTAAATGATATGATGAATTGGAAATGGGGGACCCTGATGTAAACAAGTCGAAAGTCTTTCTCTGGTCTGCATCCCCTTAACAATTGTATGTTTTGAGCTGTACTGTACTGTACCCAATATACAAGCTGCTAATAAACTTTTCAATCAATCAATCAAACACATTCATGGTTGCTAACGTTTTTTTGGTGGAAATGTGTTTTTTCAAAGCAAAGTCACCCTCTGTACTTGGACTTATTGGGAGAATCTAAAGGCAAGAACATCCCAAATATTCATTTAGGTCTTTATTTTTAGACCTTTAGGGTTGCCGTCTGTGTGAGGAAAATAAATGGGGCTCAGAGCCTCGTATTTTTAAAATCTTTTTTTCCTTCTAATTTGTTATTCTTTTCAAAATAGCACACTGTTATTTACTCACCAATAACACACAATTATCCTTGCTTTTATTTATTGGTTTAATTCCATAATCTCGGGCTTTTTTGGCGTTCGTCAGGAACTGAATTTCAAAATAAAAATAACCGGAAACAGACGTAGCCATTTCGAGCGATTACCCAAGATCCTCAGCTACGCTGATTGGATGTTTTAGCCGCAATGCATGCTGGGATTTGGTGTTTATATTATATGAAATCTGGAAAACATTTTAAAAGAATAAAATAATACTTAATTCCGAGCGCTCTTGCTTTTCTCTTTGAAAGTCATCACATAACGGCATTGTAATACACGGTTCGGCTGCATTGTATATTACAGATCTGCCGTAGTTCTTTATTTATAGAGCCCTGATGAGAAGACCTTTGGAAAAAACTGAAGAAATGCCGCCGAAACGTAATACTTGACGTGGATCATAAATATTTCAACAATTAAATCTTCAATTTCTCTTCACACAATACGTCTCCTTGCAGTATCAACACTAATTCGGCTGACTTTTACATTTGATATAATTCATAGATAGGTTATATTTACACCATAACGGTGCACAGCTGATATAAAAGGACTTGTCGTTTTTAAAGATATTACTGATTTGAATTGGATTGAATTTTGAATGTAATAATGTAAATACTGAGTCTGAAATAGTATAGCAATATGCTGTAAAATTATGTGAAAGCATGAATAAAACTACACATCTTCAGATGTTGTACATACAAGTGTCCAACACTAATAATACAAAGTTATTATGGCTGTGTGTACCTTGTGTGCATCGCCTAGTGGTTAAAGCACGTTATTGAATTATTGTTTTTATGTGTTATATTTGATTAATATAAATATTAAGAGTACATACTTTCATAGGGGGAAAGTAGAAGGTTTGTGATAGAAATATAGAATATAAAAAATCAAGATACTATAAGTGATCTCTACAATAAAACAGTTTAGTGCAGGATGTACAAAGATATTAATAGGAGGAGGTGCAAAACAGAAAAACGAATTAACCTTTATTTAAACATTAAATAACAGATTAAGGTCTTCTTTTAAATAAGAAAAAAGCTTTGGGGTATCTAGCTACAGATAAATATTAAGCCTGACAAAGTACTTAACGTCTAATATATTGCTTTCCTGCAATGTTAACTATGTTGAAGCACTTATTTTAACTGATATTATACATATGGATTATACTCTTATGTAGATAGATAACATAAGAAATGTGCAGAATATGACAGTTTAATGGTGGAGGGACACACATATTGATAGATGTCTTGTAATGCACTGTTGAGGAACCTGTGACCCAAGTTTTTCATTCATTGCATAACTACACCGTAGTTGTGTATATGATATGTCAATAAACCTTTGAAAATCTTGAAATCTTGAAAGGGATGTGCAAAATAGCCATTATATACAGTCTTTAATTAACTATTGGTAGAGAATAACGAGTAATTAATATACTTTATTACTCGTTTCCATTCATGTCATTTGCAGATACATGTTTAGTCTTCTCAAGCACCAACTATCAAATATCTCTCCTGATTGTTGGCACTTGACAATCACCTTACCTGAATTTTACTCAGGTGTAACTAAAGTCTGATTTAAGGGTTGTTTATATTTCACATCATTAATCAGAATCTGCAAAGTAACTCAAATAAGTGTAGTGGAGTAAAAATACCAGGTTAACCTCTGAATTGTAGTGGAGTAGAATTACAAAGTATCAATGAGCTGTCATGTGGGTATATATTAATGCTATATATTAATGCTGCGCATTATGGACAGCGATTTTCACCCATTTATTAATTATATGTTTTACATTTGATAACACCAATGTGTTTAATACTGGCAACTTCTAATTGTGGGAAAAACGAAAACGTTCAGTAGAGACGTCCCATAGAACATTTTGCGAAACACAATAGTGTAGTGTGTAGTTCTGGGGGGGCGTTCGATTCCAGTTTTGGATAGTCTGGCGTGGTTTCGTTCCATTTCAAACAGCTGTTTGACGCTCGGCGTAACCTTGGCGCACTGCCACTCCAACATCCAATCCCAGACCTTGAAGATTAATCACGGGGACTGTAGTCCTAAACGATAGCTGGGGATTATGGGTAGTGTAGTGTCTTCGGCCATCCTAAACTCAAAAATTTTGACAATCGCAATGATGCTCGAAATGTCCCTTATAGGCCTACGTCTGTTTCCGGTTATTTTTATTTTGAAATTCAGTTCCTGACGAACGCCAAAAAAGCCTGAGATTATGGAATTAAACCAATAAATAAAAGCAAGGATAATTGTGTGTTATTGGTGAGTAAATAACAGTGTGCTATTTTGAGAAGAATAACAAATTAGAAGGAAAAAAAGATTTTAAAAATACGAGGCTCTGAGCCCCATTTATTTTCCTCACAGACGGCAACCCTAAAGGTCTAAAATAAAGACCTAAATGAATATTTGGGATGTTCTTGCCTTTAGATTCTCCCAATAAGTCCAAGTACAGAGGGTGACTTTGCTGTGAAAAAACACATTTCCACCAAAAAAACGTTAGCAACCATGAATGTGTACACATTCATGGAGTAATCTTCGTCATAACTAGCAAACTAAACATCATGTACATGTACTGCACAAATAATCAGAAATAACAACTCATATTAATCGCATAAAATGACATCAAAACGCATTTTAATGGCCAAATGAACCTTAAAATAGGCCTTTTCCACCGAGAATAACACGAAGGTCGACCATTGTTGTTGATCACGTGGTCTATGAAGGTCTATGGGACGCCCTGCCTGTAGAAGCCTGACGGTCAAGGGGTCCGCTGTCCGCAATGAAGGTCTATGGGACGCCCTGCCCGTAGAAGCCTGACGGGCAAGGGGTACCCTGTACGTAATATAGCGACGGGGAGGGGCCCTGACCGTCCGTCAATATGTGACGGGATGGGAGTGAGAACGTGTTGCACACACACGCACACACACACACACACACACACACACAACACACACACACACACACACACACACACACACACACACACAACACACACACACACACACACACACACACACACACACACACACACACACACACACACACACACACACACACACACACACACACACACACACACACACACACACACACACACACACACACACACACACACACACACACACACACACACACAATAGTTGTATACGCATTAATCAGCATGAAAGCACAGACTCAAACGTGGATTTCCAATAGAGATCATTTGAAAATTGGAGAGCTTTGAGGGGTGTGTGTGTGGGGTGTGTGTGTGTGTGTGTCTTACCTGAGATTGTGCATTGACGTTGGCACTGTGGGTGACGAGTTCCTTCACCACGTCGTTCTGCCCAGCGAGGGAGGCTATGTGAAGAGCTGTGTTTCCTTTCTGCTTTGAAAAACAGGAAATACACACTATAAACTTTCTTCAAATCATAAACCCGGTCAAACATTTACACAGAGATATGAATACATTTTATATTTCTAATTACATCTTAATCACCCCAGGATATCATTATCTCAGAATATGTCTGCTCTAAAATAATAGCAAAGAAAAAGTTCAGAACTTGCCTTAGGGTCATGATCTTTATTTGATTTCTGTTATCATAGTAAACCTGTTTACATCCCCCAATTATGGAAGCTGTAGTTCCAAATCACTTAGATGATGATTAAATGATTAGAAAATGTTGAGTTAGAAAACCCATGAAAATAAGCTTTTCCATTGTAAAATACAATTATTATTGAAATGTTTTTGATCTTTATAGTAAAATAAACTTCTAAGATGTATTTTAATCCCATGAATGTGGTACTAGATGGCAGATCAAATCCGCAATAAAAATACGACACACATTCTGACCCTCAGTTATTTCAAAGCATTGATATCTTAAAATGTGTACCATTTTCTTAATTGCAATTACATAATATAGGAAATAAACATCATAACACAAAACACACACACGAAAAAGAAATTACTTAAAATGTAAAGCGTAAAGTGGCTCAGTCAGTAGGGCCTTGTACTGTGAGCCGTAGGGTCGCCGGTTCAAGTCCTCTAACAGGCCCTGCCGTGGTGTCCTTGAGCAAGGCACTGGACACCCCCCCCCCCCCCCACTACCATTGCTCCCCGGGTGCTGTACAATAGCTGCTCACTGCTCCTAGTACTAGGATGCAGAGGCAACATTTCACTGTGTGCTGCATGTATGTGTGACCATTAAAGAGGGTTTCATCCTCCAATTCTGTCCTGTATGAAAAATCTGATTTCTACATTAAATAAATGATTTAAAACTTGCTAGAATCACTACTGAAAAATCAGTCGGCATGTTCTTTTACATAATATTAAGACATTACTATGAACGTGCAGCAGGAGGGGAGAAGGGTGAGTGGTCTCAGTCAAGAAAGTACCCTCTTACTGTATAATGTACATGCAGATTGTGTTAGAGTTGGTATGAGGGTGAGTTCCATATACTGAACCTCTAATGGATGCACCTGTTGTGTGTGTGTGTGTGTGTGGTGTGTGTGTGTGTGTGTGTGTGTGTGTGTGTGTGTGTGTGTGTGTGTGTGTGTGTGTGTGTGTGTGTGTGTGTGTGTGTGTGTGTGTGTGTGTGTGTGTGTGTGTGTCAGCAGCAGCTGTTGCCATGTTGTCATTCCTGCTGCCAATGGGAACTCCACATAAACACCTCCCCTCATTCCAGGATCTAGGCTGCCCTTTCTCTTTTCCTCTCATGCTGCTACACTGCCTTAAGACTAGAAAGCACAATTTCATGCAGGCTTATGTAAGAATATTTGAGCACATTGAATTTGCCAGCAGTTTCCTCCTATAGACATAATATGCAGAAATGAAGCAAAAGCTGGTGCTTTCTTTTTCTGCTTTCCGTCAGGTTTATATACGTCTAAACCTGCATTTCGATTTTTTATTTAACGCTGATACAAGCATAAAATACAACAAAGATCTAGTATCACTTAATGAAGTTGATATAACACATTTGTTAAAAAACAGATGCTTATTTACAAATTAAACAGCATTCATTTGGATTTATTAGTCCATCCACTTTGCTCCAAGAGTTCAGAATGTATGAAACAAATTCCCCCAAAGAAGGGCTGCTTGCTGCCTTTGAAAACATTGCTGATGGTGACACTCAAGCAGAACAGTAACCTGGTGGGCCTTAAAGCCAAAACAAGAACTGAAAAACGCCAACACTTGTTGGGTCGGGTCATACATCTACATGGGTTTGTCACTATTAAAGACCTCTCTCTCATTCTAGTCTTTTGATCCATTCTTAATGTAAACATATTAAATATAGGCACTTTTCCATAATGAAGGTAACGGATCAGAACAACCCTATTTCCTCAGCCATATTTCTCCTGGAGACCGCTGCCAGTATAATCCTCCGGAACCCTGGTTGTAACTGTATCACCGATATCCCTATATTGTATATCCCCCAAATAAACATGGATTTTTCAACGATAGACTGTTGAGATTTTTATAGCGGCAAGCTTTTGAAAGTTTTACTGATGTTTCCTTAGAATATACTCTAGCGGTTCACTAACAAACATGAATGACACATTTTAGAGCAGAACAGCAAACTAAAGAAACAGCTCACTAAGAGCTAGGATGCTAACATTGATAGTGAAAAGGAGGACAGTAACCTAGAAGGTTGTACTAGTTAACCTGTCTTCAACTTGAACTAGACTGGCATCTAAGAGGACTTGAGCTTCAGCTAGAACAACAGCCACCTGTCACACCGCCACCTCCAGTTGATCACCATACCAACCTTTGCAGAGGTCCTGCCCAACACCAAACTAATGACAGAGACCTTGTGGCAGGTACTGTACAAGTCCCAGCCTCCACACACATGACCTCTATTTTCTGCCAATAACCCCTCTTTAGCATTTGTAAACACTGTCATTTAGACCATGATAACAGCATTTTGAACAAATGTCAGATCAAATATTTAAACTATTAATATTAAAGTATCTGCTTTACTTGGGTCAGCGTTGTCAGCTAAGTTGTCCAGTTAACTACACAACAGATATTGGGTGTATACAACTTATTAGAATTAGATTTAGTACATAAATATCCACTTGAAGTACTTTATTTATAGTTTAAATGTACAACGAGCTGCCAGCTCCAGAACAGGAAGTAGTTGTAGATACATCCTGATTCAATTGAATTTTCTTGGCTACGTGAAACTGCATCAGTGTCATTTAATTAAGATTATGTGGGAAACAAATAACCACAAGGCCAAATGATTCCTTCATCAGTTCACCAAACTCCTCCGTTTACACGCAGCCATTCATCTCCTTTCCTGCTGCTTAAGCAATGTGACTTTGAGAAGGAGCTGACGCAGCACTCTACAGTATGTGAGGGATCGAGTGTGTTTGTACTCCTGGTTAGCACACACACCTTGGTAGCTGCGTCCACATTGGCGCCGTGCTTGATGAGCTCAGCCACCACCTCCACATGGCCCTCCTTCGAGGCCAGATGGAGAGCATTTAGACCATTCTGGAGAGAAAGAAAAAAAGAGATTAAACCCTTTTGTTTGTCTTTATTGTGAAAAGAATATTAATCCTGTTCAATCTTCTGCTCTTTTACTTAGTAACACTTTAATGCATCAATAATTATAATCAAAACATATCATATACAGTTTATAATTATGAAAGTGGGCCAATATGCATAATTTACTTTTGGTACATACGTTTATTTTGATGCAAATATTTCTGTATGTTGCCGGACTTTTACTTGTAACAGTAAGTATTTCTACACTCTGTAACTTCTACTTTTACTCAAGTATGAGATCTGAGTACTTCTCCCACCTCTGGAGCATGTTAACTCTTGCTAATAAGCAGAAGACGTACAGCTACTGTAGGGCTTCCATTAGTTTTGCAGGTAAGCCTTTTAGTTAAGAACCAAACGGTAGATAAATGTCGACCTGATGATGACCCAATAAGTGTGACACCAGAAACACAGAAATGTGAAAAGATCACCAAAGTTATTCATCTCGTGAAATCATTAAAGAAGTTTGGAGGGGCAATAGTGTCACATGGAAACAGTGTTTATTTATTCAGGAGCTAATGCAAATGTGGGAAAGTATTTTTTGTCATTTTAGGTTAATCACTACTTTAATGCCCCACAGACCTTACTGGCAGCTTCACTGTTATAGTACAAGATAAAAACAGACCACCATGAAGTGCAGGTAGACTCTTGTTCCCTTAGAACTATACGTTATCATGCTTCCCACCTGATTGCAAATATTGATGTCGACTCCATTCTTCAGGTAGTCCAAAGCTTTCTCGAGGTTCCCGGCCCGAGCTGATCGCAGATAACAGGCATTTATATCCGTCTGCAGGACACAGAGAGGAGCATGTTGTCATCTTTACTTCACAAAGGTCAACGCAGGTACAGGAATACCAAAGAAATTCGTATGTTAAATTAGTAAACAAACCATAAAGATTTCGTTCGGGTTAAGTGAAAAAAATAAAGCGTTCATTATTTAAAGACAGCAAGAGCTCAGAGCTATATGCTAGTTATTATTTGGGATGCTTAGTCAGAAGCTGATACTTCATCCATGTGAATCCCTGCAATTAGAGATAAGTTGAATAAATCCTTAAAGGCAAGTATGTTAGTAGCTGGAAAAAAACATAGGGTACATTTCATATGGAAAGCCTTTTTAGAAGATGAATAAGAGCTCAAAGAAAGTTAAGAGTGAAAGAGAACATGCCTGTGTGTTTTTCAAAATCCAAGAAGGCTGCTTAATCCAAGCCAATGTTGATAGGAAGGTTATACAAGGTAGACACAAGGAATGCCTCAGAATATTTAGATTAAAAAAAGGAATACAAACAGGCATAAAAGCAGACCATCAGTGAGTCCCTGATTTCATGATTGCAGTGCAGAGCTCCTGTGAGCCACACCCAGACGTACACAGTAACACAGGAGGAGCACTCTCCAATTACCCTCTGCTCATGTGCCAATTAACCTAGCAACCCACCTATTCTCTAGAAAGCATACACACACACAAAAGGCTCTTAGTTCTGCAACTGGGCTCATTCACAAACCCTCTTTCACAAGTCAACTCTAGCAGGGAGCTGAACATATTACATATTAACATTTGCAGAAACTACAGACAGTCAACATATTATACAAAATATTCAGCTGTATTTAGCAATAGGTATTTGTCCAAAAAGAGGGTCATTCTCAATCAAAGACAAACCAGTAAAAGATGGTTATCTTTGTAGTAAAGATAGAACTAGAACTATATTATTTATTGAGTTCCCAGGGTTCATTGGAACTGATTTACTGAACAGATACAATAAACACATCTGGAATGTGCTCCTGGAATACCGCAGCCGTAACAACATGAAGTCTTTGCATTAAAATAACTTCGGCTTTGTGGGTAATTTAAATAGAAGTGCTACAGACAGTCCTGTCATGCTCACTGCACCATGATCTGTGTTGTTGTAGACAGATTGTTGGCTAAAGCTGACAGCTGAGCTCATTTCCCACTCACTGAATGGATGTTATCTGGGTTCCACACACACACACACACACACACACACACACACACACACACACACACACACACACACACACACACACACACACACACACACACACACACACACACACACACACACACACACACACACACACACACAGTGTTTCTGGTGTCAGCATCCACTCTGTGGGGCAGAGACTCTGGGGGCTTATCCGTCGCCATGCCATCAGACACACACACAGGTTTATCCAGTGATCGAGAGTGTGTGTATTTCACAAACTTCCTGGATTTAGCCTATTTCCATTATTATAATGAACTCCATTAGTGTCTTTGTAAATGTTTCTGAATCTTATGTCTTTATTTATTGTATGACCCTGTTGAATTTAACATGTTAACGTGGTTTTTATCAATCTTTTGTAACAAGGCTAATGAAATCCCTAGTAAGACGTTCATTTGTAGACCGTCCCTACATCAAGTACATGCTGCACCAGTATAACACACATAATATACATTAACTTTGTTGTTATGAAACAATAACACTTGATTTGCAACTGTTATGAATTTGTATAGCCGTAGAGTGTTTTTGAGCAGAACAGATATAGGTCATGTTGCAATGGAGTCAGTGAGTTAGGTATGGGCTAAAAACTGGAAAATTAGCACCATTACAAGTATGCTAAATTGGCTATTAGCAGTTCCTTTATAACATACCCATTAGTTTACGCTATCACTGGAGTACTTTGACACTAAAATACATTATAAAAACATGATTATTCTGGCTGAACCTGTCACTGTGGTCCTGCCTGACTCATCACACTACTTCCCTGATGGCTCCCACAGGATTGTTGACATCCTCGTGGATTCCTCTTCTTATTACAGACACATGCATTTCCAAACATTTGGTCTTCGCTGTAAAATGTATTATCTCTTCGATGTACACACGGCATCTATTGCACGTCTGTCCGTCCTGGGAGAGGGATCCCTCCTCTGTTGCTCTCCCTGAGGTTTCTCCCATGTTCCCCTTTAAACTGTGGGTTTTCTCTGGAAGTTTCTCCTTGTACAATGTGAGGGTCTAGGGACAGAGGGTCTAAGGACAGAGGGTGTCGTATTGTCATACTGACATTCTGTACAAACTGTGAAGTCCACTGAGACAAATGTAACATTTGTGATATTGGGCTATATAAATAAACATTGATTGATTGATTATTCTCAGTGAGGCTTATATGAAGTGTCTATTTTTTGATGACTTCAAAACATAATTCTAAATGTTTCTTTACCATGGACATCAGAGATAACAATAGATCACAGCCAATCTAACCAAATTAGGAAAGTGGTATATTTAGCCACAAGTTGATAGATATCACTTATTGCATAACTTGCAATATTTAAGGGACTGAAAAGTGGTTCAGACTTACATTTGATCAGACTGATTGCATAATTATCTCCAGCTTTATGAATAAGATGCTAACTGCACAAAGAGTGGAAGTGCACACTCAATGAAAGGTGCAGCAAACAAAAGGACTTGAATCTGGCCTTCAGTATCACAGTGGAAAATGTTGGTTTGGTAACAAATAACACCAGCAACACAAGTGGAGGAAAAGACCAGCAAACGTTTCTTATCCACAATCAAACCTTTGGTGGGTTTCTGTCTTATGAAAGCTACGCGCTCTGTGAGGCGGCGTGCTGTGGAGGTTCTCTAAACCCTGAGAGGGGTTGTAAGGCACCATGCCAAGCCTTTTGAGTTCAAAGTGGCACCAGGCTCGACCGCTCATAACTCAGAGCATTATCAGAATACCAGTTTAAAGCATCACGCTCTGAGGAGCCAAAACGCACAGAAGTCCAGCTGAGAATTTGCCAATCCACTGATAAAACCAACTATTCATCACAATCAAACTAAAGATAGAACTGAAGATATACATATTTTCTTATCTTTTTCTGTTAAATAAAATAAACCATTTGAATATTTTCCTCTTTAAAAATACTAGTGTCCTGATTAGAACTGCTAATGCGGCACTTCACGACCCAACCGTTGATTTTATTTAGAAACATGTGGGAGCCCGGTTTTGTATTGCTTTACAACCTCAACAAAAAAGTTAAAATAAGAATAAAAACATTATTCAGGCAGCTAAAGAGAGAAAAGCATATTGCCACTTGAAACATACATAAACGTATTGCTGAGCAACAACCGACGGTACAGTAATGTTAGGTTAAGAGCCCATAAAAAACATTCGAGTACAAAAATAGAACCAATGAAAGTGTCTTCCCATTGAAATGAATGCTCCTACTGTGATTCCTGCCATCAACTCTTGCCCTGCCTCTCAGGTTCTCCAGCTCTGGTGCTATGCCACATTAGGTTATCAGTCTGAGCCAGGAATGCATTTGTCACTATGTTGTTTATCACATTAATATTGTAATGTCCAAATTAGTAAGTAAGTAATACAATTGAAGCAATTCAACCATTTGAGAGCAGCTATGATAATCCATTGTGGAGGCCATGTAAAAAAAAGCAAAACATGTGGTTTTAGACACACAAAAAGACAATTTACAGACCAAAACGTGGGCTTTTCTACCATTTCTATATTTTTGGACATTAAGGACTTTGACCAACTTACATTTGAATCAATTCATTGGGGCCAAAATGAACACTGATAGGAAAAAAAGACCGCAGATCAGTAAAGCTAGTTTGAATAATATCTTGGTTGTTTGCAGCAGCAGAGTTACAACTTGTGTTCTCCAGTGTAATTTATTTATCCATGAGAGATATGCAAAGAATGCTACGGTGGCTCTTTTTCTGGAACACGCTCATACAGTTACGCACATTCCAACAACGCTGCGAGACGAGCCTGTTACTCATTCATATCACCAGACAGACTGAATGTTATAGTGAACAGGACAGCCTTTTAACTGATGAAACATCACATTTCTATCAAACTAATGTCAACACTATAATACATTGAATGTAAACCATGCTAGGTTTGATTTGGCATGTCATACAAATGTGGCAAATTTCCAGCAAATATCTCAGGTGACTATCAATGAAATGACTGCTTGGCCCCCTGCAGTAAGTCAGTGATGATAGCTAGCTGTTACTGCATACAGTATATCACATATCACCATGTTCAGGGAGACCTTTTCCAATCCCAGGGGCTCATAAAGAGTCTGTCTTTCTAACTAAGTGGATTAACTTATCATGAAAATTAACTCATTCAAAGCAACCATTTCTAACATCAATCTCTCCCTGTGTACTCAAAACGTTATTATGACGTTCTCCGTATTTGCAATGTAAGCCCCCTCGTCCACTGAACAGTATTCTACAGTTCTCCTTTTGTGCTATTTTGTCCCTGTTTTCCTCTAAAATGTATATGTTAGTTCTTTCCCTTTGCTCCTTCCCCTCTATTATAGAATCAATGTCATTCCTTAGTTCTTCTTATTTGCTATTTTTTCCCTCTTTTCCATTGAATCTTTTTTAATCCTCCTTTTCCCCTAATTGGTCTTGTTCATTTTTGCTCTGTTATCCCTGTATTCCACCAAATGTCCCCTCAGTCCTCTTTTTTTCGGCTCTTGTATCCACCTTTTTATCTAAATGTTATTCTTTAGTCCTTTTTGTTCCCTTTAAATCTGCATTTCCCCTAAATTGTACTCTTCAGTTCTCCTTTTTTGCTCTTTCCCCCCCTTTTCCACATAAACACATAGAGGATGCACCACTGTCCAAGGTCAGGTGCTTCCATACACATCACTGTGCGACATGAAACCACAACACTGTATATACAGGTTCATACAAACGCAATCAGCAGAAATGTTTAGAATTTGGTCCAAGTAAAGCAGTCAGGAATGCAAATAAGCATTCACAC